GTCCCATAGTCTCCCTCCCCATAGTGGTAGCCAAAGATGATATGTAAATGAATAGACCTGGCTCCTCCAATAAAACAATTTCAGGATACTAAAATTTGTGTTTTATATAATTTTCATGTGTCAAGAAATACAAACATTTTGACTTTTTCCCTCTAAATATTTAAAAACATAAATAAGAAGTTCTTACAACACAGACAGTGCAAAGCCAGTATGTGGCCTCTTTATCATAATTTGCTGCCCCTGTCTATAACCACCTCTTTAAGCATCTTGTAATATATAAGATTAATAAGTAAAGGAAGTCGCCCCCTTTCTGGACTGAAATTGGTGGGCTGGTGAAGAAATGAATTCTAAATAGAACAAAGAAGTACTTAGGGACAGTTTGTATGCCATTAATTTATCCTTTTTACATATTGGTAAACATTCTAAATTTATTTTTTCAGATTTATTTTTCTTTTATACAAGAGCTGGAGTACAGGCCAGAGGCATGGGGGAGGGTGAAAGGATTCACCAGAGACAGAGCAGGGAGCAGCACAGGCAGACGGACTGGAAACACTGCTGAGGGAAGCAGCGGTCACGAAAGGAGAGGTCTGCTGTGCCATGTGGGAATCTCCCTGGCCGGCCGGGAATCGAACCCGCACTGCAGAGGCTTTGTTTAAACGGACAGCTTCACAGCACTGTGCTCAACCCACTGCGCCACTGGGGAGGCCCAAACATTTTAATTTAAAAAAATCTATTCCTTCAGTTCTTTTTTTTTTTTTTTTTTAAGATTTATTTACTTATGCATACAAGAGCTGGCGTACAGGCCAGAGATGTGGGGGATGAGAGGATTCACCAGAGACAGTGGGGAACAGAACAGGCAGATTAACCGAAGTACACTGCTGAGGGGAGCAGCGGGCGAGTCAGGAGAGGTCTGCTGCACCATGTGGGTTTCTCCCTGGCTGGCCGGGGATCGAACTCGTGCTGCAGAGGCTGCGGATTGCTTCATAGTGTGGTGCTTAACCCCTTGCGCCATCAGGAGGCCCTTCCTTCAATTCTTGATCCTAAATTTACCTTTTGAGGCTAGGACTTCAAATTTAACACAAATCTTCAATAGAGTTAATTTCCTTTAACTGCTTAAAGGACATTTAATTTCTTGCATTCAATCAGGTTTCTAATATCTTGTAATACTTTAAGTTCCCTTTTTTATAAGGTGAGAAATGTAATTTTTTTCCTTCTGCCAGTCAGAACATTCAGTTTGCAAAATTTGGGGCGAGAGAATTTAGCATTGACTTAAAATATGAACTATTCCAGCAATGTGAGTTGACCTAACCTTGAAACTTTGACTTACTGACCATCTTTGTTTGAATAGTTTATGTTTTGATACTAATTGCCCTTTCAGAATTTTTTTTTAAAGATTTATTTAATTATGCATACAAGAATTGGGGTGTAAAGCAGAGTGTGCGGGGGCAGGGGTGGGGGCTTGAGAGGATTCACCAGAGACAGTGGGGAACAGAACAGGCAGATCTACTGAAATATACTGCTGAGGGGAGCAGCGGGCGAGTCATGAGAAATCTGCTGCGCCATGTGGGTTCCTCCTGGCAGGCCTGAGATAGAACTCATGCTGCAGTGGCTGGTGATAGCTTGGTAGCGCTGTCTTTAACCCTTGAGCCACCAGGAAGACCCTCAGAATGTTTTTTTTTTTTTAAAGATTTATTTTCATTTATTTATTTATTTGTTTGTTTATACAAGCACTGGGTACAGTCAGAAGCGCGGGAGGGTGAGAGAATTCACCAGAGCCAGAGCGGGGAGCAGAGCAGGCAGGAGGACCGAAGTACACTGCTGAGGGGAGCAGCGGGCTGCAGGAGAGGTCTGCGCACCATGTGGGACCCTCCTCCGGTGGCCGGGGAGTAGCCGGGGATCGAACCGGCGCTGCAGAGGCTGCGGGCAGCTTCGCAACCCAGCGCTCAACCGCTGCGCCACCGGGGAGGCCCCTCAGAATGGTTTTAATGAATTTTCATTCTTGTTAATAATGAAAGTAACTGAACTGCATTGACTTTGAAATTCTGTAGTTTTAGCAGAGTAGATCATGTCCCTAAGTTCTCTTGCTAATCAAAATTTTCGTTCTAATGTACAAAATGCATATATCATTGCATGTGATACTTTTAATTACAATGGTCAGTGTGTTTCCTGATTTTTCTGACCTAAAAAATAAATCATGATTATGCTTTGGAAGGATGAGGAACTCTTACAGTAGACTGTTCATGGCTGAGCTATTTCATTAGAAGAGATGAAATTAGAGGCTAAGCTAAAATTTGAGATGATTGTCCCAAATTAATCTAAAGCAAGAGTAAAGTATTGAATTATAATTTATGTTAGTATGTTGTTATCTTAGTACAGAGATCTTCATGATATTAAGGAGCTGAAAGGGACTATAGTTCCTTTTCATTTTGTAGCTAAGGAATTTGAGAAGTAGTACATTCCCAGCATTTTGAGGCTATATAGCTATGTACTGGATATTTGGATTTGGAACTATGATTTATCCATATTGTCTTATTCCTTTTTTTATGAATCTTTATACATAAGATCTTTGTAGGGCTTTGTTAATTTAAAAATGGCTGTGTAATTATCTCTTTCATATGATTGGAAGGTATTTTAACCTTAGTTTGAAAAATTCTTGCATCTATACACAGATTAGTAGTAGCCCTTTGTGGTCTTAAACACCTCACTTTTCTGGAGTATTATTTTGGTGATCTACTTTTAGCCATTTACCGCCCCCCCCATTTTTTTTTTTAAAAGATTTATTTATCCCTGCATACAAGAACCAGGGTACAGGCCAGAGGTGCACGGGGCGGAGGGGCGTGGGTGAGAGGATTCACCAGAGTACAGAGTGGGGAACAAAACAGGCAGAGTGGGGCCTCCCCGGTGGCGCAGTGGTTGAGTGCTGGGTTGCGAAGCTGCCCGCGGCCTTTGCGGCGCCGGTTCGCTCCCCGGCTGCTCCCCGGCCACCGGAGGAGGGTCCCACAAGGCACGCAGACCTCTCCTGCCGCCCGCTGCTCCCCTCTGCAGTGTACTTCAGTCCTTCTGCCTGCTCTGCCCCCCGCTCTGGCTCTGGTGAATTCTCTTACCCTCCTGCGCTTCTGACTGTACCCAGTGCATGCATAAACAAAACAAACAAACATAAATAAATAAAACATGCCTCTATTAAAAAAAAAAAAAAAAAAAACAGGCAGAGTGACGAAATACACTGCTGAGGGGAGCAGCGGGCATGACAGGAGAGATCTGCTGCGCCATGTGGGTATCTCCACTGCCGGCTAGGCTCGAATCCACGCTGCAGAGGCTGTGGACAGCCTCACAGCACTGCGGTCAACTGCTTGCGCCACCAGGGGAGGCCCCAGTACCCTTTTTTTTTTTTGTTATTAATTCTCCAGGTATTAGGAATTGTTAATATTTTCTTTTCAGGTTAGATGACATAATTTACAGATCTTTGTTTAGTGGGGTGTATTGATAAGTGTTTAATTATCCTAAGCAACAGAAAATAGTTCCTTTTTTCTAGAATTTTTCAGGCATTTAATTAAAACTGGCATTTTTATTTAGAGTTATGATTTTTTTATTTTAACTACATTTTTTCCCACTGAAACTAAGGATTCAGAGTAGAGTTATGCCAGTCCTGTTAATTTAATTGGCTGTGATTCAAAATGAAAGCAGTCACTCTTCAGTTTTCACACATGGAGCAAAAGTTTAGTAGTCTTTATTTAGAATTAGTTGTGGACTATGAGCATTTTCTTCATCTAATGAATAGGTGAAATAGCATTTTTCCCACTCCCGCCATTTATTGTATACTGTATATATAGTAAAGTGTAAATTACATGTATATTCTGAAAAGTATTGTTACTTCAGTGACTTAAAATAAATGATATATGTCTAGACTGATAAATTTCATTTTATGTTTTCACTCTTTGTGAGACCTGCTAACTTCAGAATATTTAGTAACTCCTGAATTTTAAATTGTCCTATCCACTTCAAATCACCTACCTTAATTCCCAATTCCTCTTAAAAACAAAACAAAACAAAACAAAACAAAAACAACCAAAATATCACAATTGTGCAGAGTTCTGCTCTTAGAGCACTGATAGAACTCAATATAGGAGATTGTTGCTATCCAAAAATTTATTTAGATTTCCGAGGAGAGACACTGCTTTGCTTTGTGGCTTTTTTGTAACCCTCAGATCCAAAGCAAACATCTACCTGAACTGTGATATAGAGTGCTTGTTCTTGTCCTTTCTTGTGTAATTCTTGTTCCCTCTAAGTTGAACAATAGCCGTAGTTTTTCAGCCTACTCTGCTAGGATTTTGATGGGCATTTCTGATTATTGGCTGAGGAAAGACAGTTGTTTCTTCTTAGCTCTGAAAAGTCAGACATTCTACTCAGTTTTCTGACTCTGGAAAGATACTATATGCTTGACCCACAATCTAAAGATGTTTTAAGATGAAAGTACCTTCAGATATTTTCCATGTATTATATGAACAAATGACAGCAGTCACCCTTCAGTATTGTTTTCTTGAATCAGTAACTGGTTTTCAAACCCTACATTTTGTTTGTCCTGCTTTGGGCAGATAATCTACTTCGCTGGGTAGTTTATAAGTGAAGTTGATCAATCCCTTTCGAAGGATATTAAATTTCCTCTCAGATGTTATATTTACTTTAAAATGCAAGTCTATTTGTCCTTAGAAGGAACACTAGAGATGCATTGTATTAATGATTGTTGTGCTATCTTCTCTTGCTGTGGTTAATAGTAATCATCTGTTTTCCTTCCTCTTTCCTGCTGCCTCTTTCCTTTTCTTCTCTGTTTTCCCATGTACTTTTCAATTTATTAAATTGGCCTATCTATTTTTTCCTTGGTTTCCTTTTTTTAATTTTGTAATCTCTTGCCCCACTCTGTCTTCCCCACTGCTTGGGTTCCATGTTGCTAGTTTTTATGTTCGCACGCTCATTATCACCCTTTTTTGTACTTCAAATCCCAGCAGCTGCCCAGCCAGGTCCCCGAGCACAGCCCTGTGGTTTATGGGACTGTGGAGAGCGCTCATCTTGCTGCCAGCACCCCTGTCACTGCAGCTAGCGACCAGAAGCAAGGTTTGTGTATGACTGTTTTCCTCCCTCTTATCTTTAGTCTTTGTATTAATTACATCACCCTCAGTATTTAAGAGTGAGAGTAAAACATTTGAGGATTATTTAGATATTCTTTAAAACAAAGCTTTGAGATGGAAAAATCATGTTTCTATATCTTATTAATGTCTCACAGTCTATATATTTATAGATAAAAGCTTAGCTGTCTTAAACTATTTTTTGGGAGCGAATAAATTGGAATATATATTGCTTTACAAGAGCAATGCAGTTTTATTTATATTTTCAACATGTCCCTATGTATCGTGCTATTTTTAAAAACATAACATTTCTTCTTATAAGTTTGTGTTTTGTAGCCTCAGATGGAGATAGTATAGAGTTTAAATCCTGGCTCCATCATGCACCAGCTTGAGTGAGTCATACGTTGTGTATCTCATTTTCTTCATTTACAGACTGGGATAAAGAAGATCTACCTCACAAGGTTGTTGTGGGATGTGTCTGGTATATAAACAGTGCTTGGTAAATTGAAGAAGGAATCACACTGAGGTCTCTACTCCTATTTGCCTTGAACAGGAAGTGCCAAATATTTGTTGAAATTAGCATACACATTGACTCTTGGATTATAAATATGAAAACATTTAGGGGAATCGCCTTCTAGAAAGTGTAATGTCATAGTCTCTCTTTACTGCCTAATTGGATTTAGATAGAGCTTGGCTAAGATTAGGAGATAATTCTCACTACATAATAGGGAGAACCAAGTGATTTTGAGCATGCTTTTGTTTTCTGACCTCACTTTAAGAATGAGTGGAAATCATATTGTTTCCTATTTTCTTGAATTATTCATTCCTCCAACCCCCTTAATCTTACTATAGCTGGCTATTAGGAAACATACTTTCTAAAAATTATTCTTTAAGAAGCATTTGGAAACATGCACACAATCCAGCGGGTTTCTACTCAACTGTCAGTTCATCACACAGAGAAATGTTTAATATATGATTTCACTGGTTTTTACAACATACAAGGATAATTTATTTCTTGAGTGTTGAGGTGTCTAGTACACTTGAACCTGAGACAAGTTCTATATTTGTTTTATATAAGATAGTTTTAAAACAAAAAAAGTAGGTAACAAACCTTCTAAAACCAAAAAAAGTAGGTTTCAGAAGTTGCACTGTCAAATACTTCTTTCAGCGGTGTTCAGAGATAGTGGAATCATGCATGCCTTATGCTGAATTTTTTAATATTAACGCCATTCACCTTGCAAGAGTACAGTTAGTTCATTGGTAATGTGGCAGATCATTTCTACTCTCAGTGATAAAGAAGTTTTAAGTCAAAATTCAGAATGTTTTTAATCTGAGGGGAGAATAATTTTGGGGGTATTCCTTTCAAAACTTGAATTACTTTTGCACAGGGGTAATCCTTTTGTTATTTAGAATGCTACTAAGCATATTGGGTACTTAACCATGCAAAGAGACCTTAAAATATATCCTCTGTGTGAGTGAGGCATGATACAGAGAATGCATAATGTTTTGATGATAGTAGTACTAACCTGTTAGGATTTTTAGACATTAACATTTTAGACATTTTGTCATATTTATGTCTTCATTTACAGAAGGAGAATGCTGAATTCTAGATTCCCTCTAAGTTTTTTATGATGTGAAAATTTGAATAGTGAGCACAGCAGTTCAGATTGATGTATGATAAAGATAAATGGATGAATTGGAAAATATTTTAGGTTAACTTGATGAAAAACTTGTATTTTAAGTATATTTTATACTATCTTCCTCTTAGTACCATTTTTTTTTCTCCAGTGACTATTTTCTGATTCTACCTGTAGCTTCCCAATTTATAGAGTATTTTTCAAAGTAGGTGTCTTTTTTTTTAACTAAATGTATGTAATTCAAATTAGTATGGGCTCACCATTTTTAGAGAATTTTTTTATAGTTTACAATTTTGAAATGTTTCTTAACTATAGATTCCTTTTGAAATTAAAGTAGGATGCAAATGCTCTGTTTTCAGAAAGTTCTATAGTACCCCTAGAAACAACACTGGTTTCTACATTCAGATTGTTTTTTTCTCTCTTAATGGGAATGTTATTACTGAGGGTTTGCATGGGTATCAGAATCTCAGTTTAACCCCAGAATTTCCACCCGCTTGAGCCGCCTACATACTTCTGTTTCCATGAACTTTTTATTTTTCTTTCAATTGGAAGAATGTGGGGCGTGAAATAATTTCCAGCACTTCCTAGTTATATGACCTTGGATCTCTGACTCAACCTCAGAAATCTTCCATTTCCCATCTATGTAAGAGGAACATAATAGTTTCTACCTCAGTGGTAGTTGTAAGAATTAAAGGGGAGACTATGTATATGTTATTTGACACAATTCCTGGTATATAATAAATGCTTTATAAATGTTATCTGCCTTAACTTCTGATTTTCTCAGTTTTTGATGTGACTAGCTGAAATGGTTACATGAAGACCAGATTTCCAGGCAAATATGCCATTTCTCATTTGTTTGTTATTTTATAAAGACAAAAGGAAGACCTCAAGTTGGTGTGTAGAGAGAAAAACTGCTAGCTGCATTAAAATCTTCAGTTAATTTTGAAGCTGTGTAGACAGCTTGAATGATTATTAATGTTGTTGGGGAAAGTCATTCAGTTCAGTGTTTTGAGGAGATACAGTTTAGGATATTAAATATAAAAATAAGTTATTTGTGCCTCAGTCTCAATGCCTTTTGAAATCACTTAATATAGACTTAGGTATTCAGTGAATGGTATTCAGTTGTAATTCAACCAGTTACAGCAATGCAGCTCAGTTAGGGTGCTTCAGTGATTTAGGACCGTACTGTTCTGTGTCAAGTGAGACTGACCCCCCAGATATCAGAAGGCAATAGCATTTCTCGTCTCTGCCAGTGATATGACATTAGCTACCTCGCAATCATGTGAGGATCATGATAACCAAAGGGCACCTATCTCAGTAGTTGGTTATACTGCCAGAAGAGAATAAAAGGGAACAGGTTTATTTTTCTCAAAAATACGACATTCATTATAGATATTGTAGATAAGTAAAATGAAAACATATCTCTTAATTTATTAACCAGAACCATTGTTCATAAGCTGTATGTAATTCCAGATCTGCATATATGTTAGTTTTCAATTTTTATTACCAAATTAGATTTATGTTTAACATAGTTTTGTCCCCTGCTTTTCAAGAAACTTTTATTATAAACAACTTTCCTTATTGAATACTTGAAAGCCTTTTAGAATTTTTTTTTTATTGAAGTACTATTGGTTTACAACACTGTATATGACTTAAGGTTGTAGGTTCATACCTCTTCAAATGTATATTATATCCCCACCACCAAAGTTCCCATAATCCTCTACTGCAGTCTGTTGGTTCTTCTCCCCACTTTACTCTCCACCTCTCATCAGTAGCCTCTGGGCACCCCAATTCTTAAAAGCCTGTTTTCAATGATTGTGTAATATGTCATTATGTCCAGGGCATTGTTTCTTTAATAAATCCATCATTGTTAGATATTTACTCTATTCTTCCCCACTCCTTTTTTTGGGCGGGGGCGGGGGGAGCTATTATAGTATTTTTTGTTTTGTTTTGTTTTTGTCAATAGTGTTGCCTTAAATATTTCTGTCCTCTATCTTTGTGCATTTTCTCATGGTTATTACCTCAGAAAAAAATTCTTAAAGGTGGAATTCCCACAGATTCCTGTGGATGGCCAAATAATAAAATATAAACATTTTACATGCAGTATATTAGTATTAAGCTATCAAGGTATAGTTTATCATACTCATAACAAATCATAGTCTTAGTAGTAAAAGTTTTTAAAGATAGTATTATTACCCCTTAGTAGATCTATTATACTTTTCAGGTTCTTTTTTTTTTTTTTTTCAAAGATTTTATTTATTTTTTTGCATAGAAGAACTGGGGTGTAGGCCAGAGGTGGGAGGTGAAAAGATTCACCCGAGACAGAATAGGGAGCAGAACTGGCGGATCCACTGAAATACACTGCTAAGGAGAGCAGCGTGCAAAACAGGAGAGGTCTGCTATACCATGTAGGTCAGCTCCCTGGCAGGGCTTTAACTCAGGCCAGGGCTGTGGACATGGTGGTAGTACTGAGACTTAACCCCTAGGCTACTAGGGAGGCCCACATTTCAGGTTCTTGTATTACAACTCTAGTGAATGAATTAAAGGATTTACTTCAGAAAGAGGATTTCTCAAAATAATTAACATTTTTTGGTTTCTATTTTCTTCATCAATGTTAGATTTTTTTTTTCCTCAGAAGTATATAGAAGGATATTAAAGGATATTTAGGATATTTAGGGTCTGCCTTTCTTTCATTTTTTTCCCCTCAATATCGCATTTACTTAATATCAGCAAATTTATTTTCCCACATTAATAATTGAATAGACATACTCTTACTAGATTGCTAGAAAATTATTGTTTTCTGTTGTTTAATTAACTTCATCTAGGTTTCACTCAGTGGTTCTAAAGTGTATTATTCTGATACATTTCTATTTCATCACTGCAGTAGTAGGCAGTTCAGTTTTAGAAGCACTAACCTCTGTTGCCCATAAAAGTGAATTTGAAGACCAGTAGTTTACATTGAATGAAATGGAAATAGCCTCTCACATTTTAATTGTGGCATTTACCATTTGTTTCTCTGGTTAGCAGAACATAGTCTCTTTGGCAGACTTAACTGTAGTTTGTTTTTAATAGTTCTTTTCACTGACACGTGACGATTTCTGGCAGAGAAAGTAAGGTCCCTTTAATTTAGATTATCTTGGTATTTTTAAAAATATTTGTTTGCATTTGATGAACATAATCATAAATATCTATTGCTCCCATGCTAAAGAAGCACAAGACTAGATACCAGTCTAAATATCCTTTGATTTTATCATCTCAGGGATGAAATACATGTTCGTTTGCCTGGAATTTTTAGGATATTAGAATTTTCAGGAATTAGAATTCCTTGCATTTTTCTGGCACCTTTATTATGATTATTGATTTATTCTTCAGTCTCAGTCTCATTCTTTGTCTACATAGAAATTTTGGACATATATATATATTAAATGTTCTTTTTTATTGAATTTTATTATCTAAATATTATACTTTGGTTTTTTGCCTTCAAGAATATTTTTAGAAATGTAGAAGAAAAATTTCTATTTTTATACCTTAACATTATTTGTAGCTGTATTCCTCTTTTGAAAAAATGAAAGTTTATTTAAATTTCTAAGTAGATTTTATGTTTAGGAACATGATTTCACTGATAATTTCATTGATACCAAATTACATCATGATGGTTTCTGTTAACAAGCAGTTTTCATACAAATAATACTTATTATTTAAAAAGCTTCTCCAAAATGTAGAAACAATAAGAAATACCATCTGTAAGAACATAATTTTTGGTTATTTCCCTTGAACTGTCCTACCACTGTAGTGTATCCTTGGTAGAAATTTTTTTTTTTTTTTTTTTTTTTTTGGTGGGATCCTCGCCGGCGGCCGGGGGACGAACCGGCGCTGCAGAGGCTGCGGGTAGCCTCGCAGCCCAGCGCTCAACCGCTGCGCCACCAGGGACGGCCCGGTAGAAAATTTTTTTATGGGAATATGATATGGTAAAAAAGGGCTCTCAAAGAAAAACCCATCTCCTATCCCAAGAATGGTTTGGCTTCAGTTTTGATGAACTAATTTGTTCTATTTTTGACGTTATCATTTGATGAATTGATTCCTTATGTTACTCCAAAATATACTTTATATATATTGGAGACAAAATTAGTTGGTATACCTAAAAAATAAAATAGGACAGTGTTTTTGGAATGACAGAAGAGTCTAATATTATGGGTCCCATGATGCCCATGATTTAGGGTAAGAAATTAAAGGAATTCACCCAGGATAATACAATATGATCTCTAATGGAAGAATTATCCTTAAAACTCTTTTTTATTTTTTTGTCCACAGAAGAGAAGCCAAAACCAGATCCAGTGTTAAAATCTCCTTCCCCAGTCCTTAGGCTAGTCCTTAGTGGAGAGAAGAAAGAACAAGCAGGCCAGGCCTCTGAGTCTGCTGCAGTAGAATCTATACCAGAGCTTCCTCTGCCTTCATCACCTGCCACTGTTTCTCCAGTTGCTCGAAATACAATTGCTTCCCCCATCTCTGCTGTTCTTAGTAGCCATCCGATATTCACCACTCCTTTAGATGACAGATGTGAACTTTCTTCCTCAAAAGAAGACACAGTTCCTACACCCAGTTCCACATCCTGCACAGAAACATCGGATCCTTCACCAACAGATGAAAATGATGATGATATATGCAAGACACCTTGCAGTGTAGCACCTAATGATACTCCATTAATTTCTAGTACTAACTTAATTAATGAAATGAATGGAGTTAGTGAAAAGCTACCTGTCACAGAGAGCATTGTGGAAATAGTAAAACAGGAGGTGTTGCCTTTGACTCTTGAATTGGAGATTCTAGAAAATCCCCCAGAAGAAATGAAAGTGGAGTGCATTTCAGCTCCCATAGCCCCTTCTACAGTTTCTTCCTTTTCTCCATCTTCTCCACCTCCTCCAGTTTCTCCTCCTTCCACGCCAGTTACTGTTCCTGTTGCCGCCACTAATGTTAGTTCTGCTGGTGCTCACACCACAGTTCAGAGAGTCTTAGAAGAGGAAGAGAGCATAAGAACTTGCCTTAGTGAAGATGCAAAAGAGATTCAAAGCAAAACAGAGGTAGAAGCAGATGGGCAAACAGAAGAGATTGTGGATTCTCAGAACTTGAGTTCAAGAAAAAGTCCTCTCCCAGGTAAGCTGCTCTGCCATTAATAATAATATTGCCGAACATGAAAAAAAAAATCAGTGTTTTAGTTATTTTTTAATTGGCTACTTTCCTTGCTTCTGGAACATCAAATGAATGCTGAAATTACCAATCTGGTTTCCTCACTGGTGTGTTTATGTTTTAGGGCAGCCTGCAAAAGTATTACTCCATTGTCTAAAAGTGGAAAAATGAAACTTTCAAATGTACAAAATGCCTCTAATGTATATGTCCTTATGTCATGGTTTCTTAAATTTCTTTTTTGCGGGGAGGAGGGTCTCTTATTCATATGAATCAGTTCCTCAGTGGTTCATTGTGTTGCTTTGGGGTTAGGAACATGGTTTATAATCCCTAATCCTGTTTTCTCAGAATTTTAAAGTATACTCATATGCAAGTCCTCTTTAATACTTGATTTAGAAAAATAGCACTCACAATGTCAAAGGTCTGTGACTAGTTTTGAGAAATGAAAGTGCCTTCTCTGATTTGCAGATATTTCTAATGCTGTCCACTTTTTCATTAAAAAAATTCATTTTTCCTGTAACATTTTACTATTCGTAATTTCAATATATTTTTCCCAGTTCAAAATGATTTCTTTTTAATGTTGCATTCCCTAGAATCATAGGAACTAACCATTGAGCTTTAAAATTTTATTTAAGAGTTATCTGTTTCTAATCAACTATTCTAAAGTCAGTAACCCATAAGATTATGACTTTTAACAAATCAGCATAGTCCTTCTGCAATATTGCCTTGTGTTTTATAATTAATTTGTCCTCTAAAAACCTGCCAGGTTAAGTTTTATACTTTGTCAAATGAGTGTTCCCTCCAGCCTTTGCTCTAGATATGCACTGAGGAAATTTGTATTAATAGTTAACAGCATCCTCAGTACTTTTTATCTATTTTGACCTGTCCAATAGATAGGTAAACTTGAAAAATCAAAAGCCTTAACCCTACCTTTACGATGTGTCTTTCCCACCCAACTCTGTTCTTGAGGCAGGTTTGAGGTGTCTGGTTCCTTGGAATTGTAGAACATCTAGTTTAACATAGTGAACCAGAAGAGAAAGAAGACATTTGGGACAGGCAAATATCTATCATGAATGTTTGTAACTCACCAGTTTACTCAACAGGAAACTGGTCTCTATTGGTCAATCTGCATTGCCTCAATTTTCATAGTGCCCTCACCATTATAGGAAACATCTTCCTTGGTAAGGCAGTGACCTTGGCTTTTTTTTTTTTTTTTCTTTTTTTTTTGGTCAGTCACTCTTTGGAAAAAATAATCTTAGCTTTGGTGTGACTACAGGTGAAACAACAACCCCCTTCCCCAAGAGTACTTTCTTGCTTGAGAAAATTTGTTTGATGCTTCATTGTTTCATTTACCCACCAAAGAATTTTCATTCAACCAGTGATGTGGTAGTTCCAAAAATAAGAGAAGTTACTGAAGGCAGTGTTTAAAAAACATCAAAACAACTAACAGAAAAGAAAGCAATTATAGGGAATACAGGTTAAAGATACAAACTGTATCTCAAAACTGAAATAAGTGTAAAGCTGACCCAGCGCCAAAATCTTACTTCCACTCTTTTTCATTCATCTTTTAAACTGTTTGTCACTTGGTTTCCTGATACTGCAAAACATTGCCCAAAGATAAATGGAGAAACACATTTTTTGGTTAAGTAATCTTCATACCATGGTTCATTTTTAAAAATGCAGATATTCTTGCAATAATGATGGTATTTCATGGGCACCTTTATAAAAACTGTGAATTCTTTAGCAGTAAACCGGAGGATACCTTGAAAAGAAACAGCTGTCTTTTTGCATGGGTAGGGATGAGGTAGAGGTTGGTGATGTCAGGATGTGAAGAATCTTGGCATTCTTCTAGTTTTATCATATTTTTAAATCTTCAAGTGTGTTTTATAGAAACTAGAAGTTCTTTAATTTCCCTTTATATCTTATGCTCTTCAAAATCCAAAGTAAGGCGCAGAGCCATAGGGAAGACCCACCTGGCACCAGTGTCCTCCAGACTCACCCGGAACACCTCTGACCCAGTGCAGGGGTGCAAACCACACCTGGCAGAAGCTCCACTCATAGCAGCACAGCCCTGAAAGCAAAAAATGGGCCAATAGAAAAGCACAGCAGGTCCTCCCCGTTGGTGCAGCGGGTTGAGTGTAGCCCTGTGGAGCTGTCTGCCACCTCTGCAACGTGGGTTCGATTTCCGGCCAGCCAGGGAGATACCCACATAGTGTGGCAGACCTCTCCTGCCTTTCCCGCTGCTCCCCTCAGCAGTGTATTTCAGTTAGTCCACCTGCTCTGTTCCCCACTCTGCCTCTCGCCCCGCCCCCCCCCACTCCCACAACTCTGGCCTGCACCCCAGCTCTTGTATACATAAATAAATCTTTTAAAAATAAATAAATGTAAATGGACTGAACTCACCAATTAAAAATATGCAGAATATCTGTTTGGATTAGGAAAAAGAATACATCTTTTTGCTGTTTCCAGAAGATGCACCTGAGTTCCAAAGATATAATCTTAAAGGGTTAGAAAACAATCCTATAAGCAAAGGGGACCCAAAGGAAGGCAGGGACAATCATACTTAAAACAGACAAAACAGATTTCCAGTTAAAAATGATAATTAAATGTTGGGAGCCTGCTGCCATAAAGGGAGCTGGAGTTCTCTGATTCTGAGATAGATACTGTGTGATGATCAAGGGAAAAATACATCAGAAAGACATAATACTCAAATACTCACCAAATAAAGAAGCACCAAAACATGTTGGGCAACTGCTGTCAACTGAAAACAAACACATTTGGAACAAACACATTTGTGGTAGGGAACTGAAAACACACCATTCTCACCAATGGACAGATCAACTATAGATTGGCAAGACAGAAAATAAATAGAGATACAATAGCTTTAAACAAAGAATTGGATCACATGGGCCTAATATGGTGTTGTCAGAAAAGTCATGATGAATTTTTTTCTATGTTTTTCAAAGAAAAAATACATCATGACTTTTCCAACAATCTAGTAGATATCTTTAAGGAACTGCACCCCAGAAAAGCAGAATACACTTTTTTCTCAAGTGCACCTGGGACATTCTCCAGGATTGACCACATAATGTGTCACAAGACACAAGTATCAACAAATTCATAAAGACTGAAATCACACCAAGGATCTTCTCTGACAATGAAGGTATCAAACTAGAAATAACGGGAACAAAACAAAACAAAACAAGACAAGAAACTCCTTTGATATTTGAATACTGAACAACACACTACTGAAAGACTACTGGGTTATTTAGGAAATTAAAAAAGAAAGAAGTACCTCAAGATAATGACAATGAGGACACAATCTCACGGAACTCATGGGGTACAGCAAAAGCGTTACTTAGAGGGAAGTACACAGCAGTATAGGGCCATATCGGGAAACAAGAAAGCGCTCAAGTCAGTAACCTCATACCTCATTTGAAGGATTTAGAAAAAGAACAAATAAAACCAAAAGTCCACAGAAGAAAAGAAATAAAAATAAGTGAACCAGAAACTAGAAAGACAATCCAAAAGATCAATGAAACTAAAAGCTGATTCTTGGAAAAAATAAACAAAATAGACAAACCTCTAGCTAGGCTCACTAAGTATAGCGGAGAAAAGACAAGTAAATAGGATAAAAAATGTACAAAAGTTACAGCAGACACTGCGGAAGTTCAGAGGTTAGTAAAAATCTACTGTGAACATTTATATGCTAACAAGTGTAATAACCTGGAAGAGGTGGACGAATTTCTAGAATTACTCAATCATCTCAGACCAATCACAAACAAGAAAATTGAAACAATAATCAAAACTCTCCCAAGAAAAACAAAAGGACCAGAGCCAGTTGGTTTCACAAGTGATTGCTACCAAACTTTCAGAGATTTACTGATATCTGTTCTACTCAAACTCTTCCAGAAAATCAGAGGGAATACTTCCAAAGTTACGAGGCCTGCATTACACTAATACCAAAACCAGACAAAGGCAACACAAAAAATTATTAACTAGTTTCCCCAATGAACACAGTTGCAAAAACTCAATAAAACCTTAGCATACAGAATCCAACAATGCATTAAAAGGACTATATATCACAACCAAATGGAATTTATACCAGTGGCACAGGTAAAACATCTGAAAATCAATCACATCAAAAAAGAAAGGTAAAAATGATAGGGTTGTATCAGTAGATGCTGAGAAAGTACTTGGTAAGATTCAACATCCATTTATGATGAAAACCCCTGAAAAACGAGATAAATGGAACATATTGTAACATAATAAAAGCCATATATGACAAACCCATAGCTAACATCATTCTCAATGGTGACACACTGAAAACTTTTCCATTTATATCTGCTAGAAGACAAGGATGTCTCTTTTCACCACTACTATTTAACATAGTATTGGAATTCCTAAGTAAGTAATTAGGCAATAGAAAGATGTAAAATGTATCCAAACCCAGAAAGAACAAGTAATTCTGTCACTTGTTTGCAGATGACATGATAATATGCATAGAGAACACTAAAGATTCCACTGAAAAACCAATTGAAACAATAAACCAGTTTAACAAAGTGGCAGCTTATAAAATTAGTACACAAAAGTCATTTGCTTTTCTGTATTCAAACAGTGAGTTAGAAAGCAAGAAATTAAGAAAATGTTTCTATTGACTGTCACATTAAAAAGAATTAAATACCTAGAAGTATTAGCCTAACAAAGGAAGTTAAGGACTTAACACAACAAAAACTGTAAGATATTGTTAAAAGCAATAGAAGAGGCAAGGAATTGGGAAGATACTCCTTGCTTGTGGGTTGAAGAACAAATAATGTTTAAATGCCCATCCTACCTAAAGCATTATACAGATTCACTGCAATCCCAATAAAAATTTCAGTAGCATTCTTCAAAGAAATGGACCCCAAATAGCAAAGCAATCCTGACAGGAGGAAGAATGTTAGTATCTCACATCCAGCCTTGAAACAAAACCATAAAGCCACAATAATTAAAACAGCATTGTATTAGAACAAAAATGGACAACACATACCAGTGCAATGAATTGAGAACCCAGAAATAAACCCACACCTAATTTAAGACAAAGGAGCCATGAATCTACACTGGAACCAGGAATTCCTCTTCAATAAATAGCATTGGGAAAATGGATAGTTGCATGCAGGAGAATGAAAGTAGACTGCTGTCTCACATCATACACAAAAATCAACTTGAAATGGATAAAAGGCTTGGGAAAGGCCTGAAGCCATAAAATAGAAGAAAACAAAGGCAAAATACTTTACAACATAAGGTTCAGTGATGTCTTTGCAGGTTTATTTCTAACACCAAGGAAAACAAAAGAGATTGATTATAAACACTAACTTTATCAAGCTCAAAAGCACTACTGAATGGGAGAAAGTATTTGTATGCTATTTATCTGGCAAGGGACTGATATCAAAGATCTACAGGGCCTCCTTGGTGGTACAAGGGCTTAAGACGCAACCTATGAAGCTATTTGCAGCCACTGAAGCATGAGTTCCATCCCCTGTTGGCCAGGGAGCTACCCACATGGCACAGCAGACCTCTCCTGACTCACCCGCTGCTCCCCTCAGCCGTGTACTTTAGTCAGTCTGCCTGTTCTGATCACCACTCTGTCTCTGGTGAATCCTCTCACCCCCCACACCTCTGGCCTGTACCCCAGTTCTTGTATGCATAAATAAATCTTTTTTTAAAAAACTATAAAACTGCCAAAAACATACCTGATTGTTTCAGTTCAACTAAAATATTTTTATGTTATTGACACAGTAACTGATTTAGTTATATACTATTGTTTTATCTGCCTTTTCACTGAAGCTGTCACTCTTTTAGGAGTCTCAGTGATTTTTGTAAGAATTTTAGTTCCATGTCTTCACTTTATAGGGATCCAAAATGTCTTATTTTCCCTACATAAGTGTTAGAAAGTAAACTCAATTATAGAGATTGACACATCCCCGGTCGTGTGTTGGCTATAGCACTAGTAGCAGCTAATGTTGTTTCTGTGAATTCAGGAAGCTTCCCTAATATTCCTGTCGCCTGAGTCAAGTTTGAGATCTAGATTCTATAGGATGCATGATGAGAGATTTATTTCTCAAGTGGAGATATGATTTATATTTTGGGAGTTGTTAATAAAATGTGATCCATATAACCAATCATATTGCTGTTATCTTTTATTTTCAATTCACTTTAGCATCAAAAGGAGCATACCTTAAGTCAGAAATAGATGTACTAGTAATATCTTTGATTTATTCTAAACTCTGAGATTGAAAACCAGAGAAATAACAAAGTCATTTTTGGTAGACTAATCTGAAACAGATTAATTTTAAAAAGCATGATCTGAAGGTTAGCAACAGAAATAGTGAATTAAAATTTGTTCTTTCCTTTGCTCCACTTACATCTTCTTTGATGTATTTGAAATGTCCCTGGAAGATTTTGTTACTGGGGTTAAAAATAGGTCTCCAGTGACTTGAGAGTCCCACAAACCTAATCCCTTCCTTAATGTGCACTCTTATACTTTAACTTCTTACATTTCCATGGAGAAATACACTCTGAGATCTTGGAAACAGATTTTTTACATGTTGCTAATTCAGTGTCATTTGTCAAATCCAATAGACACTCAGCTTCCTATTTCAGATACTTGAGTCTGAGTGATTCTTAGGGATAGGTTAATTAAAATTACTGTTTTTTCTGACCTTGAGAAAATATTTGCAACAAAGCTGCCGAAAAGAGTGTTTCAGTCCACGTCATTTCTGCTTGTTTCTTGCCTTCCACAGTGAGGTCTTAAGCATTCCCTGGCAAATGCTGGTACAGTGTCAGATTCTGCCCTTATGCAGTAGAATGAGCCCAGACACATGGAAGTGGAGCCCAACAAGCTCAGGGGCCCAACCATATGGCAAGCACCTTCCAGGGTTCCTCCTAACCTCTTCATATGGGGTACACTTCCGTACTATTTGCATAGTAGCTGCTTTTCTTTATATTATCATGCATCTAAATATCATTTATTGGATATTTATTTAGTCATACATATTTCTTTTTGAAGTTAATACAGATTTATTTACTTGTTTATTTACTTGTTTACTTATTTATTTATTGGTGGGCCCCTTGCTGGTGGCCGGGGAATGAACTGGTGCTGCAGAGGCTGCGGGCAGCCTCTCAGCCCAGTGCTCAACTGCTACGCCACCAGGGGAGGCACCCAGATTTATTTTTTTTAAAGATTTATTTATGCATACAATAACTGGGGTACAGACCAGAGATGTGGGGGATGAGAGGATTCACCAGAGACAGAGTGGGGAACAGAACAGGCAGACCGACTGAAATACACTCCTGAGGGGAGCAGTGGCGAGACAGGAAAGATCTGCCTCGCCATGTGGGTTTCTCACTGGCCAGCCAGGGATCGAGGCTGTGAATTGCTTCATAGTGCAGTGCTTAACCCCTTGTGCCACCAGGGAAGCCTTAGTCATACATATTTCTATAAGAGCTTCTTGGTTCAGAATTAGCTCACTGCACCAGACTTAGTAATTAACCCACCATCCCTCTCTGCACCTCCACTCAGACCCCCAAAAAACAACTATCATTTGTACTTAAATGCTTTTTCCAGACTGGATAATCAAGATGGTTTAGGGTAGCATTGTTCTCTTTCATTCTCTTCAGGAAAACCTAGTCTAGCTAAAACTTACTTTCTCCAGTATCCATTTCTTTATCTTGCACACATTAGTCACGATAGCTATTTCTAATAGCTATCAATAGCTAGTCAGTGTAATTTTCTCTATTGCAGAAAAATGTACAAGATATGTTTCCTATTGCTCTGTTATAAGTGCTTGGCAATTTAGTTGTAATCATAATAGTCTTTTTACTTTTTTACATTTATTCAGTCTTTTTTCAGCCATCTCAAGAACTAATCTTAGGATTTAAGCAATTACTCCTGGGAACTTGGATTTCTCAGGCACAGTAAGAGTTGTGCAAACATGTATTCTTTTACTTCAAATTTCTATTCTAACATGCTTTCCACGTTGATGTAAAGTTCTTTTACATTTTGGGATTTAGGGATTAATCATTTATGCATGTGACCTTGGTTCAAAGGGAGATGTGAAAGCACCTGTTTTCAGCAGAAATAGTTGATGAGGGTGTGCACTTGAAATTCATCAGTGAAGAATTCAAAGATGTCTGCCTAGGTTTTATGTTAGAAAGTTGTAAGTGCTATATAAAAATAATAAGCTTGGTAAGGAATGTTGGACTGGTATTTTTTAAAAAGATGAGATTTAAGCAAAGATGGAAGATGAAGGATACCAAAATTTGTGGGTTTTTTCCTAATCCTTTTTCCTTTTGGGGAACAGTGCTATACCCCATCTTCTCTCTCTTGAATTCCAATAGACTGGTCACACTACTGTGAATTAAGTGCCTGTATAAATTCATGTTCTTTACCCCCAGACATTATTTTTTTTTATTTTTTTTTTTTAGAGGCATGTTTTATTTATTTATTTATTTGTTTGTTTGTTTGTTTTGTTTATACATGCACTGGGTACAGTCAGAAGCGTGGGAGGGTGAGAGAATTCACCAGAGCCAGAGCGGGGAGCAGAGCAGGCAGAAGGACCGAAATACACTGCTGAGGGGAGCAGCGGGCGGCAGGAGAGGTCTGCGCACCATGTGGGACCCTCCTCCGGTGGCCGGGGAGCAGCAGGGGATCGAACCGGCGCCGCAGAGGCCGCGGGCAGCTTCGCAACCCAGCGCTCAACCGCTGCGCCACCGGGGAGGCCCACCAGACATTATTTTTATGACCTTTCTGTTACAAAATTTCTCAGCTCAAAACTCAAGGATATGGGATTTTATTCTAAGATCAATAAAAAAGAAATGGAACAAAGTTGGTTTTGTTTTGTTTTTTTTTTTGTTTTATTTTTTGTTTGTTTTTTTTTGCATAGAAAAACTGAGGTATAGGCCAGAGGTACAGGGAGTGAGAGGATTCAACAGAGATCCAGTGGGGAGCACAACAGGCGGACTGACTGAAATACACTGCTGAGGGTAGCAATGGGCGAGACAGGAGATGTCAGCTGTGCCATGTGGGTCAGCTCTCTGGTCGGGGATGGAATTCATGCTGCAATAGTTGCAGATTGCTTCATTGTGCTGACACTTAACCCCTTGCACCACCACTGAGGCGCCCCCCCCATCTCATTTAATCATCACATATCTTAAGTGACCTCTGCTATCATTTGGAAGGGAGAAGGGCTGCTTAGAACAGTGAATTTCTAGACGAGTCTATAGCATTTATTAAAAACCTTAAGGGATCCACAAAGTAGAGGGAGGATAGTAAAAGCATCAATCAGTAACTGGTTAGGTTGGGAGTAAAAAATTAGGAAGAAAGGCAAAAAAAGAAAACAAAAGGCTGGGAAAAAATGAATAGAACAGCTAAAAATGGGGAAAGTGCCCATCAGCTGATAAATGAGAAAACAATGTTATCTGGCCATTAAAGGGGGTTAGTGCTGATATATGCTACAATATGAATGAGCATTGGAAACATTATTCCAAGTTTAAAAAGGCATGGAAGAACACATATTGTATAATCCCATTTATATGTAAGGTCTAGAATAGGCTAATCTTTAGCAACAGAAAATAGATTGGTGGTTGCCAGGGCTGGGCAGGGATGAAGTGAGGAGGAAAAGTTAAAGAATACAGACTTTCTTTTAGGGGTGATGAAAATCTTCCAAACTTGGTGGTGATGGTTGCACAACTCTGTCACTGTGCTGTAAATCACTAAATACATGTTTCATTCATAATTTATAGTATGTGAATTATATCTCAGTATCGCTATTAAAAAAATGAATAGGTGTATGAGTGGTTGTGCTATCAACATTTATGTAATGATCTATCAGAGACACCAGCCTAGGAATTGAATGCTAAAAGCTTAATGTTAAAAATGAATCAGAGTTGGGAGGTTAGAGCTTAGAAATTTAGTAATTAGGTTTCATAATTGAACACCATAATCTGTCATACCAGACATAAAGGAATATTGGGTACAACCAAAAAACCGCTTTGCCCTTTGATGTGTGAACTGTGTATTATTTTTATTTTTAGTCCACCTAATCATTTTGCTAGTAGCTATATCTTACCTGAGTTTTGAGGAGTTGTTCTCAGCTAGGTATTAAACGCACTACCACTGTAGTAACATTCTATGCGCATTGTTGATGTCACAAATGTGGAACACCTGACTGTGCTAGGGAAATGAGGTCATTATTTGTGATTGAAACAGATGAAGGATCTGTGTCTTAGAAGCAATTTGAAGAAATTGAATTTCTTTTGTATGTAATTTTGTCTTGTAGTGTCTTGTATTGTTGCTTCACTGGAATCATATTCTCTAAGTCCTTTTATGGCTTCTACCCAGGATCTGTCTTGGGCCTTTTTTGTCCTTCCAGATACTCATTTACTCCATTTGTACAACCCCCTCTACTTTCTAGTCCATTTCACAGACTCTCATGTTATTAACTGCTGACATTCTCTCTGCATTGAAGTATTTCAGCACCTATTTCCTAGAGCAATCCAGAAAATTAACATTATTTCTGTTTGCATTTGTTTGGAAGTTATAGAACAGAATTATTTGTTTTGAAGATGTAAAATATGGACTCTCAGGTCATCCTTGCAGACCCTTTGTGAGCAATCATCTCTCCCTCTTTTCTTTTTTGGCCAATCCTGCACACCCACTGCTAGGTGCCAGTTCCCACATTGTTGCTTTGATATGCTATCTTCTCAATTTAGGCCATATTCTTGAACTTGCTAAAAATACAGTTTTTAATATGACTATTTACAAAATTTTCTATTTTAACAATTCCTTGACTCTTAACACCTAAATATAATTGTGCCAATTCAGGACAGATTTTTGTTGGTGTGGATTGATTAGTTTTTTTTTTTAATCTGATAAATGTATTTTCTAATAGGAAATTTATCAGCACTGTTTATTAACTTTGTTGATCCTCACAACTTCCCTGCTTTCCTGTTTGATAGAAGAGGAAACTGAGGCACAGAGAAGATTTATACAGCTAGTAATGGTAGAGTTCCATAGCCACTAATCATAATGACTTTTCTGTATTGCCTTATATGTCAAACTAAATATCCTGTAAATAAATCTTAAACTTCAGCAATCAAAATTTAAAATAATTCTTGTAAATATGATACCTCCCTCACCACATTTCTGTGTGGTCCAGAATCCATACATGTAACCTAAGCTGCACCTTAGTGCCTAATACACCATTTAAAAAATAAAAACAGAAGTCACTATGATAACATTCGATATTCAGGTAGATATTTGATAATATCCTGTACCTATTAGGGATTTTATTACAATAATATTATTAGCAGTTGTTAATTGATTCCACAAATACTTGTGAGTCCCAGGGCTGCCATAATTTAAATTAGTACTTATTAACCATTATTATTAAATCCAGAATTCAAACAAGATTTGAATTATGTTATTAATATTTAAGTCAGTATATCTGGTTTTATAGACATTCCGTTTGAAATGTGATATTACATAGTAAAGATGTCATTAATTATACAGTTCACATTAAATCATGTTATAACCAAAGTGTGGCTTTTTGTACTTGTTACAAATGGAGTCTACTCTCTTTTCAAATCATACCAAGGTACAGAATACCATGTATAGTGTGAAAAACTTGAAAAGACTGTATGTTCATTCACACATATGATTCTATGTATGATTATATGTATATGTATATGAGTATTTTTTAGAGGATAAGTAAGAAATACTTAATGGTTTCTTTTGGGGAGAGATACCTGGGAATATGAAGGGAAGGAAAAAACTTTTTCACCTTTATTTGTTCTGATATTTTTTTTGCCCATGAGTATGAATTACTTGTACCTAAAATAAATTTTACTATAAATTTTGCAGCTGAGTTTTTTTTTAATCTAATTCAAATGATAATTATCTCATGAAACATGGATTTTCAAACTTCAGAGATAGCTATTAGTCTGTTTTTGGTAATTTCTAATACTCTTTATAACGCTGCAATGAGTCATCTAGTACTATTTTGTTAAAAGGTACCATTGGGGCCTCCCCTGGTGGCATAGTGGTTGAGCGCTGGGCTGAGAGGCTGCCCGCAGCTTCTGCAGCGCCGGTTTGTTCCCCGGCCGCCGGCGAGGGTCCCACCAAAAAAAAAAAAAAAAAAAGGTACCATTGGTTTTACAACATGGTATATGTTTTAGGGAGTACAGGTTTATGCATCTTCAAGTATACATCACTAAACCATACTTACCATGAATTGCTAACAATCTCCTCCTCTACCCTTTGTTTCTACTTTCCCCTCCCCCTCTTTTTGATGTGAATGACATTGACCCATGTGTGAGACATCTGACTGAATAGCTTGATGACAGGTAACCTCAGTTCTGTCATCACAGTCCAAGGATTTGTTTTTGTTAGTTTTGTCTATTTTTCTAGATTCCACATGAGTGAAATCATTATTTGTTTTTTCCTTCTGACTTATTTCGCTTAGCCTATTCCCCTCCAGTTCCATCCATCTTGTTGCATAGGGCACTTGGGCTATTTCCATATCTTGGCTATTGCAAAGAGTGCTGCGGTGAACTCAAAGATTCATGTATCTTTTCAACTTAGTCTTTTCATATTCTTTGGCGAGGTATCTAGAAATAGGTTTGCTGGATCATATGGTAGATTTGTATTTTACTTTTTGAGAAACTTCCATGATGTGACAGCATATGAGGTTTGCTTTTTCTTCACAACCTTGCCAGCGTTTGTTTCTGGTCTTTTTCGTGTTGGCCATTCTCTTAGGTCTGAGATGATACCTTCTTCTGGTTTTCATTTACATTTCCTTTATAATGAGTGATATGAACATTTTTCATTAGCCTGTTGGCCATTTGGGTATCATTTTTGGAAAAATGTCTTTTCAGATCTTCTGCCTTTTTCTTTTCTGAAAAAGTGAAGTTTAGTTTTAAAAATCATACACAATAAACTTCTGATTCATTTTAAACTTTCACAGGGAAGTCAGTTTCCCATTGAGTGCACACCGCCTCAAGATGAGGCGAGAGCACAATGAACAGAGAACCCCGCCTTTCCTCAATAGCTGAACAATAGCAACTGCTACTCAGGCTTGAACCAGCAATACTGGCTTTCCAGGTGACTTGAAAAGCTAGTTTCTTCAGAGCAAATAAACTCTGGAATCCACTTTGACAGCCATTCAGGTTGTTGGGCATCATCAGCAGACCCCAGAGGGCACACAGACAAGGAGATGTGCCGATGCACAGTATTTCACCTCCTCAATCCTGTGTACTTTCCTACACATTACATACTCTGGTCCAATTTGAGACACCCACCTCACCCCTCAACTGTGTTTCCCTTAAATTGAATACAGGTCTGAAAAGCAGACTTAGTACTGTGCAAACTGCAGCATTGTGGACTCACTGATGTTCAGATTTTTTTCCCATCCACATTCACATATTCAAAGGGATGGAGGATTTATAACTTCATAAAGACCCAAGAAAAGTGAGAATGTAAAAGGTCTTCCTTTTTGACACCAGAACAAAATTGAAAATGAGCACCTTACCTGAATAGTGAGAAATGAGTAATGATCTAGTAAAGAGAAATAATATTGTTTACCAACAAGGTATCTTGAATAAAAGTTGTTTTCAGAACTATGTTCCACAACTAATGAAATACCTTGAGATGAAAAGGTTAGCTCTCATACATAATCACTCTTAACATTCTTGTTTTGTTTTGTTTTTAAAGATTTATTTATTTATTTATACAAGCACTGGGTACAGTCAGAAGCGCAGGAGGGTGAGAGAATTCACCAGAGCCAGAGCGGGGAACAGGACAGGCAGACCGACGAAGTACACTGCCGAGGGGAGCAGCAGGCATCAGGAGAGGTCTCACTCTTAACATTCTTATAACTTACGTGTAATGATTTTCCATTGTCAGTACAAAACTAATGCTTTCTAAAAGCTCCATAAATTCTCCAATTCCTCTGGAGATCAAAAAGCATATGCAAATAATAACATTCCCAGGAAAATTAGCACATTAAAAAGTGATTCCATAGTATTCTAACACAGAGCAGTCTGACCTATAATCTGGGACAGAACACCTGTACTTCAGTCATATAGTGAAAATCAGTTCTTCCAATTTTAAATTCTTGTAAAGATTGAAGGACAGAGAAAGTCATCCATTATCCAAATTGTAGTCTGAATATTAGCATTAATTTTTCTGCATTTCCTTCTAGCCTTTACATAAATATTTTACATACTTGTAATGTGGATATAATCTTGTTTTACTTTTTTGTCTTTTAACCTAAGCATAATCTTTTAAAAAAAATTTTTTTAGCCTAATTGCAAATAGCCAGATATTGCTGCTAGAAGTAGCTCATATAAAATCATTACTGTGACTTAGTTTCTGGCAGTAGATGTGAAACTTCAGCAGTTTAACTCCAATGTGAAATTTCTAAAGACTACTCAGTCAAATTTTTTTCCTTTTTCTACTTTTGATTTAGATGAGTTAATTTTTTTTTTAAAGATTTATTTTTATTTATACAAGCACTGGGTACAGTCAGAAGTGCAGGAGAGTGAGAGAATTCACCAGAGCCAGAGCGGGGAGCAGAGCAGGCAGAAGGACCAAAGTACACTGCTGAGGGGAGCAGTGGGCCGCAGGAGAGGTCTGCGCACCATGTGGGACCCTCCTCTGGTGGCCGGGGAGCAGCCAGGGATTGAATCGGCGCTGCAGAGGCTGCAGGCAGCTTTGCAACCCAGCGCTCAACCGCTGCACCACTGGGGAGGCCCCTAGATGAGTTAATTTTAAAATCATGTTTAACTAACACTTTTATAGCACTTCACTGCCTGTTATTACCCACCTCATGATTTGCTAGCTTTCATATTATTCTTTTTATAACTTCACCAGCTTAATAAAAATGTGGAAGATTGAATATGCAGGAATTTTGACATAGTTGATTTGTTGGGACAGTTCTCACTGGAACATCGGAACTACAAAAGTTTAAATTCTTGTAAGCAGTTCACTTAAAAAAGATTAGAGGGCCTCCCAGGTGGTGCAGCGGTTGAGTGCTGGGCTGCAAAGCTGTCTGCAGCCTCTGCTGTGCCTGTTAGATCCCCGGCCGCAGGCGAGGGTCCCACATGGTGCGCAGACCTCTCCTGGTGCACCCGCAGCTCCCCTCAGCGGTGTATTTCGTCAGTCTGCCTGTTCTGCTCCCCGCTCTGGCTCTGGTGAATTCTCTCACCCTCCTGTGCTTCTGACTGTACCCAGTGCTTGTATAAATAAATAAATCTTAAAAAAAGATTACAAAACTAAATAGACATTATATCTATAATGTAACTTTTAAATGCTGGAAAGAGGGTGAAACTAGAATTACTTGGTATATACAAATGTTGATTTATAAAGCCGTCCACTTGAAACTTATATAATGTTATAAACCAATATCACTTCAGAAAATTTTTAAAAATGCAGTGATGTTCAGCAAAAATAATAAAAGAGCAATGCTTAATTTTAAGAAGTGCAGGCAAGTAAAAAACCCAAAGTGCTCCTAGTATCTCTGAGATAAGACATTGTTTTTCAACTCTATACTGTATTTTGTTAGTGTTCTTTGGTGGCTGTTATCTTTTTTTAGGATAAGAAAAATGCATGTCATAAATATTTTTCATTAAAAAAGCCTGCTTGTTGAAAATATGTAAATAAGCTAACCCTTTCCATCATTCCTTGCTAAATTTCTACCCTCCAAGCGCCCACTCCCTATTTATGGGAAGTTTTCTATGTCTTAAGACTATGTCATAGTCTCTGCATATTTACAGGAAATGTGACTGATAGGACTGAAAGAGAATTATCTAGATCAGGAGGTAGCATTATGCAAGTGATAGCAGTAATGTTTGTCATTCGTATACTTACTATGCAACATTTCTGTCATCTCTGAAAGTCAGGATTTGAGACTAAATCATGATTTAACTTCTTGGAGTTTCTCTAAGAGGTAACTCTTGCAAAGGAAAAGAGAGAATGTATGTTCTAGTGCATGTTTTTATGCAGAGTACGTCCTCATGATGCATTATATCCCATCTCAGTAACTCTTGATTTTTCTGCCCCTATATGAGCTACCATTTTACAGAGTAGTTTTTCTCTGTATATCCCAATTACCTCTGACTTCAAGGAAGAATATTTTTGCAAACTTAACGTGCATTCAATAAAATCCAATACATTTATGATTCTTACATTGAAAAGGGATGGTTGTTAGCTCTTAATTTGCAAGAGCAGCAACTAGATGCCAGTAGATCACATATAAAAAATAATTGAAAAGCAAGGGACTCCTTTGCTTACTTGTTCGGTATCTTAGAGATAATCAGAAAAATGTAAATATTTTGCTTTCTTTTTAAAAAGGGAGCCATTGCCAGATATAACAGGTTTGCGTTTTTTTTTCCCCCAGATTATGTTTATTGAGGTAAAGTTGTTTTTTGTTTTTTTTTTTAAAGATTTCATTTTATTTATGCATCTAAGAACTGGGGTGTAGGCCAGAGGTTCCTGGAGTGATGAGAGTATTCACCAGAGACAGAATAGGAAGCAGAACAGGCATATCTACTGAAATACACTGCTGAGGGGAGCGGTGTGTGAGACAGGAGAGGTCTGTTGCGCCGTATGGGTCAGCTCCCTGGATGAAGATTGAACTCATGATGCAGTGGCTGGCAGTAGCTTGATAGTGCTGAGATTTTAAACCCTGCGCCACCAGGGATGCCCAAGGTAAAGTTGGTTTACATCATTGTATCTGCTTTGGGGTTATAAGTTTAAACCTCTACAAATGTACATTTTCATAACCTGCCCACCATCAGTGCCCCAATAATCCTCTACCGTTTTACATTGGTCCCCTCCCTTCCCCCAGTCCCATCCTGCCACCCTACCCTTTTGGTTGCCTTATTTTTGGAGTCAGATGTTAAGAGTTTATTACTCGTTTGGTTTTGACCGATTCTTTGATAGGTTTTTTAACTACATGCAAGTGAAACCATCCAGAATATGTCTTTCTCCTTTTGGTTTTTTTCACTTAGCATAATCCTCTCCCGTGCCAGCCATGTTGTTGCAAACGTAAGATTTCATCCTTTTATTGTGGCATAATTTTTGGTCTGTATTCATGGGGTTGAATACAGAGAGTTGACAATGGGAGCATATTTAGCTTGATGTAATCCTTGATATAAATTCTAAAATGTCTTGCTAAAGAAAAAGAACTGTTTTAAAACAGTGATTAAACTGATCTGTGTATCCAGTAATTTTTCTGAATTTTACTTTAGGCATTTCATAAATAAAACTCTGAAGAAAAATATTTTTTTGACAATACTATAAAATTTTGCTAAAATCTTGGCCTAGTGTTTCTTGTTTGCATTTACTTATTTTTTTATTTTATAAATTAAATGTGCCTTTAAGAATTGAAATTTTATGGGACAGACTGCTTTAAGCATCACTAAGTTCAGGTACAAAATACTATAATTTAAGAATAAGAGGCAGTAACTTAAGAGACAATCTCTTAGTTGGACCTATTTATTGATAAGGGCTATTCTAATAAGTAGGTCTTAGAAATGGAGAAATGAACTAAAAAGGAAAGAATTTGTAAATCTGAGCTAGTGTCTCAAATTTAATCTCTTTATTCTAACTATTTGGCATTAATTGCTCTATATATCAAGGAATCAGTGTCACTGTCTTCTCTGGTCTCTTCCTCGCCCTACCTTTCTCCTCTCCGTCTACTCTCCAACACGCCCACCTCTCTATCACTGGCAGAAGAGCTGTGATTCAGTCTTGCTAGAACTAAGAGTGTGTGTATGTCTGTTCAGTTTTTAAAATGTCTCAGTATCTCCTAAAAATGTATTGTGCTTTCTCTCACTTGTTTTTCTCACAACTTTAGTTTAAGTCACAACTTTAAGTCACAACTTTAAAAGGACAGAGTAATAAGTTTGCACAGTGTGTATTTATTTCAGGAAAAAAAAAACACAACAAGCCCATGAAAAATGTGTTATGTTACTCGAGGAGGAAATGTTTAGCTCATGTTTTGGGGTTGGCTACATTTAATATATTCTAGGAAAGAAAAGTTTACCTACATCTTTGATTTTTTTTTTTCCTTTAGAGAAAACGCCTCAATTTATATTTGATACCAAATAGTCCCACCAAAAGTGATCTTCCTTTTCTCCATGAATGGCATTTAGAGCTGAATTCATGCATAAATGAAATGAAATTTGAAATAAAATATACTCCACAACTCCATAACTTTTTTTTTTTAAAGATTTATTTATTTATTTATACAAGCACTGGGTAGAGTCAGAAGCGCAGGAGGGTGAGAGAATTCACCAGAGCCAGAGGGAAGAGCAGAGCAGGCAGCCTGATGAAGTACACTGCTGAGGGGAGCAGCGGGCAGCAGGAGAGGTCTGTGCGCCAATGTGGGACCCTCGCCCCGTGGCCGGGGATCGAACCAGCACTGCAGAGGCTGCGGGCAGCTTCCCAACCCAGCACTCAACCACTGCACCACCCAGGAGGCCCTCACAACTCCATAACTCTTAAAAGGATTCTGATTAAATAGAATTAGTCACAAGCATTTTGGAGAGATGCACATAGGAAAGACTTGTTATTGTAAAATCAGAAGATCAAAAAAAAAAAAAAAATGGAAGGAGAGTATTAGTTACATCCAGCAGGCCCTTATTAGAAGGTGGTTTTGTTACAAGGTTGCTGAGAAGAAAAGAAATTCTGGCCAACTTTAATGAAATGGACCTGTTTTCCTATTTTCATTTTATGTAGTTTACCTTAAAGTCACAGTTTCTAAGAACCTAACAATAACATTAAGTGGGATCTTACTATATAGGAATATACATTTTCAATATAAGAGTATGAGGCAATAACAAATTTAAACCCACCCCACAATTAATTACTATAAGCTAGGGTCCATATTTTAAGAAAATGATTTACCTTGAGTAGGCCACAAAGGAAGGATAATACTAGCCTAATAATGTTTTCTTGTTCATGTTTCTTGGTCCCTGAGGAGGATAAAGAAAAATTTCTGTTTGAGCTGTGTAACAAAGGAGATTTATAGAGTATTTTGAATGATCATTATTTTGAGACATTTTAAATGTCTCCTCTTCCTTGTTCTCCACAACAATGCAAATGTTTATAATGTGTCATTCTTTAAAAAGTGTTGAGAGGCTGTTCTGGGGAAATCCTATCAGTGAGTGATATTTCCATAGGGAGTCAGCTTCAATGTCTCCTTCAACTTTGTGTTTATTCGCTTTTGATGACATCACTATTTATTAAGGGGCCTTTCTATAACTCTTCTCCCCACCCATCTGCCTATAACCTCACTGCTATCTCTTTACTCATATGTTCCCTCCTGTAGAATCTTCTTAATATATTCTGTTAAACAAAATATCACATAGCAAACAGAATATATTAAGATTCTACAGGAGGGAACATTGAAGCTGACTCCCTATGGAAATGATATCACTCACTGATAGGATTTCCCCAGAACAGCCTCCCAGCAGTATACAGGGTAGGCTAAAAGTATTGATCTGACGTGAGAATTGAATGTTGTAGAGGTACTCTCTATCTAATGAAATCTTAATCAGTGTCCTTTTGTTTAGAATGCTTTAAAAACATAATATTGAACTTAGTGTTTCTTGCAGTTTATTAGAACCTTAGTTCATCATACAATTTCACTCATAACATTCTAGTTGAATATACAGAGGTCTGAGAAGTGTGATTTTCTTAAGCTGGTATCGTTGATAAACAGTAGAAGCAGAAGCAACAGTAGAAGTAGAAACAGAAGATACTTACCACATACTGAGTTATATGCCTAGGTTTGTTTTAACTGTAAACTAGGAGGGCCCTAGGTCACCATTTGGAAGTTGTATGAGCTGATATGAACAATTTGTGCCTGAGACATTTGCCATCGCAATCTCTGGCCACAACTGCACAGTTGTTCACTTTATGATCTGTCTATCTTCTTAGTATAGGTGAAGCCCTCTTCTGTGCAACTAAGTTTGAATTACCGATATCATTTCGCCCTAATATTCTGAACATGACTTCAAAGTGGGCAGTAATGGACCGGATCTTGTATTTCAGCTCAGACAGCTATAACTGCACCAAAGATGTGGAAGAAACCAAAAGATCGGACCCGAACCACTGAAGAGGTGTTAGAGGCAGAATTGGAGGTAAGGGTCATCAGTAAATCTCTTTAAATCATCCTCCTAGCAGTTGTGTAATTTTCTTAAGACAAGCGTGGGCTTCTGTCCCTTTCTTGAGTTACTGTTTAACAAGCCAGACTTGAGATATCAAGTCCATTTCTAGACATTTAGGAAAATTTTAATAGCATGTTCAACTTCATTAAATTCTTGTCTTTCTTTCAAAATACCTTTTCTAAAATGGCAAGACCCAATATTGCTAAGCCTTCCATCCTCTCACTTCACTTTTTCCTTGTATTAACTAGATGGAAAAACTAGCCTCGAAAAGAAAAATGGGGATAATTTTTTTACTGTTATTATCAGTTGTGGTAGAAACAATCAGGTACATTTTAGGGAAATTTATTTTGAATCTGTCATCTTTAAACTGAAGCCCAGTAACTTTTCATGTATGCTGTGTCTTTTGGAACTAAGCCACACCAGAGTTTGCTATACATGACAGGATACCAGGTCCAGAAACAATGGCAGATTTGGTACTCGGTGCTCTTAACAGTTTCATAGTCTGTAATCTTAATATCCTTGATATTTTGTGCTGAAGTATATAAATGAAGAGTATTATAAACAATGTGTATTTTCTGTTTTTATCTTAAATTCATATCTACTTTATTAAAGTTTTTACTATTTATTTTTACTGACTATTTTAAATACATTTATTTCTTAAGACTTTTCTAGCTAGTTGTTGCCCTCTTGAAGCAGCACACAGTACCCCTTTGTAACTTATTTCTGTTCTGCCATTGTTCTTCTATGATGCTCTGTTGATGTCACAGTTAGTTCCATAGCAACCACTAAAATGTCACATGGGTATGATTTCATTGTGGTTATCAGGGGATAAGAATTGGCAGTAATTTATAGAGGTGCAAATAATTACTGTACTCCTCTTGCAGCTGGGCAAGAAAATGTTGCTCCTACAGAGAATAAAATACCTTCCAGAAGCAGGGGAATCACATACATTCCTGGTATGGCTGTGAGAGCAACATAAACTGATATCTCTTTAGATTTAACTTTAAAACAAAAACTTGTTTTCTTCTATTATACTTCATGTTCATTTGCCCTGTTGTTGGGTTTTTGTTTATCAAGTACTAAGTGGATGGTTACCACTCTGTGCTTGCAAAGATTCGTTCTGTTCTCTGGGCCAGGGGCTGCAAACTTTCCCTTGGAATAGCTCAGAGAGTGTGTAGTTGCAGGCTTTGGGACTATGATCCCGGTCATGTTTTTCCCAACCCCGCAACTATACACTAGAAGAAGCCGTAGATGATGTGTAAATGAGTGAGTATGGCTGTGTTCCAGTAAAAATTTATTGATGGACAATGTAATTTGAATTCCATATAATTTTCACATTTTATGAAATACATTTTTCAACTATTACAAATATGAAAACCATCTCTCCCATGCACACATACAGAAATAGATGGTAAGTCAAACTTGACTTATAGGCCATAGTTTCTTAAAACCCACTTTAGGTTATTCTTCTTACATGAGAACTGTTTTGACTCATTCAGAATCACTTTTTTCTTAATCTGATAGTTTCAAAGTATAATAAAAAGGTATTTGGTCATTTGTACACAGACTTTTCCCAGGAATCCTGTAGTCCCCTGTCTTTCCTAATATTGACCATTTGTTAGGTTAGTAAATATTAGTTGCCGCTGTCTTCATTTTTACTGATTCTCAAGGGCTCCTTGTCGTAGGTTTTTCTCAGTCATTTAAAAGAATGTGTTTCAGGTGTCAGCATATCAGGGCTGTATGTTAGAGAATTATATCATTACAAATATTGACATTCTCAAGGTTATTAACATAGATAACATGAAGGATGATTCATCTTGAAATTTTCAGTCAAGGCATCATAAAATCTGTTTAAAATTTTTGACTATTTCATCAGTCATCATGTGTAGCTGTCAGTCTGATTATTAGAGCACTTTAAATGCTCTCAGCTTTAATAAAGCAGCTTTGTCAACTAAATTATTCTTTTAACAGGTTCCCATAAAAGGTTTACCTTTGACAATCCAGCCTTTCTTTATTTGGTCTGTTTTTTTCTGAGTACATAGTTAAAGAACTTTTAGATACTTACAAATTAGTTGAATAGAATTTCATCCTGATGAAATAAAGCTATCATCATAAATATTTAATGCAGCTATTTTGTGAAATCCCTTGAAAAATGCCCCTTCTATTATTGTGCATCTGTGATCTGTATTCTCTCAATATGGTTTGTCATTCATGGAACGGTTTCTTTATACTTATTTTCAGTTAGAACAGGACTTTTCAATTAATCTTCTGTTTATATCCATTAAACTGTCATTGTTGATTTTAGGTACAGAGAAGAGGACCCCCAATGTATTTTTTGACGTTTGAAATAAGAAACTATGTAATTGTGTAATATAGTTATACTGCTCTTTAATAAGTCATATCTGTACCATTTACAGACTCACATGCCAGTTTATTAAAGATCTTCTGGTATTGCAAGTTTATTGTAAGTTAATTAAGATGACAGTATAGAATAAGTAAAAGTAAAACTGCTAATTCATGATTTAAACTCAGTAGATATTTTTCTGCCACTTTTTTTGTTAAAGATTTATTTATTTTTATACATGAACCGGGGTACAGGCCAGATGTGCGGGAGGGTGAGAGGATTCACTGGAGACAGAACGGAGAACAGAATAGGCAGACTGACGAAATACACTGCTGAGGGGAGCAGCGGGCGAGACAGGAGAGGTCTGCCAAGCCATGTGGGATTCTCGCCGGCTGGGATTGAACCCACGCTGTAGAGGCTGCGGACAGCTTCACAGTGCAGCGCTCAACTGCCTGCGCCACCAGGGAGGCCCTCTGCCACATTTTATAAACAAAATTGTTTCCAGACTTTGTTTTCTTTGAAGTATATATGTTATGTATTTGCAGGAATTTAATTTCCATGATAGAAACGAACTAAAAGCCACATTTTCCTATTGGTAACATTTTAAAATCCAATGTATTTTCCCTGTGGCCTTAGGTATGGTAGAAGAAAATTTGCTAGTATGGTATCTGTTGTATTGCTTGTATATCAACGCAGGATTTGTAGCTCGTAATTTAAAAATAAAAAATATAATTTTATAAATCAGTCGGGGCAAGTACTTCCTGCAATCCTGTGTTGAAACAATTCAACAGAACCTTTGTTTTTGGCTCTCCTAGTATGATTTATCAGTTAAAATACCTAATTCCTCAGAGTGATTCTTCCAAGGATTGTTTTCAGAGTACTCTCACCTTTAATGAAAAAGAAACTTAAAGTTCCTGGAGAACTTTGCCTTGAGAAGTTTTGGTGTTTCCTACAGCCCTTAAGAAATAACACTTTTGTTTGATATCTGAAACAAATATAGTAAAACGTAATTTGGGTAACAGGGTTAATTCTATTTTGCCTCTTAAAAAGACAGTATGAAGCAGAACTTGGCTTTCTGATGAAATATTCCAAGCATTTTTCCAATATAATTTGAGTAAGAGTATAGTCTCAGAGCATTCCAAGAACCAATAAACAAAATAGATCTTAAGTAACAAGTAGCCTCTTTGTAAAGTGAGAAATGATTGGCTTTGTGGGACTTAGATATGTTAAACTGTTCATCAGACTTTTCATTTCTCAGCCAGAGGACAGCATACAGAATACCCTGCAGCGTTTCTTTTTATATTTGCTCAGCTTCAGTAGCAAGGGTAGGAGTGCTTGATTTAGATTTCTGACTAGGACTCTTTCATGTCTATCAAGTTCCAAGGATTAACAGTTCTTTCCATTCTAGCCTTTGGGACATTTAGATTTCATTAGTCATGATAAAGCATTTCAGTAACTATTTGAAATCTTTGCTTTAGACCAGTAGATGAAATGAGAAGAGTGTTTTAAATAAACTTACCGTTCCAGTACTGTATGCTGAATACAGATATCCTTGGGTGACATGTTTTCTTATGCTTTCTGAGAGGATAGATATATATTCTTATATATTTACATATTCTTTTCTATTTACACACAGTAGAAGATTATATATAGAGATACACACACATATAACCTCTGTGTCCACTTATGCTTTAGCCTAAAGCTGAAGAGGAGCTTTCAGGTGACAAAGTACTTGAATCTGAGCACAATAAAATGAGCCAAGGGTTTCATCCTGAAAGAGACTCCTCTGACCTAAAAAAAGCGAAAGCTGTGGAAGAAAATGGAGAAGCTGAGCCTGTGCGTAATGGTGCTGAGAGTGTTTCTGAGGGTGAAGGAATAGATGCTAATTCAGGCTCCACTGATAGTTCTGGTGAAGGGGTCACATTCCCATTCAAACCAGGTAAGTTTATCTCTCCCTATCTGTGTACCTCTTGTTTTCCCACTTCACAGTACTGCCTTTTCACAGAAGAATACTGCATGCAAGAAAGAGGCTCATCACAATGTAATATTTGCAGACTAGTTCAGCAGGCATAAGTTAGTGACTAGCACATCCAGAGTGCTGTATTGGCAGAAGTGATATCTGATGATGTTGTTCTGCCTTTACTGACTTTGGAAGAGAAGGTGGCAAATGAAATCATTCATTGTTAGACTGGGGAATTTTTTTTTTTAAGATTTATTTTTATTTATTTTTGCATACAAGAACTGTAGGTCAGAGGTGCAGGGTAGGGGTTGTGAGAGGATTCACCAGAGACAGTGGAGAGTAGAAAAAAGCAGCTCTACTGAAAAACACTCCTGAGGGGAGCAGGGCTTGAAACAGGAGAGGTCTGCTGTGCCCTGTGGGTCAGCTCCCTGGCTGGGGATCAAACTCATGTTTCAGTGGCAATAGCTTGATAGCATTGAGATGTTAACCACTGCGCCACCAGGGAGACCCTAGACTGGTGAAATTTGATAAGAGAAATTTAATAATCTGTTACAAGCAGTATGACTGAGTTTTTGATTGACATGGGAAGCAACCTGTGAATATCTGATAACCCTGGAGGATATTTTATCTTAAGATACTATCAGGGCACGTTAAACCTCTGGCCCAAAACTATGGTTAGTGTTGCGATTTATGGAGAAATTTGGTGTGGACGTGTGGGGAAAGGTGGTTCCTTTAATAGAAAGTTTGGGATAAGTGGAAGGTTTTTTTAGTCTGCCACATTTGGACTTCTGCACGATCAGGTAGGGTTTGGGAATAAAATATCAGACCTCAGAAATAATCTACATCAGTTTTTTAAACTGCTGCCTTTTACCCATTTAATAGGTTGTGAAGTTAGTGAGCTACAACAAATTAAAAAAAGAATGAAATAGAATAATGTCAATGCATTACAAGTAGAATGCATAAGTATTTTAGGAAACTTTGTTCACATATGTGTTTGCTCTGAGTCATGAAGTTGTATTTTTTTAATATATTTTTTTAAATGTATTAGAAGTATTTCATGAAGTCATGAGTTGTCAAAAATGTTTGCCATTGATTGACCTCACCCAATGTACTGATCTTTTCACTATAATAAACTAGTACTAACGGGTTTCATGAAACTGTAAGGCTTTATTACTGTAAAGATGGTTTTTAATCTTGGGATTCAATTTACTGAAGTTGCTTCTAAAGCTCTAGGCTTACATCATACCACCAGACACTTCTGGCCACCACCAATCCTTCATTAGGAAATTGAGACAACATTGTCATTTTTAGGACTGTGTCGATTAATATTTTTATCCTTTAGCTTGGCAAGGAAATAGTGCACAACGATAAGCTCCAACTGTATTGACTGTCTTTCCCCCTCTGTAATGTACACTAGTAGTAATTAGAAAAAAAGGCAATTTAAAATTTAGATTCCCATAAATTGTATACTTATAAACAAATAAAACAAATAGGATTTTGTTGAAAATATCTGTAAAATTCTCAAAGACCATCAGTGAGTCTGATCTACACATGACAAACTACATTAATGTAAAGAAGGACCCAGCATACTATTATGAAGTGATGTGTGGCCTGATTTTGTAGAAAGCTCTGTTAATTCAAAGAAAAAAATTGTGAATTTTATCAATTAATATAAATTTTAAAAATTCTCCAACTCGATATAAAGAAAGTTGGAGTGTGAGAAGTCATAGCTGTAACAATAGTAGCAGCAGCAGTAGTAGCAAGCAAAGAAACTAATGTAAAATTTATAGTAAAAGTAATAGCCAAGAGTACATATAGTGTCAGGATTTTGGAGACAGATATGTGCATTCCCAGTTTAGTTGGCCTAGCAACAGGACATTACTTTATTTCATTGAGATTAAACTAGAGGCAGGAGGGAAATTCTATAACTGCTCAGACTTTTCAGAATTTGTCCTTTTACCTTATTTTCCTTTATAACATTTCCAAATGAACAATAAGTATTCTTTTTTTGCCATGAAACCAAGAAAATTCTCAAATTCCTTATTCCTGAGGCATTTAAAGTGTTTGTAGTTCAATAGTAGTTTGTTTAATAAGGATTATTACATGTCCCTGGCCAAAGGTTACTTTTCATGACATTTTCTGAATATTGCTCAGTGTTTGTCTTTTTGTTTGCTTATAAGATAAATGTTGGAGTCTTGCTTGTTACAGTTTTAATGGATATACATATAATGATTTTATAGACAGTTGTTTGACAGTATCCCTCTTTCTAGAATCCTGGAAGCCTACTGATACTGAAGGCAAGAAGCAGTATGACAGGGAGTTTCTTCTGGACTTCCAGTTCATGCCAGCCTGTATACAGAAACCAGAGGGCCTGCCACCAATCAGTGATGTGGTCCTTGACAAAGTAAGCTGCATGCTTGAAGAAAATTGTCTTTTTGGAGTGAGAATTGGGTTTTTACTTAGTGCAAATATGAGAGATAAAAGCAGTTTTTAGGAATTGTTAGATGAGGTGGTATTTGAATTAATATATGTAAAGTTTAAGAATTATAGTTTCTCTAAATACTTTTGGGTTTTGGGTTTACTCTAGCTTACAGCAGTCTTGGGCCTTGGTCCATATTTGAGTGATGGTTTTAAAATGTATTAATTGATTTGTCTGCCATTGTGATTGTTTCCCAGTGATGTGGTGAAAATTGTGTCTGTTGGACTAGTAGTCTAAGGTTAGGTATAGCTCTTTACCCACTGTTCTAAAATTTCAGAATGAAATAGCGTGCCATGACGAATAAGTCAGAAATATAAGAAGGTCTTTGACAAATATAAGTGAAAGTTAACATGGTTCAAATAGTGTATATCTCAGAATCTCCTCATAGATACTTAACTGTGCTTCAGTTTCAGTTCTGTGAAAATAGATAGGCACCCTTTCCTTTATGTCTGATCTTAATGGTGCTTACAGAAAATTATTACAATGAGTACTCTGTTTACAAACAAAAACAGGGGAGGGGTAACATCAGATGTAATTTTTCAAGTATTTTCATGTAACTTGAAGATGAACCAGTGACTAAGCTTGAAGTATTTCTGATTTGAAGAGAGATGACTAGTTCCTAATTTATTTTATTTTTTTTTTTTTTAAAGATTTATTTATTTACTTATACAAGCACTGGGTACAGTCAGAAGCGCGGGAGGGTGAGAGAATTCACCAGAGCCAGAGCGGGGAGCAGAACAGGCAGAAGGACGGAAGTACACTGCTGAGGGGAGCAGCGGGCGGCAGGAGAGGTCTGCGCGCCATGTGGGACCCTCCCTCGGTGGCCGGGGAGCAGCCGGGGATTGAACCGGCTCTGCAGAGGCTGCGGGCAGCTTCGCAACCCAGCACTCAACCGCTGCGCCACCGGGGAGGCCCTAGTTCCTAATTTAAATGCACAGGGTAACTTACAGAATGAGATCCACTTCTATTGAGATTCCCAGCAGCTGCTTATCTAGACCTGTTTGTATTATTTTACTCTCACAGCAACAGTTCCTCTTATTTCTCTTGATATGTAAGTCTTCTCTTTAGGTGCTTAATGTGAGGACAGTTGAACGATTGGTGGTGCCAATTTGAGGTTACTTCAGTACTTCAGATGGCAAATTTTATATCCACTGAATTAGATTATCCTCTTAGACAAGATTCCTCCTGTCTTCCTGCTTTATTCCTCACTTTAGCTACTCATTTGTGATTTCTTGCAGAACTACTCAACTTACTGTTTGACTCAGCTATAGTCACATTATATGCCTATGAACGGCCAGGTATCTCAGATAAACAAGGCAGAAAAAGTGAGATTTTAAATGTTATTGCACATGAAAGTGTTTCCTTATGAGACTTACTGTCCACTCAGATTGTGTATTTTACTAATCATAAGGCAAACAGCATCAAAACAAAATGACAATGGCTGTATTCCGACAGCCGTTGCTCTGATACCCTGGTGAATATCCTAGAAAGAAACCTTAAAATTTGGCAGTAGTTCATAGGGTCTCAAAATAGCTTGTGTTGTGCCATTTTATTTGTCCTAAATGTCTAATGAGCCAGTCTACTGATGGGTCCAGCCTTCCCTTGGAAGTTTTAGGATGGTTAGTCCCAAGAGCAGTAGAACCTCTGTGGACCTAAGGACTCTCAAGGCTAGCCAGGAGATGCTACCATGGTTCATACTGAAGTTCCATTGGTTCAGCAGTGTTTACCTTTAGCAGACACACACTTTTCAGTCATAAGTTTTTGTTGTCTTTGTGGCATTGAACGCTCTAAAAGTTGTTCCTTTGCTTCTCATGCAGATCAACCAACCCAAATTGCCAATGCGAACTCTAGATCCTAGGATTTTGCCTCGAGGTCCTGACTTTACTCCAGCCTTTGCAGATTTTGGAAGACAAACCCCTGGTGGAAGAGGTGTACCTGTAAGTGCAAGTTCCCTACAACCCAATTAGTTAGAAACTGTCATAGACTCCATGACATCTTGTCAAAAGGCAAGAGAGCGACACTTAATCGTTGATTCCTCTAACCACGAAGAAGTAGAAGAGGCAAAGACTATCCTTTCTATACTATATTAAAGTAAATAAAGAATACACTTGAGTTGTTTTTACTTGAAAGAAGTTGGTCTGCATTAATTTGGTCTTTTGTTTTGTTTTGTTTTGTTTTTCTCTTATTTTTTCTGTTGAATTGACCTGTAAATGGGTTAAAAATAGAACCAGTCTTGACTAGGACTCCTACTTTGTTTTGAGGTGCCTGATATACTAGAGATCTCTGTTACTATCCAGCTAATGGTCATCTCTTTGTCTTTGTTTCTACAGATCTGTAACGTGCAGAGCAGGCATGGATTGCCAATTCTGGATCAGAGCACAGGCCCAACTTGCACTCCACTGGTGATATCGCACCCACCCCTGAAGAGCCTGCCTCTAGGGGTGCGCTGAATCCTTTTTTTCCCAGTAGTCTCTGGTGGTACAATAGTTTCTGTTTTGCTCTTCTCATTTAGTGTAGGTTGTAAAAATATGAACAAATGACATGTACAGAAGAGTGCAGTATCAGTAAATTGCAGATTGCTTTTATACCGCCAGTGGCAGGCTCTTCGGCAGTGGAAGTGGCATCACCAGTGGAGTCATGCTGGGCACTGCACTGTGCAGGATTTGGCACTCTCTGCCTCCTCATGCTTTGTAGACTTGCAGAAAGCATAGGGGAAAGTTGCCAATGATGAGAAGATCTCCTTTTTTTCAAGTTGCAGTGTCAGAGAGAGAGCATTTAATCTAAAATTCTGGAGGAGCGTGGGGGTTGATGTACATTTGCAGATCACTCTGTTAAACTGTTTGATTTTATGTTTGTAAAAATATTTTATATAAGGTGACACTTTTTACTTCCCCATCACCTTTTTATTTCTGTAATGGCAACTTGTGAAACCTGCTTTGAAATAAGACTTCACCATCTGAAAACAAATGTCAGTTTGTTGAATTATTTGATTATTTTCCTGTGTCCACTGAACATACTTGAATGCCCACAGTGTGTTGGAGACTTTGTAAAACCTACAGAAAATCTCCTGAATTTGTAAATGTTATTTATTGAGCATTGCCATCTTAAAGACCTCTATGTGTATAATCTGTTCTCACACATTTGAATTTTAAACTTTATTTTCTCTAAATACTAAGTTAAAATTTTTCTAATGTATGCAATACCTCACTGGAAAGTCTTAGAAAGCAGCTTTCTAGAAACCATATCATAACTTATTTTTCAGATTATTTTCCTTTTCTGGTGGTTCAAAATTTATATATCTATTAATTTGTTTTTATTTTAGTTTTGGTTTATAGTTTTGTTTTGCCAGGCATTTGAAAAAATGTTGATTCCATTTTGCTATTTTCTCACAGCATCTGTGGTTATCATATTGCTCAATTTTGTTCATATGCCACTCACAGAAGTTATGAATTGTCACTCCTTTTCCTAGCCATATTCTACCCTTTTTCATTACCAGCTAGCTATTATGTAATAATTAGATGTAGCAAAAAAGAAATTTGTGATATGAGGATAAGCTTTGTCACTTTTAAAATATCAAAATCATAAAATGAATTTTAAAGGTAATTGTCACAATGTGTATTTGCCCACTAATCTATATATCTACATATATCAGATAAATGAGCTATTTATCTGATAAATAGCTGGAAGTGAGCTATTTAAAATTTGACTGGAAGTGAGCTATTTAAAATTTGTAGTGTCTTCAAAAAAGTCAGTTTAATTCAGTACTTTTATATGCTACAAGCTATTTTTTAAGTGAAATTGAGATTTATCAGGATAATATTAATATATTAATACATAACAATAAGCTTTAATGCAAGTAATTCTTCTAACCTCACCTATAGCTAACAGACACCTTCCACTTAATTTAGCAAACTTGCTTTGGTGTATTGGTGTAGATACAGATGAACATTTCATAGGACTTAAATATCCAACATCAGTAAACAGTGCTGTTCCAATAAAAAGCAGTAGGCCCTGCTCTTTATAGTTTCTGGTTCTGTCATACTTCTAATAAGTTTTGCCAGCTTTTCAATTGACTTATAAATTGCCATTCAAAGATAGTAAGGTCCACCGGGTATGCTTCATAGTATGACCTAAGTAGCCATGACTTCTTGTATAAACTTGCCTGCAAGATTCCTGTTATAAAATATTTTAATGTGTGGCAATTGTTTTTAAAATTCCAGGTGCAATTACAATTTTAAGCATAGAGATCTTTTGATGGGCATTAAATACATATCTATTGGGTATACCTAGGTGGTATTATTTCTCTAGTTTTTTAAAAGTCAAGGTGCTTAACAATTGTGGTGTTAATTTTAATGGTAATCTCTTGACAGCCATCATAGAAAGTACCCCAAACACAATGTTCTGAGCTGGGGCTGAGGACCTACTCTAGTAACCTTTGCCAGTCATAATTGTTTCAGCTAACTTTGAGATTGCTGAAATACTATAAAAATTCTAAAATAAAAACCCTAGCAATAAGAGTTTTCTGTTCATAGTATTACTCTCTCTCTCTTAAAGGAACAGTTTGCATCAATAAATTGGTAGGATGAATATTTGGTCCTATTTTCTTTGATTATCTGGGTTAACAGAGGACTTTGAGGTTACAGTCTCTAAATGAGATGGGAGTAATGTATATTAAATTTTAAAGTAGAGATGGTATGCTATCTTATTTAGTGCGTTTAAGAATAACAGTGAGTAAAAAATTAAAACTTCCAGCTTGATTAAGAAAAAACTGCAGGGCCTCCCCGGTGGCGCAGCGGTTGAGCGCTGGGTTGCGAAGCTGCCCGCGGCCTCTGCAGCACCAGTTCGATCCCCGGCTGCTCTCCGGCCACCGGAGGAGGGTCCCACATGGCGCGCAGACCTCTCCTGCCGCCCGCTGCTCCCCTCGGCAGTGTACTTCGGTCCCTCTGCCTGCTCTGCTCCCCGCTCTGGCTCTGGTGAATCCTCTCACCCTCCCGCACTTCTGACTACCCAGTGCATGTATACATAAACAAACAAACAAACAAACAAATAAAAAAAATACATACCTCTTTAAAAAAAAAAAAAAGAAAAAAAGAAAAAACTGCAGCTTACTAGCTAATCAACTCCAAATTTTGATGCTTCTTTTGAATTTTAATATTTTTTGACTTTGAGCACATACACCTTAAGTTCCTCTTCTAACTGAGGTTCAGGATTGTTTCTCCTTTAATGAGAGAGACCAAACTTTTTTTAAAATATATATACTCCATAACTTAATACCGGAGCCTCTATTTTGTTTGTATTTTGCAAATAAGACATTCATCATAAGGTGCAATTTCAGAAGGATACTATAAATTTGATAATTTGTGTTAAGTTTTTCACTCACACAAAAACAACATGAAATGTTTGAAGGTAATTAGATGAGTCTACCCATCAGCTTATTAAAAATACATTTGTTCTTTGGTATTACTGATGATACCATACCTAGTTGTTCAAGGTCCTTTTACATGTCTTATATTCCATGAGCCTCATAGTAAGTTTTACAGGTAGGAGAATTGAGTCTTTGATATGCAAGGAAATTTAAGTTTAGCAAATTTAAGAGATTTGCTCACAATAACTGTGTTCATAGGTTTCAGAATTAGTCTCAAAGGTCTATTTCTTTTGTCTTCTAGTCTGCCACTTTTCTCCATTCTACCAGTCATTCCAGACATTGATGTCACAGTGAATTCATTTTCAGAGTTTAAATATAAGCACCCTAAGAAATTCATTAATTAATCATGTTATGCATTTATTTATAAGTGTAGCAAATCTGTTGAGGACTAAAAATACTTTGATAAATATTTGTCAACAATATCTTAGTTATACCCAGAGATATAACTTCTTTTTAAATTTTTTTCCTTTTTTTTAAAAATTTTTTTACATTGTTCATTCAGAGATAAAACTTTTTAATGTGGCTTATAAGAGCTTGACCATGGGTTATAATTTCAACGCTTTTATCCTGAACCAACAGTTGTTGATTAGTTTTTCAAAACTTTTTTCTTTGAAACAATGTTACCTATTTAGAAGTATTTATTACATTTCCATATCTGTCATTTAATATTCACACATTTGTCATGGGACAGGGAGATGTGGCATAAGTCTTTTACTTACATTTTAGATTCAAATCTCAAGATATATTCATTGGTGTTTGCACAGTTTTTTAAAGAAATGGACATTTCTAACTTTATTCAAACATCATTAAAATTATCTCTCCAAATTAGGTGTGGTATGGCTGCTTATGATTTTGACATTATTACCTTTCATTATACTCAGCAACCTTTGTTCTTGACAAATTTTCATGTGTAAATGCAAGGATTAAGTTAAATGTCTTGTGAGATATAATTGTTTATTTAATATATATCCAAGCATTGAAAAAGATGAGCCAAAACCAGATAATAACCTGCATTATAAAAACCAAATCACACTTGGTTTACTTGTTTTTTAGACAGAATTGTTTTGTCATATCAGAGTTTCCATTTTATAAATAAATAGCCTTGTAGTCATTCTCTCTGGGCCGGTAAATGTTCCTTGTTGCTACTTTTACAGTCTGATAATCCTCTTTTTAATTCTGTGTCAGTTATACCATGCCTAGTACCTCTGAGGTTATCTGACCTCAGTTTTTTTTAATGTTAACCAAATCCTTTGAGATCACATCAGTAGTCCTGAATCCTTAACTGAATGCATTTGAAAGATTGGTGTGTACAACTTAGAAATTCTAACTCCTAGTTCTGATGCATCCTTGATACTGACATCTCTAATTAGGGCAAATGGTGAAGTGCTAGAGAATAATTTTGAGACTATGTGATTTGTTCACTTTTAAGCTTATCTGCTTAAGCCTCAAACCAGTCTCTTAGTAACTGTATTTTTATATAAAGCATGCCATTTAAGTTCCTGTTGCCTTCTCTCAAGTATGTGAATTTAAAAGGATAGTATTGGGGCATAGAGTGAGATATATTCTGGTCTATATGTCTTATGTGAAGTATTTTTCCTTCCCTCTTAAAATCTAATAACAATATTTATTCAGAATTTAGGGAATGATAGACCAGTAAAAGTAAAGACTTAATAAGCAGCAGGGCTGGTAGGAGCAGAACTTAGTATTAACACATGAATATTTAACCTTGAAAAATTATTTTCAAACATTTAAGGTAGCAACTAATATAACTTGTTTCAGTACACAGAATACAATATTTAACTCACCCCATTATTTTCTTGCAGTAGCAACAGTTAGTTTGATGACCAGTGTGACATGCCAGAATGAGTGTAGTAGGACTTTAGCAGAAGAAATAGTTGACACAGGGAAAGAAGACCTTTTTTCAGGGAACAAGTTGGACTCTCACTAATGATAAAGAAAGAGAGTGTTTCTGTCCCAGCAAATTTAGAGTGATCTGTTAAGTTCTGCAGTAGGCTGGGTGTCTGTACTACAGAGAATTTTAACATTAAGAGGTATTGTGTTACACATTGGAAGTTTAGAAGCCCAGTTTTTGAAGCAAATTTGTAACCCTTGAGACTTCACTGTATTGCCTGCAATTTTTTTCAATTATTTAAGTGCCAGTCCAAAGTGACACAACTAGTGAAAAATAGAGCTTTAGCTAGTGATTATCTTTTGTGGTGGTGTTAGAAACAACTTTCTCAATTTAGCATTACCTTAAAATTTTTCATTACTTTATCTCACTTAGGAGGACTTCAGGATCAAAAATTGTAGTGGTGGAGAACATTACATTAATGATGTCTAAGGCACATGCACACACACACACACACACACAAATATCACATCTAACTTGAGTGCCTAACACCCATCCGTCTTTGCATTTAGAAGTGTTTGGTGTCATCAGCAGCAGCACAGCAGAGACAGTAAATTGTAAGTACTCTGTAGATATAATAAAGAATATTCTTGTCCTAGTTGTTGAGCGTTGGACCGCGGAGATCTCAACCTGGCCAGAGAAGAGAACCCAGGAAGATCATCACGGTTTCTGTAAAAGAAGATGTGCACCTGAAGAAGGCAGAGAATGCTTGGAAGCCCAGCCAGAAGCGAGATAGCCAAGCAGAGGATCCTGAAAACATTAAAACTCAGGTGAGAACAAAAGCACATTCTGAAGTTGTTCTGGAATTATAATAATTCTGTTTTGATTTATTTTTGCTTGTCATTTTGTCCTACTGCTATCTAGAGAACTCTTAAGACTTTTTATATTTTTTCCTATTAAATACATTATGTTAAAAATCATTGTGGATCCCAGACAACCTATTATTTTCTCTTGAAATTGCTTTCTGTGTGCTTTTGAAAACAGGCTGTGGGTAGAGAGTTCATGTCATCAAACTGAGGTCAGTATTTGCTTTTCTTAAAAATATATTTTCAGATCTCAGTGATTACCCGTGCTAGTCTAGTTAGTACATTGCTTTATGTTCTCTTGTCAGGTCTTTCCTCATTTAAGTTATAATTGAGAAACACACTTTGTTTTAGGGTATTTTGGGTGTTGTTTTGTCTTGTATTGTTTTTTTATCTTTCTGTGCTTATCCTGCCCTCAGAACTCTTTAGGGTAAATGAAATTAATTCCTTTAATTCTGTCAGGTTGTATCAAGTCTTTATTCATCTTTTGCTGTATATAGGGAGCAAACACAATGTTTTATAGATTTTTCCAGTTATTATAGCATGTTTCTTGGATTTTGACATTTTCATTGAGGATTATTTACATTTAGTGAAAATTACTTTTTGATGTACTGTTGTGATGGTTGTAAAATAGCCACAGTATGTAACAATCACCAAAATCAAGATAGAGTGCATTTCTATCAGCCCTTCAAAATTTCCTTACACTGCTTTGTGTTCATCCTTTGCCAGATTATCATATAAATGGAATTAAGTTGATTCTGTGCCTCCCCCTGCTTTTTTTTTGAGTTAACAGAAATTTTAATAGCCAACGTAGGACTTTTTCCATAATTTATTTTTGTCACTACAGCCATCCCTTACTACCCCTTCCCCATCCCTCTTAATCTCAGAAACCTCAGTTTGCTTATCAGTTCTGTTAGTTTATAATAATTTTGCTTTATCAGTTATCTGTTATATTACCTAGGTGAAATTGTCCAATATTTGTATTTATTTTTCTAGTTTACTTCACATAATCCCTTTGAACTTCTTTCATTTTGCTGCAATTAGCAATGTTTCATCTTTTCCTTATGGCTTAGTAGTATTCCAAATACCACATCTTCTTTATCCAGTCCTCTATCAGTAGGCACTTAGGTTGCTCTATATTGCTAGCCTTTGTAAATAATACAGTGATAAACATTGTGAAGCGTATAATTTTTTGTGCTGATAGTTTTGTGCTCTGTGGCTAGATTACCAAAAGTGTTGCAGGATCATTACAGTATTTCCATTTTCACTTTTTTCAGATCGGTCCAGGCTGCTTTCCAAAATAGCTGCACCAACTTACATTCCCAACAAAATAAAAGGGAACCCTCTTTCTCTGCATGTTCTCTAACCCTTGTTGTTGGAAGTCTTTTTGATGTATACTGTTCTCACAGATATGAGATGATATGTCATTGTAGTTTTGATTTGCATTTACCTTATTGGAAGTGAGAATATAACTTTTTTAACTTAGCATATACATTTGCAATTCATTCATGTTATTATATGTGTGATTAGTTTATTTTTTATTACCCAGTGATATTTCATAGTTTGGATATGACATAGATTATTTATCCACTCACAGTATAGACAGTCTCCAGATTTTAGCAATTACGATTAAAATTGCTGTAAACATACGTGTAGGATTTATGTGAACATATGGTTTTCTTACTTTGGAGTAAGTTACTAGTTATGGGAGCACAGAGTTGTATGGTAAATAGAAGTGTAACCAAGCTGTTATTCTAAGATAGTTTTACAGGCCACTTTGAATTTCTACTGTCAAGACATGAAAGTTTCAATGATTTTACATCTTCTTGGCATTTGTTTTCTGCTTTATATATTTTGACATTTCTAATGGGTATGTGGTGGTATCTCATTGCATTTCCAAAGTGATTAGTATGTTGAATAAACACATCTTTTTCCTCCTTTCTGTTGGTCAGAGAGTGCCGACTTTGTGGGTGGGGGAGGGTAGCAGGGTTCTGAGCTTTCCTCCCTTCTAGTCCTCTTTTATGGCAACTTTCTTCTTTGGGCAGTTTACCAGAGTCTCCCATTTATCTTCCGTGTTCCAGTTTTCTCAGGGACCTGCCACTTTTCCTCCTATTAACTTTTTTTTTTTTTTTTTTAATGGGAGTTATTACACTCGCAGTGTTTCCTTGCCACCATGTTGATGACGTCTCCAAACACATCTTTTTCATGTACTTATTTGCCATTTGTGTATCATCTCTGCTAAAATTTGTTTATCTTTTGCTTTTTTATCATTGGATAGTACATTTTCTAAGGCTGAGTTTGTGAATTCTTTATATATTCCAGATACAAATCCCTTCTCAAATGTGTGCTTTGCAAAAATTTCCTCCCAACCTATGGTTTGTCTTTTCATTCTTTTAATATCTTTTACAGAAGTTTTTAATTTTGATGATGCTCAATTTATCAGTTTATTTCATAGAATGTGCTTTTGCTGTTATATCTAAGAAATCTTTGCGTAATCCAAAAAACAAAGCTTTTCTCCTATGTTGTCTTGTAGAAGTTTAGAGCTTTAGGCTTTACATTTAGATCTGTGTTCTTGTTTTAGTTAATTTTTCTGTTATATGTGTAGGATATAAATCAGTGTTTCGTATCTTGTAGTTTTGGTTTTTTGCATATGGAGAGCAGAAGGTTTCAGCACCATTTGTTGAAATTATTTTTCTTTCTCCATTGAATCTTTGTTGATAATCAATACATCATAGATGTATAAACTTATTTCTACACTTTATATTCTGTTCCAGTGATCTGAATGCTTCCTTTCTTGCCAATTCTACACTGTCTTTTAAAAGTAGCTTTATATAGTAACAGTTAAAATCATATTGTGTGAGTCCTCCAATTTTATTATTTTTCAAAATTGTTTAGGCTATCTAGTTATTTTTTGACTTCCCATATAAATTATAGACTTAGCTTCTTAATTACTACCAAAAAATAAAACCCTACTAGGATTTTTATTTGGGTTGTGTTCAATCTGTAGATCACTATGGAGAAAACTGAGAACTTAATAATAAATTTTCTGATACATGCATATGATATAGATCTCCATTTATTTAGGTCATCTTTGATTACTGCCATCATATAGTACTTTTGGATATTGTGTTAAATTTTTAACTATTTTATGTTTTTTTGTGTTGCTACTGTAAATGGTACTTTAAAAAATGTAATTTAAATTGTTGCTAATATGGTAAGATTGATATCTGTATATTGACATTATATTCTACAGCCTTGCTAAACTCTTACTATAGCATCTGTTTTTGTAAATTACAAATTTTTTATGTAGACAATCACAGTGAATAGTTTTGTTTCTTTGTTTACAATCTTTATGGGTTGTATTTCTTTTTCTTTGTTTCATTGAACTCACTAGGACTTCCAGTATGATTTTTGAATAGGAATGGTGAGAATGGACATTTTTGCCTTGTTTCCAGTATCAGGAAGAAGGCTTTCATTCTTTCACCATTAAGTAAGGATATAGATACAATTGTTCTAGTTGAGGAAGTTCTCTTCTATTCCTAATTATAGTGAGAGTTTCTACCACATTTTGAAAGACTACTGCCTAGTATTGTGTACCATAACTCATATTTTACCGTCATTGAGACAAATACCTAATTTAGGACATTTAAATTATTTTCTGTAAATGGTTATAGTGAAAGTTATTTGGGCCAAAATCTTTTTTTACCTATCTTTAAAGATGAGTCGATTTCTGAAAGCAAAATTGCTGATTCAAAGGATACATCACCACTTTAAAACTTCTAACACGTATATGGCCAAATTGCCCTTAGAAATGTGCAGGAAAATCCAATATTATCTCATTTAAAAAATGAACTGTACCAGAAGATATCCCTAGTGAAGTATGAATATACTAGTTCCTAGGAATCTTATTTAATATTGAAAAAGAGACTATAATTTTTTGCTATTTGTTAAAATACATGGATTAAATTTAATTCATAATTGTTGAATTTACAAATTATAAACAAAATATTAATCCTGAAGAATGCATCTTTATTGTCTAATTACTATAATGCTTTTATTTTGTGGCCCTTTTAGGAGCTTTTTAGAAAAGTTCGAAGTATATTAAATAAATTGACACCACAGATGTTCAACCAGCTGATGAAGCAAGTGTCAGGACTTACTGTTGACACAGAGGAGCGCCTGAAAGGAGTCATTGACCTGGTCTTTGAGAAGGCTATTGATGAACCGAGTTTCTCTGTGGCTTACGCAAACATGTGTCGATGTCTAGTAACGGTAAGAAGAGAGGAAGGAGTAAAACCAGAAATCTCCAAGAGGTATATTCTCCCCTCACTACACATTCTTCCCAGAAGTGTTATTGGGGCAACGTAAAGGGGAGAATATATTTTTAGCATTTATAAATATAATATCTTCCTTGTATGAAATGAATCTTGCTTTATTAAAATGTAGTCATCTCTGAAGACAGAATATCAAGACTAGACTGAAATAGGCATAATATGCTCCCATCCAATCTGAGGAAGATTGAATAAGGTTTAAATCACTATGTTAAATTATTGTCATGGGCAATCAATTTCCTGGGGTGTCATGTTATAGAAATAGAGCTAATACTTACAGTCATATTTAATTAAATTCAAAATTGAAAACATGTTGGTTCTAATTCTAGCCTCTATGAAAATGATAGGATAGTTATGATCATAAAGGATTCAAAAATAATTATTTCATCTCTTAGAAACTATTAGTTTTTTTTCTCTTTACATTGTCCACAGCCATTTAATCTCAACAGCCTGTCAAATCTAGGGCAAGACAGAATGGGAGACCAAAGAGCTTCTGGTTAGTGTTCATTGTCTTCTATTCTGCAGTCATTAAACTGCTGTGTACCATCTGTGTTTCCTCTGCCTGTTACTGTTACCAAGGTACTTGTGTCAGAAATGTGTGTCCTTTAACATTTGAGTTTTTTTTTAATTATCACAACTTGTCATGCCTTGCTATAAAAATGCAAATTTGTATCATTCTACTAAATATCTTTTGAGAACCTGTGGCAAAGGTAGGTAAGACTGTTGGGACTTCGGAAAGTTAAACTTTGTCTTTAAAAAAACTTAAAATCCATGTTTAAAAAAGCAACATTAACCAGAGGGAAAACCCACCTATATGGTAGGCTGTGATACTGCAGTGTATTATGGCCTGAATGGAGGGTTTAGACAAAAAATTCAAGTAGCAGGGGAAAGAGTGGAAGCGTGATGAACTTCTGTGAAGCAAGAAGAGTTTGAATTAGACCTGGGAGAAGGGGGAGTGCAAGTCCAGAGAAAGAAGAACATATCCCAGGCAGGTGTCAGGCCGAAGGGGCAAGTATGGCATAATGGTTTACACTTTAAAATTCAAATTCTTACTCTGACTTGCTAACTTTATAGCCTTAGTTATATAACCTCTTTAAGCCTCAGTTTTTAATCTATAAAGTAAATTTAATTCCTACAACTTGTTATCACAGCAATAAAATTAATTAAATGAGATAGTGGATAGAAAGCTCCTCTTTCAGTGTCTGGCCTGTAGTAAGTCCTAAATATATTTATTCAAAGCTATGTCGTTGATGGAAAAGATCACAAAGATCTTGAATTGTTGACTACAGAATGAGGATTATTGCATAATAATAGAAACCATCTTTTTAGCACCTATTAGGTTGCAGTTTGGGTAGGTGGTTTGTATATTTATTATTTTTACTGGTTATTATAACCCTAAAAGTTCAGTATTATTAGCCCCACTTTGTTGATTCAGAAATTGAGACTTTAAAAAGGGCAAACAACTTGCTCAATAAGTGAACTAATAAGTGGCAGTGCTCCAAATCTAGGATTATTTAACTAAATCGCTTGCCATATTTTTTTTTTTAAAGATTTATTTATTTATGCATACAAGAGCTGGGGGACAGGCCAGAGATGCAGGAGGTAAGAGGATTCACCAGAGACAGAGTGGAGAACAGAACAGGCAGATTGACCGAAGTACACTGCTGAGGGGAGCAGAGGGAGAGTCAGGAGAGGTCTGCTGCTCCATGTGGGTTTCTCCCTGTCCGGCTGGGGTTCGAACTCATGCTGTAGAGGCTGCGGATTGCTTCATAGTGTGGTGCTTAACCCTTTGCGCCACCAGGGAGGCCCCCCACTTGCCATATTGCCTTCTAACATACCACCGTTTCCTAAAACCAAACTGATTCTCTGTTTCATGCTCCTTATTTTCATTGTGGCAGTCATGATATCCTCTAGGCACTCATTAGAATTAGGACTAGATCCCAGATCTTCTGGCTCACACTTAGTGGCTCTTTACCATTTTGGATTTAATCTAATAGGCAGTGAAAGTTAAGGTTTTTTAATAGAGGCTATTCATGATGAAAATGGCCTTTGAAAAGACCTGGCAATAGTTTAAGTTGGTTTGGAATAGGAAAAAATTATGGATAAGCCGCTGCTTAATGTGACTGTTGTTATGATCTACCCTTGTTTAAATAAAAAACTTTAAAAACTTACTGGATTATTTTAAATTGAAAAATAACAAAGAGTATAGAGATACATAAAGAAAAAGTTAATATGGCAGCCCCAAACAATCCTAAGCTTTTCTTCCTCAAAATCCTGATGAAAGGATTTTTTGGTTATGCTTTACTTGAATTATTATGCATTGTTTTTTAGTTAGTTTTTTTTTTTTTTCATTTGTGATTTGGCACCTACAGGTAGATTTTGCACACATTTTTAGAAACTGCAAAATATCCCATAGTATATATGTGACATAATGTTTCTAGCCATTTCTCTCTTCCCTCCTTCATGTTGTCTGTAGTTTGGGAGTTTTGCTTGTTTTATTGTTTTGCAACCAGAAACAGTGCTGTATTAAAAAAAAAAAATGCCCTCTATCCTTGCATGTTGCATGCTAGACTTTTACTTCTTGAGCATAAATTCCCCCAAAGTTGTATTATATACCAAGTGGTAAATGTTTTTAAATTTTTCAAGGCCAGCGCTTGTCTTTCCATTTTCTAGACTCCTGTGTAATCACCATAATTGACATGCTGCTGACACAACCCTTGACGATTCTTAAAAGAATGAAGGCATTTTTAAAAAAAATGCCTTCAACATTAATAAATGTATCAACTTGAAGAAAATAACTACCTGAAGATGACAATTTCATATATGATTGCTGACTGGCCAGTGTGAGATGAGACACTGTTAGTTTGCAGTATAATGTGACAATGTTAATTTACTGTGTAAAAATGAAAGAATGGGTGTGATCCAGCTTACCAGGCAGCCTTACTAAAATATTCCTTGACTCCTAAACAACCTGTTTGAAACACTTAAATATCTTAGTTTGGGTCATGGGCTACTGTTTAATGAAAATCAGTAGCTATCTACAGAGCATTTTTTCATTTTGCAGGCTCACTTTCCTTTCTGCCATCACCCTTCATCTTGTTTGCAAGCATCTCCTTGTCTCTTGTTAAGGACTGAATGTTTGTGCTCCCCTAAAATTTATGTTGGAGTCTTGTCCTTCAGTATCACAATATTAGGAGGTGGAACCTTGGGAGGGTAAATAGGCTTAGATGAGGTCATAGGTTAGAGCTCCAATCATGGTATTAATGCCTTTGTAAGACGAGGAAGAGACACTAGAGCTTCCTCTCTGCTACCTGAGGGTAAGGAAGAGGATAGATGTCTGCAAATGAGAAAAGGGGCCCTCACCAAGAAATGAGTCTAACCACTTTGATCTTGAGCCTCCAACTTCCAGAACTGTGAGAAGTAAATGCCTTTTTGTAAGTCACCACCAAGGCACTTTATCATAGCAGCCTGAGCACACTCACATCCACCCTTCATGTCGTTCCTAACTAACCATTTTCATTGGTTTTCCTGCCCAGTGTCCAACAGACAAACATACTTGCTTAATACATAATCCTGTTGAATTTTAAGAATGAAAAATTTACCACACATCACCAGTCTGAAAATATATGTCCTCAACTAGCCTGTTTCCATATTTCCACAGCCCTGTTAACTGTCCCCAGAGGACATTAGGATTATGTTTCAAAGCAGGTCTTTAGGGAGTTTTGTAGCTAGGCATTCATTCATTTAGGCATAGAGATCTATGATGTTGTTGATTGTTTGGTTTTAATAATATCTCCATGTGAATATGTTTTAAAAGCTTATACACGATCACATCTTCTCTATGTCCTATACATGTGAAATGCCCCATGACCACCATTTTGGGAAAGCAGATGTCATTTCTCTTGGCCTTTTGTGGTTTTCTCCATATTGCCTTCTAAACTAACTTTATACTTTCTTTGATACCCTTTTTTTACATATAGGTGACTTAATTTTTAATCAAAAACCCATTAAATACATCTACAAATATTTAAATACATTACCTCTATACCTATATATAAAACCGTCTTATTTATTGGCCTCCTAACTATGTGCCAGCCGCTATCACATGCTTTATTTAGACAAGTCAGTCCTTTCAATAGTCCTAAGAGTAAGATGTTACCATCCCATTTTCAAAAGAAACAGATTTAGTGAAGCTAAGCAACCTGACCAAAGTCACAGGACAGAGCTGGATTATAACAGTTTCCAAAGCTTCATTTTAATAGCTACTATATTGTCTCTCAGCCTGCAGTCATTAGAATGTCTCCTTTTGCAGATGAGTTGCTGAGGCTCAGTGAGGCTACTTGCTCAAACTTGTACAATTGATCATAGAGTTGGGATTCCAACCTCATTTGTAACTCTACATTCCATGAAAGTGCTCTTTTATGCAGTAATTTCTGACTATCCCATTTGCAACTTTCTTATAAAATGCTTTCACCAAACTTATTTCATTGGATACTTAAAGGTGCACTCTACGTTAGATACCTTGGTATTATGCCTGCCTTGTTTGAAATAACGAAATTGACACTGGATTAAAAGAAATACCTGTGTACTTGGTGGCTGAGAGGGCAACATAGATAGAGCTTAATTTTGAGGTCACCACTGTAAGTAATGGTGAGCAATGTGAAAAATGAGGTATTAAATTTAAAAAAAAATCACCTCTGTTTATAAAGAAAGCATATCTTTTGATAGTTAACCCAACACTTTCAACGTAGCCTTCCCTATACAAAAGTTATAAAAAGCTATGTCATAATACTTAATAAAGTTGTGCCTTTTTACATCTTTGATGTCAGGAAATTCTCCCTTGCCTTAAGTAGTTTCTGTTTGTTCCCATAAACCAATCTATCACAAGTTGTGTTTGTTTAATCTTCCTGACTCATTTTAATTCTGGTCCCTTATCATAAGACAGTGACTTGGATTTTCATATTAATGTCCACATTCTTCCCATTTTCTACATAGTAAATCCATAATGGAGGAAACATCTCTTTAATCCTGATAGATTGTAGCCCAAGTGGTTTTTACCACATTAGTCAGTTTTGCCCTTTGTGTTACTATCAGTAGTGCTGGTGAATATGCCAAGAAGCTGCATAGGCCCTTTGACTCCTTATGTTCTTGTAGCAACTTGGAAATAACTTCTGATTTTTAGAACCATTTTTCTGGAACCTAATGTCATGTTGGTGCTCTGTTGTATGCCAACTTGCTCATGGATCTGCATTTTGGTTCTCTTTTGTAGTGTGTTGCTCATTATTCTAGGTCCTGGCAAGAGATAATTTTTAACTTTGACAAGAGATAATTTTTTACTTTGGCTTTTGCTTTTGAAAACCTTTGTTTTCGGGTAGTGTTTCTTTTCTACCTTCTTGTGTAATCATTGAGAAGGCCTAATCATGTAACATTCATAGTTTCTCACATTTGTATAGCCTCAATGTGTGTGTAGCCTCATGTCAGCTTTTCTGTGGTTGTCTTAAAAAGTACTTGGTGCTATTCCCCTCTTCTTAAATTAATGTTTCCTGCTAAAAGGAAAGTATAGTGAAATACTTGATTCCTTGGTGCGTTGGCACTGGACTTGTTAAATGGTCTTTCATATGTCATAGAGAACATGATGGAGATCATGCCATCAGTTCTAGCACACATATAAGGTAGTCTCATAGTACTCAGCTCTCAAGAAGTTTCTCTAGCCATTCAGCCCACATCAGCATCTATCCAAGACCATTCTGATCGATAACATTATCAATTTTGTGAGTATAAATAGTGTGTTTGGGTTTTTACCAAGTTCTCACACTGACTTAAGGCAGAGACCATGCATGCATTCTAGAACTTTGGGAGCCACTTTGTGATTTTGGAAAAACCATTTGGCCATGTTGTGTGATGGTTGAGTAGTAGTGCTGCTTGGGGTTTTGTCCAAAAATAGACTATTTTAGTCAATTGCTGCTTCATTCTATTTTCTTTATATTCTAAACATGTTCATAAGAACATTCCTGTATTTGGTTAGAAGTAAAAACTTTGAAGAGATGACCTACTGCAGTTACTAGGAAGCAATTATTAGTGCTTTTGAATGGGAACTTTATAAGCATCTTGACTCCCAGTGACTCCTCCCTTCTATTCTGGGTCTTTCTTTATATCAAAAAATACTTCTAAGAGGGCCATCTGTTAGGTTGCACTTCTAGAGAGCTAGTATTTTCTTTTGGTATGTAAGAAATAATAAATACAGTATTTTTTGATAGTCAAGGTAAGTACTAGCATAACAGTGTTGACAATACCTTGAGGAAAGGATATCTCTAAAATCCTTAAATGTGTCTGCTCTTCTTTGCATTTTCTAGAATAAGGATCTCATTTATGATAGTTGTTCTGTAGCCATGAAATTCTCTCTGCTTTAAAGTCAACTTAAGGCAAAGCCCATTATAAAAGATTTAGTATATTTATATGAGAGGAGTATGTACCTTTTCTATATAAAATTTTACGACACCTTCAGTTTAGGATCTTGAATTCATGAAATGGCAAATGCCAAATTCGATACCTCTTATGGAATGCTTACCTGTGGTTCAGTCAGTATTAATTTTCACAATAAGAAAAATAGATACTGAGAAAATTATTGCATGTCTTTAAGTAATCTTGGTGCTTTTGCATTTTCCTGTCTGGATGCAGTTGAAAGTACCCATGGCAGACAAGCCTGGTAACACAGTGAATTTCCGGAAGCTGTTACTGAACCGTTGCCAGAAGGAGTTTGAGAAAGATAAAGCAGATGATGATGTCTTTGAGAAGAAGCAGAAAGAACTTGAGGCTGCCAATGCTGTAAGTATTTTCACACAATGTCAATGTTTATGCACTTAGAGCGCTATAAAATAGAATTTTCATGAAACTAGCTACAACATCTGTCTACTACTTCAGTAGGTGTCTGTCACCTGTTTTTCATATGGATATCCTATAATCATGCTTAGAGGAATGCATTATTGCTTTTTGTACTGTGAGTTAGAGAAACTCAACCTTCTGAGACAGGTGTTCAGAATCTAGACTTGGAAAGGTCACTGAGTTCTGGATATCTGAAGTGAATGCAAATTTTTTAATTTAGTTCCATTTTCTGAGAAGTGTATATGTTTCTGTTAAATTATCAGAAGATATTCCTGACTCCCAGGAACGGTAATACTAAGATTACCATGACTCTAAGTGCATATTCCTAGAATCTATTGTGCAGTGCAGTTTCATCATCAGGCTGCTATTGTTCCTCCTAACACATCAGCCAGAAGAGAGGACCAGGCTTCACGATGAGCTGGAAGAAGCTAAGGACAAAGCTCGGCGGAGATCCATTGGCAACATCAAGTTCATTGGAGAACTCTTTAAACTCAAGATGCTGACTGAAGCCATCATGCATGACTGTGTGGTCAAGCTGCTAAAGAACCATGATGAAGAATCCCTGGAGTGCCTGTGTCGCCTCCTCACCACCATTGGCAAAGACCTAGATTTTGAGAAAGCAAAGGTAAAAATCCAAATTGGCCAAACCTCCAGCCAGAAACTCATGTCAGTTGTAAAAGAACTAAGATTGCCCACAACAGTGTTCCATTTGGCCCTGTTTATTTTTTTCCTTTTGCCCTTCTCTTTGTCAGTATTTGGCTGTATTGTTCTTTACCACGTTTTCATTAGACTCAGAGTTAAAGAAGGTCCCAAATTATAACCAATTCTTGAATTGTTCAGATTAGTTGTTTCTTGTCCTTTTTCTACATGATCATTTCACAGATCATTTGTATATACAATGGATTATGGGCAGAAATAAGGGGCAAATAGCTACTGTGGGCCAGACTTGACGGTGATACAGAAATGAGGAAGACCCAGTTAATTTAAGTGTATGCTATAACTAATGACACAGCTGTCTAACCGTAATGTTACTCAAAATACTGTAATTCAAACATAACATTGTACTATCTGAGTAAGGGGAATGAGAAGTGCCTCAAAGAAATAATGTAAGAAATGTTTCATAGTATCTGAATCAGCCAAGTAATTTATGTTTGGTTCTGACAGAAAACCCCAAATATCAGTGTCTTATACACAATTGAGGTATTTTCCTCACTCATGTAAATGAAGTTTAAAGATAAGTCTGAGGCTGGTTTGGTGGCTCAGAGATGATCAAAAAACCCCGTTCTTCCAACTTAACATTCTGGCTTCCCTAAGTTGTATCCCTTGTGCTTGTCACTCACAGCAGAAAAAGTTGGGTGAAGAGTAAAGGACATAACTACCTTTCTCTTTTTTTTTTTTTTTTTAATTTTTTTTTTTTAATAGAGGCATGTTTTATTTATTGTTTTGTTTTGTTTTGTTTTGTTTTGTTTTGTTTTGTTTTGTTTTATACATGCACTGGGTACAGTCAGAAGCGCGGGAGGGTGAGAGAATTCACCAGAGCCAGAGCAGGGAGCAGAGCAGGCAGAAGGACCGAAGCACACCGCTGAGGGGAGCAGTGGGCTGCAGGAGAGGTCTGCGCGCCATGTGGGACCCTCCTCCGGTGGCCGGGGAGCAGCCGGGGATGGAACTGGCGCTGCAGAGGCTGCGGACAGCTTCACAACCCAGCGCTCAACCACTGCGCCACCGGAGAGGCCCCATAGCTACCTTTCTCTTAAGGAAGATTACAGGGACCTGCAGTCTGACACTTTCCTTCATATTCTGTTGGCCTATAATTAGTCACATGACCATGGCCGCCATCCTGGAATTTGTAGCTTCTTATTTTGGGTATCATATGCTCAATTAAAATTCTACCACATTGACCTTTCAGCTGAAAATTGTACTCCTGGGTCACTTGAAAATTCTACATGGTAAAATTGCATTGGAATTCCTCAGACAGATTTATGTCTCTTTCAGCCACGTATGGACCAGTATTTTAATCAGATGGAAAAAATTGTAAAAGAAAGGAAAACCTCATCCAGAATTCGATTCATGCTTCAGGATGTGATAGACCTAAGACTGGTAAGAAGAAGAAAAATAATATGCTTGCTACTCCAGGCCCTTTTAAGAAATTCGGTTGGAGAGCAGATCCTAGTATTTCCATGTGTAAAAACATAATACTTTTACTGCAGGACTCTCAGAACTTGGATTGGCAAACTTTCATGAGAGAGATGGATTACAGCACAAAAGCCTGTCCATATGTTTTCAAAACACACTGCAATTTTAAAATTTGCCATTCTGAATTGAGACTAGCCAATTCAATGTTGATATTCTAAATAATCAGAAGATCTTCTAAATACATACATTTGACTTTGCTGTGCTTTACATTTTTAATCTGTAACCTGGGATGTTGTCTGCCTTGTAGATAGATGTTATAAAGATTCAATGAGGCAATTATGTAAATACTCAGCTCCTAAAAGATGCTAATGTTTTCTGTTAGTTTTCCTATCTACCATCCTGTTCTGCCCTTTTTCCCTCTTTTTTTTTTTTAAATTTATTTATTTATGCATATAAGAGCTGGGTTACAGGACAGAGGTGTGGGGGGTGAGATGATTCACCAGAGACAGAATGGGGAGCAGAACAGGCAAATTGACCGAAGTACACTGCTGAGGGGAGCAGCGGGCAAGACAGGAGAGGCTGCTGCACCATGTAGGTTGCTCCCTGGCCGGCCGGGGATCACGTGGTGCTGCAGAGGCTGCGGACAGCTTCATAGCTTACATCTTAACCCCTTGCACCACCGTGGAGTCCCTCCCTCATTTTTTTAAAACCACTATCACTTCTTTTCTTTATTCTTATTTTAACTCTATTCTTATTTTAACTCTTTTCTCTATTCTTATTTTAACTGCAGGAAATATATGGCAACTGACCCTAAATTAGAGAAACTAAATAGAGGTTTCGTCTCCCTCCTCTCACCCCTGTACCCATCCAGATAGCATTAATGATGGTTCTGTCTTGCTAGACCCACATGTGACTTCAGAATCCTTATTACCAAAGCTACCGTCAGTTGATCGGAACCTGCATGCCTATTTAAACCTATTCGCATCCTCGGGGGGCTCCCTGGTGGCGCAAGGGGTTAAGCACCACATTATGAAGTTTTCCGCAGCCTCTGCATCACGACTTCAAACCCCGGCCAGCCAAGGAGCAACCCACATGGCGAGGCAGGGCTCCCCTGTTTCTCCCGCTGCTCCTCTCAGCAATGTGTTTCAGTCAATCTGCCTGTTCTGTTCCCCACTCTGTCTCTGGTGGATCTTCTCACCCCCTGCATCTCTGACCTGTACCCCAGCTCTTGCATGCATAAATAAATATTTGGAAATAAATAAATAAATAAATCTATTTGCATCCTTACTTAGCCAATGTACATAAATATAATAAACTTCTCCACTGATGCGAAGCCTTCAGCCACTTGGACTTACTTTAGATGTGGGCCCTGCAGCTGGGCAGGGAAGAAAAAGGAGAAATATAATTAATTATAAGGAGACAACTTGTTTAGTCCTTATGAGGGGATATCCAGAGAGCAGAATGGTGTGGCACTTTGTATAGGAAACTAAAACCATGATGGTGGTGAAAGAAAAATGCTAGTCACCTGTAATTTAAAATGACTATTGAGTGATACAAATTGGTTAGCTCACTAAGGTTATTATTCAAATTAAGACACGATCAGAGAATCCTGATGTTTGATTCCCCTTTCTCTCTCCTTTCAAATAGCTGGAAACAAAAAGAAAAGAGAAAAAAAAAAAAAAACCCACATTTGAGGCAGTATTTCACTGTATCTTTTCTTAGCCACCGACTCATAGAATGCTTAACTGAAATGCAGTAGTTTAGTTTTGATTGAGAAGACTTTATTCTTTTGCTTGAATCCCCAGCTGTACATAATGCCATCTGTAAGGCAAATGAAAAACTGCCAGTACCAGATTATATTTGTACTTTCCCAGTAGTGAAAAGTATAAAGTAGATTTTCAAAAACTTTTTTTTTAAGATTTATTTATTTATACATACAAGAGCTGGGGTGCAGGCCAGAGCTGGGGGCGGGGGGTGAGAGGATTCACCAGAGACAGAGTGGGGAGCAGAATGGGGAGAGAAATACACTGCTGAGGGGGAGCAGTGGGCAAGTCAGGAGAGGTCTGCTGTGCCATGTGGGTCACCTCCCTGACCAGGGATCGAACTCGTGCTGTGGTGGCTGGTGATAGCTTCAGAGTGCTGTGTCTTAACCCTTTGCACCACCAGGGAGGCCCTCAAACACATTTTTTTAGTTATCCTAGCTAATAACCTTATTTTCTTCTTCTGTAGAGTAATTGGGTCTCTCGAAGAGCAGATCAAGGGCCTAAAACCATTGAACAGATTCACAAAGAGGCTAAAATAGAAGAACAAGAAGAGCAGAGGAAGGTCCAGCAGCTCATGACCAAAGAGAAGAGGAGACCAGGTAAGGGGTGGAATTCACTGAGTCTTAGAAAAGTTGGGAGTTTCAAGGTCAGATGTTTAAGAATTCTATATTTAGATGTGAAGTGAGATTGGAAAGACTGACCCAAAGAATGTGGCGATTGGTCAGTGATGCAGCTTCACCTGATAACTGGACGTGGAGGAAAAGCAGAGTGTAGTAATGAAACATGATTCATTGACTGTGATGATGCTGTATCAACAAGATGTTTTCCATATTTTCTGTATACTCAACATTAATGAGTGATATGAAAATCACTAAAAGATACAGTTCATTCCCTCTGAAAGCTTGGAGTTTATCTGGGAAAACCAAGCTAATAAAGGAACATTTGTTAAACAAATGGAAGGTATTATCAGTTATGAAATGTAGTCTCCATTAAGGTTGTTACAATTCAGAGAAGAGATAGAAAACTGGAAGAAAATTTTGAGGAAACGATACTTGAACTGGTTCTTGGTGGATGATAGGTATTTGGAAGGGAAAGAAGAATTTTAATCATGAAATTAAAATAAGCAGATACTGTAAAGAAGAGTAAAACAAAGCTGATTGGAGCATAATTCAAGTGTTCAGAAGGAATGGAAAAATGTTTGTCAAAGAGAATCAAACCAGGTTAAAAATTTTGGCTTAGTGGACATTAAGGAGCCATTGTAATTGTTTGCCCAAAAGAGTAATGTTGAGTTAGAGACATGTAGATAACATAAGTAGATTGCTTTTTACACGATGCATCAAAGGATGGTACCCTGAACTCAGAAATGTTGCTTAAGCTGTGAAGTCCTTTATGTAAGGAGGTGAGACCAGGTAACAATGAGAATAGAAGGGAAGAACGTGGTTAAAATATTTATAAAAGAAGAAAATGATATATGACACCCGAGAAAATAGAAAGTCCATTGGCTGCGTTTAGGAACATTGGAAGAGGAGACTTACTTATTTGAGATGACAGGAGAGCATCCAGATGGGAAGACTCACCTACCAGCTGTGCAAGGCACCAGGTAGTGCCTGTGTCTGACAGGATAACTAACTGGTTAAGCGCACAGACCTGGAGCCACGCTGAGTTTGTACTTTAAATCTTCTACACCTTGCCTGTATCACCTTGCATGAGTCACTTAATCTGTAAGATGGTAAATGAAGTACCTCCTTAAGATGTATGGAGGATGACGTAAGGTGCATTGTATATAAAGAGTTCAGCATAGCATCGGGCACCTAGTGAATGCTCAATAGCCATTAGTGATTATTTTTCACACACAGTAGGCACACAGTGAAATTATGAGGGATGAATCCTCCAGAAGAAAGTATACTTTTAAGAACATGGGACAACCATTTATATACACCTTTCATACCATAGTACCTAACACATGTCTTTCAGGTAATGACTTTCATTTCATACTAGATTGAGAGGGAAAAGATTAAAATGGCCTAATCCATGGAGGATTTCCATAGATGACTAAAGGAAGAAAAGAACTCTTAGAAAAATGACAGATAAAGAGCGAGTAGAGTAGAAGAATGACTAGAATATGTGTCATAAAAACCAGGAGGAAGCAAAGCAGTTGATGAACAGTATTATCAGAGAAAATCAAGACATTATATAAGGACCAGGAAAGTTTTTGGATAGACAGTTTGATGGTTATTCATTCATTCATTCAACAAATACTTATTGAGTGCCTGTTACTTAACAGGAGAGACAAAGTCCTTTCCCTCATGAACTTTACCAGAGGCAAAAGACAGTAAACAAATACTTAAGTGATAATTTTGTAAGGTAAGTTTTTTCTGGAGAAAAATATAAAGCGGAAGAGGAGGGAGTGAGAAGCATAAGACTTTGTGGTAGAGATTACAAATTTATTTCTTTTTTTAAAGATGTATTTACTTATGCATACAAGAACTGGGGTGTAGACCAGAGGTACAGGGGAGGTGAGAGGATTCACCAGAGACAGAGTGGGGAGCAGAGCAGGCAGATGTACTGAAATACACTGCTGAGGGGAGCAGTGGGCAAGACAGGAGAGATCTGCTGCGCCATGTGGGTCAGCTTCCTGATCGGAACTCCTGCTGCCATTGGCTGGCGATAGCTTGATAGTGCTGTCTTTAACCTCCGCACCACAGGGAGTCTTGAGGTTGCAAATTTAAAAAAGGACTTAGGGAGCCTATTAAAATTGCTATTGTTTGACATACAGACCAATGGAATCGAATAGAAAATCCAGAAATAAACCCACAGATTTATGGTCAACTAATCTTTGACAAAGGAGCAAAGACTATGCATTGGAGCAAAGAAAGTTTGTTCAATAAATGGTGCTGGGAAAACTGGGTCGCTACATGCAAAAGAATGAAGCTTGACCACCACCTCACACCATACACAAAAATCAACTCAAAATGGATTAAAGAACTAGACATAAGACCTGAAACCATAAAATATATAGAAGGAAATATAGGCGAAACACTACGTGATTTGCACATCAAAGACATCTTTACAGACACATCACCCAAAGCAGTGATAGTGAAGGCAAAGATAAACAGCTGGGACTATATCAAATTAAAGAGCTTTTGCACAGCAAAAGAGACAATAACAAAAACAAAGAGAAACCCCACCAACTGGGAGAACATTTTTGCACCCAACACTAATGATAAAGGACTGATCACAAAAATCTGCAAAGAGCTGATGAGACTCAACAACAACAAAGAAAATAATCCAGTCAAAAAATGGGCAGAAGAGCTTAAAAGAAACTTCTCTGAAGAGGAAATGCAAATGGCCAACAGGCATATGAAAAAATGTTCAACATCACTTGTCATCAGGGAAATGCAAATCAAAACTACCATGAGATACCATCTTACACCAGTGAGAATGGCACATATTAAAAAAACTAGCAACAACAAATGTTGGCGAGGGTGTGGAGAAAAAGGAACTCTTCTGCACTGTTGGTGGGAGTGCAAACTGGTCCAACCACTGTGGAAAGCTGTATGGAGATTTCTGGACCTACTAAACATAGAGCTTCCATATGATCCAGCAATTCCACTCCTAGGTATTTACCCAAAGGACACAGAAACATCAATTCCAAAGAGCACCTGCACCCCTATGTTTATAGCAGCACTGTTTACAATAGCTAAGCTTTGGAAACAACCCAAATGCCCAAAAATAGATGACTGGATCAAGAAGATGTGGTACATATATACCATGGAATATTACTCAGCATTCAAAAAAGATAAACACATGCAATTTGCTGCAACATGGATGGCGCTGGAAGGGATCATGCTCAGCGAAATAAGCCAAAAAGAAAAAGAAAAATACCGGATGGTCTCACTCATAGCAGGAATCTAGAAAACTTAAATAATGGACCAGGAAAATGAAAAACTATAAGAAAGTGAAAATCAAAATCAACAAAAAACTATGAACCAGAGACACTTTTAGGGGGGCGGGGGCGGGAGGGGAGGGATTGGGGTCAGAATGGGGGGCGGCAATTGTATGGGGAATATAACAATAAAATTTATAAAAAAAAATAAATAAATAAATAAAATAAATTTAAAAATAAATTTAAATCAAAAAAAAAAAAATAAAATTGCTATTGTTTGAGCAAGACCTAAAGCAAGAGAGATAGTTAAGTCACATGGATATCAAAGGTAAAATTACAAAGACCCTGAAGCAGTATTTTCAGGGAACAGCAAGGACACCAGTGTGGGAAGAGTGAGGGCTTTGAGGGGAGAGGAGAGAGTGAGAGAAGATGGGATCTGAGGGACAAGAGGCCATTTTATCTGGAATATACAGAACTTGTAGACCATAAGCATCTTTTTCTCTGAGTAAGATGGAGATCAGAAGTGTTTTAAACAGATAAATTACAGGACCTGACTTAGGTTTACTAGGCTAGAAGCAGGGAAGACAGTGAGGAGGATTTTATACAAATCCATGAAATGTCCCTGGCTCAAACCAGGTTGGTAATGCAGGTAGCATTTAGAAGAGGCTGGAAGCTGAATAGATTGTGAAGACCAAACCACTAGATTTGTCAGCAAATTGGGCATAAAGTAAGAGAAAGGCATATCAAGATTTTCTGTCTGAGCAGCTGAAAAGTTGGAGAAACAAATTTTAGAGGGAATCATCAAAACCCAGTGTGTCATTGGACACCATTAAATGAAATAAACCTTTGGAATAAATAATTTCCGTCTGATTTCTCCCAAAGTGTTGTAGTCATTAATTATAAACACTAGATTTGTATATACACATGTCCCCGTGTCTAGCACTAAATTTCTATTCATTTCTAACACTTGGTTTCTTCTAGGTCAGTAGTGTTTCATGGGAGTTCAATTTAAGCAGAACTGTTTCTGTTTGATATTCTCCTGTTGTGGGTATTAAAGAGACTGTCAGCAGTACTTAACAACTTCTTTTGTCTTTTTCCTTGGTGTTGATTGGAGCAGCTGAGTTGAAAATAGTGCTCATCTTTCATTGTCAAACTGACTTGAGACAGATGAGAGACTGGCTCACTCTGTTCTCCCTGCAGGCGTCCAGAGAGTAGATGAAGGTGGGTGGAACACTGTACAAGGGGCCAAGAATAGTCGTGTACTGGACCCCTCAAAATTCCTGAAAATCACCAAGGTTAGTATGACATTTAAAACACAGTTTTAACAGCCTCAAAACATGACTCAAAATTAGTTCTTGCTCATATCAAATAGGCAAATTTCACACTTTATGGGGTGGTTATTTTTTAATGTAGATGTTTTTCTACAAGTAGCTATCAATCAATGTATTCTTTTCTGGCACTAGTCCTTTTTATTTTTATAAAGGTTTAGTAAAGAGGAAGTGACTAGGCTAATTCTTAAAGTTATGAGATGCTTACTATAAGGGACAGGATATCAGAGATACTTCAGAAACCATAGTCAGTTGCAAGCTTTTATACTGTGTATGTATCTTAGCTCTGGGGAAAAAAACAGCCAACCTGTTTGAGTCTAGCCATGAAAAGAATTACTGGTTTGCCATATCCAAAAACTAAAATCACAGAGTACCTAGTCGAAATCATTCTGTGATAAACAGTTAATATACTGTACTTTCCTCTCTTCAAGAATCCAGGAGCAGTTAAGAGGAAAGGATTTTCTCCTGGCAGGTGTTTTCTTTTTTTTTTTCCTTTTAAGATTTATTTATGCATACTAGAACTGGGGTACAGACCAGAGGTGTGGTGGGGGTGGGGGTGAGCAGATTCACCAGAGACAGAGTAGGGAATAGAACTGGCGCATTGACTGAAATACACTGTTGAAGGGGGCAGCAGGTGAGACAGGAGAGATCTGCTGCGCTATGTGGGTAGCTTCCTGGCCAGGGATTGAGCTTGTGCTGCAGAGGCTGTGGACAGCTTAACAGTACTGCACCTAATCCCTTGCGCCACCAGGGAGGCCCTCCTAGCAGGTATTTTCAACAGGCATTGATCAGTATGAGGGTGAAGAACCTTGGAGAATGTAAAGAAAGCAGAATTACATTTGTAAAAGTGTAAACTTATGAAAACAGCCCCATGGATTTTGCATATCTCTTCTGTTCCTTACTTATAATACACTTAAAATGGTTTTGGAAGAAGATAAGCCATTTGATTTATATCTTCATGGTTTTGTCAAAGCATCACTTCAGGAAAAACATTTCTTCTCTGGATCTCAGAGAACAGGCTAGAAACTTGTTATCAAGATTTTGGTACATTCTTCTAGTTGTTTATATCTCAGAGCAGGAATTTCTTTGCGGAATGCAGCTTGATTCCCATCCACTTTCATTTCCCTTAGTTTTAACCATGTTCAAAGAATTTCTTCAACATCAGTCCCAATGTCTTTAAAAATTCTATCAGTACTTAACATTTGTCTGTGTTTTAAAATGCTATTTCTATGCATTGAGCACTAGAAAAAGAGAGCAGTCCTAGTATTAAACCTATAGTATTATTTCCTACATTATTTTTCAAAATGTGTAGATTGTTAATAAATTTTGTTTTAAGATAGTTATGATGTAGTAACTCTACATAAGTATCCTAAGAAGAGTTCAAAACCACTAAATTCATTGTTAACTGGCAGAGATTTTTGTGAAACGACAAAGATATTTTCATATTCTGACAGTACTGCCTTGTACTGTCAGAATATAGAAATATCTTTGTCACAAAGAGCTGCATTAAAGCGTTTGTGCTGTGCTTTATGATAATTTGTATTACAATATTCTGTGCACTTGTACTAATCTGCTTGGAAGATGAAGCCTAAGAGTTCCCAGGTACCTTAATTCTTGGCTAATAACATTCTAGTCTCTTTTTTATTATTCCCCTTTCATAAATGCTCCCATTCCATCCTCCAACCTGAGCCCAACCTATAGTAAGCTTTGCTAAAATGGGCAATGTTTGAATCTTGTAACCTATTTTCTGACAATCATGTTGAAGAGATTAGTAAGTTAATGTAGTATTTGTGCATTGCTTTTTCTTTTTTAATTACTGGGTATTTTTCTACAAGAGGAATCATTAGACACTGCTTACATTTGGCATACCATCTTAAAAGGAAGACCTGAATCTTTACATGCTCCAGACCAGTGGTTTTCAAACTGTGTTTTGTAGAAGCCGTATTTCAAGGAAGTGCTTCAGGGGCCACAGGAATTCCAGTTTAAAGTGAACAGCTCCAGTTTATGTTTCCTAGGTTCTACACTAAATTTTTTTGCTAAAATTGGTCTACTGCGATAGAAAGACACAAACTGTTTTTCTAGAATATTTCCTACAATTGACTTGTGGTCACTTATGTTACAGCCCACAATTGATGAGAAAATTCAGTTGGTACCTAAAGCACAGCTGGGCAGCTGGGGGAAAGGCAGCAGTGGTGGAGCAAAGGCAAGTGAGTCTGGTACGTATGGAGTCTCTCTTTTCTGGAACCTGAATGCAGTCCTAGCATTCATCTTACAGTGCATGCCCACAATCATTTATTGATGATTTTAGGAAAAGACCTATAGACTAATTGTCCCCAAACTTCTTGGTGACCTACTTTGACTAATGCCAATGGAAGGTTTCCTCCTTGGTAAGGATCATTAGGTATTTAAAATAATTTTTAAAATATTTTTCGTTCAGCGGGCCTCCCCTGGTGACGCAGCAGTTGAGCACTGGGCTGCGAGGCTGCCTGCAGCCTCTGCGGAACCTGTTCGTTCCCTGGCCACCTGCAAGGGTCCCACAAAAAAAAATAAATATTTTTCATTCAGCAAGGCTATTTAAGATATGAATCTTGAAGATTCCTTTGTTTGCAAATTCAGTATAATTAGAGAAATCACTTCGGATCCTAAATTAAAAAGGGAAATTGATTTTGCTGAGAAAGGTATTAAAATCCAGAAGTATTTAACTTGAGGGAGATGTAAAAGAATAAAGAATAGAATTGGAGTGAAATACTTGTAAAAAATCTTTATCAAAAGTTAGATTTTAAGAGATCTAACTTAGGACAGAAATGTTCGGACCATCACAAACACATCTCAGTAGCTGAAGAAGCCAAATGGAAGAAAAACCTCACTGTTAATATCCTTCCCGTAATTCCTTTTTACTAAGTAATTTCTGTCTTAAATTAAAAAGAATTTTCATTATTTACTCAATTCACATGAGATCGTAGCATGTACATTTGGCTTTTTAAAGTGAAATAATTTTTGCTTTTGCTTGCCTTCCTTCTTCGTCTGTTTATCACCCCCGCTCCCATGCCCTATGTAGAATAATTTGCTTTTGAAGGAACAAGTGGTTGTAATAAAGATTTCTACATTCTTTTAAATATAAAATGCCTGCTAACACTTTGCTTCTCAGAGTATAGTCTGTGAACCAAGAGATTCGCATCACCTGAGTAGGCTTATTGGAAATGCCTAGTCTCAGGCCCTATGCTAAGGAGGTGGATGAATAAAAGCTGCAGTTCACTCATGTGGCTTGTATTATTTTTTCTCAATCCTCAATACCTATAGATGCCTTGAGGTCAAGTGCTTCCAGTTTAAATCGGTTCTCTGCTTTGCAACCCCCAGCACCCTCAGGGTCTACGTCATCTACACCTTTAGAGTTTGATTCCCGAAGAACCTTAACCAGGTGAGAAGCCCTCTCTCCTTGTTAACTCAGGACTGTTCTGCTAATCAGTCAGTCTCTCTCTCTCTCTCTCTCTCTCTCTCTCTCTCTCTCTCTCTCTCTCTCTCTCTCTTTCTTCCCCCCCCCATAAATTGAATTCCTTTCATTTCTAAAGTGAATGTGGATGGATTCCTTCCATCTCTAAGATTGATTTCCTCTTTCTTTTCCTACTCTAATTTTTACATGCTGTAATTTTTAGGATAAAAGCATAATTGGGTGGTGGATTTGAGGTGGCATGGAAGGTGTAAGGGCCGGACTGGGCACAGTGCAGGTTTTCTGATCCCATGCGGACCGGGTAAAGGAGGAGTCAGAGTCCTCAGTGGTTTTTTGCAGGTCTTTTATTGGGGTTCACCAGGCATATGGCAGGCAGGGGTGCTGGCTGTCAGGAGGCCTGTCAGCCTCCCAGCCCCCAGCAAGTCTTTACTCTATCTGAGCTCTCTGGAGTTCGTTCTGCTGCTTCTCGGCTTCTCTTTCGGCTTCGGCTTCTACTGCTGCTACTGGTGCTTCTGCTGCTGCTTGGCGTCCCCCCGTGATGCCGCCCTTAAAAGCATAGTCTTAGCTCAGCTGAATCCCATCTACCTATGCCCACACCCTATTCCAGGTGCCCACAATCAGGCATGCATTCAGGACAAGGATCCATCATCTATCCTGATGGCGGAAGGGCAGAAAAGCCTGACATTTTCTTTACCCTACAGAAGGGAAGGCAAATTACCTGGCAGATAGCTAATGGTTTGCGCTTTAAGAAAGCCAGTCTACCCAGAGAGCCTTAGAGACACTTGCAGGGCTCTCCAAGCTAAAGCCTCAGAATATCGTAGATTAGCTTACTCCCCTCAAGCTTGTGGCTTAAAGGGCATAACGCGTCATTTATGTACAATAAGTCATAAGTCATAGGTGACTAGAAATTGCAACTTTAAGCAGAACAATATATATAATGAAAGCATGTCCTTGAATGACATTTTCATCATCAGCAGCCAGGATTTCTTTTCTCTCGTCAATAGGATGAAAGGACACTGGAGGAAACATTATCTGAGGACTTGTTTCGCTTCTCTGTCACACTGCTTAAGTTCTATTTGAGGTTATTTTTTTTGTAACTCTTTGTTCTATTTTCCTACTTTCTAATTTCATTTCTAGGAGTGATAACATCAAGTGTTGGCTGGTTTGTGGAGAATGGATGAGAACCTGTAGAATAGTTACAGAGAACAAAATTTTCTATTTTCCTACTTTCTAATTTCATTTCTAGGAGTGATAACATCAAGTGTTGGCTGGTTTGTGGAGAATGGATGAGAACCTGTAGAATAGTTACAGAGAACAAAATTTTTGATTTAATTACTTTTAGAGCTGATTTTTCTTTAAGCTTTCAGTTATTTTGTTTCAGTAGACTTTCTGAACTATGTTGCATTTCCTTGGCTTCTGAAGTAAAATATTTTTAGCACAAATCAACTTTTTAATGTTTTGGATTGTCATTTGGCTGTCATCAGTTGTGCTATTGATGTTGGAGACTGCCCTGCCATAAATCTCCCCTGATGGCTGTTTCCAATTACTTGTGTGTGCTTATTCACAGTGTCAGACAGCTGTCCTGCCTCTCAGTCTCTCCTCTCTTTTAATTTGCTACTTCTCATCTGCCATGGGCCACAGAACTGTTTGCTAAGGTGGTTAGAAATGTCTAAAAGAGAACTAACTGAGGAGATAGATTCTTAAAATGAATAAAAGGTGCGACTTGGCTGTGCAAAGAATTCTTCCACTATTTGGTTCCATATATTTGAAGTTTCTGAATAAATGAAGTATCATTGTGTAATTTCTGAGATAAGTGCTTTAGGTGTTCTGTTTTCCTTTCACTCATCCAGTTCATACACTCATCACTGTCTCCTTATTTGTAAAATTTTTTTTTAATTGCAAAAGGAATTGCTGGGCCTCCCCGGTGGCGCAGCAGTTGAGCGCTGGGCTTAGAAGCTGCCCACAGCCTCTGCAGCGCTGGTTCGATTCCTGGCCGCCGGCGAAGGTCCCACATGGCGCGCACACCTCTTCTGCTGCGCCCGCTGCTCCCCTCAGCAGTGTACTTCGTCATTCTGCCTGTTCTGCTCCCGCTCTGGCTCTGGTGAATTCTCTCACCCTCCTGCGCTTCTGACTATACCCAGTGCTTGTATAAATAAATAAATCTAAAAGAAAAAAGGAAAAGAAAAAGGAATTGTATTGACTTTAAAATTTTTAGTGGCATCATTTTAACTTCTAAGAAAAAAGTATATTCATAGCTTACAATTCTCTTTAACTTACTGGTTTTATTTTTACTATAAATACACTTTGAAATATAATTGGTGCCTCACACCTAAAGTTATCTGTGAAAGAATAATCCACACATTTTTAGTGTTACTTTATAATTTAAATACATATGGTGGTCTTTACTTTATAATTTACCTTGTAAATTACTTTATAATTTAAATACATAGGGTGGTCTTTCTTTTGAAAAGTATTGTTTTGTCTTTTAAGTCGTGGAAGCATGGGCAGAGAGAAGAATGACAAGCCCCTTCCATCTGCGACAGCTCGTGCGAATACTTTCATGCGGGGCAGCAGCAGCAAAGACTTGTTAGACAATCAGTCTCAAGAAGAGCAGCGAAGAGAAATGCTAGAGACTGTGAAACAGCTCACGGGAGGTATGGATGTGGAGAGGACCAACGCCGAGGCTGACAGAAACAAACCCAGAGAGGCAGGTGAGAGACCTTGTGTGAACAGATGCAAATGAAGAGGTAGGCTTTAAATTTGGAAGAAAAAGTACAAAGGAGACTTTATGCCAAAGTAGAATTCAGAAACAGTACAGGGTAACACATAGTGCCTTAAAAGTCAAACGGCATCTTTGTAATTTGTAACATGGTTCTCATTCCTAAGGTATTCCTATTTCAGTAATTTGTAAATTTTCCCCCTTTTCTATTAAATGTTGCAATGATGACGTCCTCATGTATACTAAGCAGCAGTTGAAAAGTCTGACATTATTAAGGCCATTGCAAGGCAAACCAAAGAGAAGGTACCAGGTTGTCTTTCTGGCCTTCATCTTCCTTGGTGTATCCTCTGTGGTTTTTCATATGTGTTTACTTTGTATATACCCAGAGAACTGACTCAATTAATGCTGTAAAAATTGCCTCTTTTTTTTTTTTTTTTTTTTTTTGGTGGGACCCTCGCCAGCGGCCGGGGAATGAACCGGTGCTGCAGAGGCTGCAGGCAGTCTCGCAGCCCAGCGTTCAACCGCTGCGCCACCAGGGGAGGCCCAAAAAATTGCCTCATTTTTTCAACCTGTGTTTTTGTTTTCTTTTTTGTTAAATGGGGGTCATAAGTATAGCTATCTTGTAAGGATAATGAGCATAGCTACCTTGTAGGGTTAATATAAAGACTAAATGAGAATACATTTAAATAGCTATATTACCTGATAAATAGTTTTCAAAATGTATTAGATATAATGATGGTAGTAAAGACAGCAATGAAAAATAATTTTCAGTGTCTTTTAAATTTTACTCTTAAAATAATATTGGTTGTTTATAACATTTATATAGCTTTCTTATTTGTTTCACTATTTGTATTGCTTCTCATAACTATGGTCTCTAAATGGATTTCAGTGGCAAATTAAAATGTCTTCTCCCAACAGATAGAGACTTCTGCTCTCTTAGCTTTAGGGAATGTGCTCAGTAGTTGTTTTGTAAACCTAAGAAAACAGGAAATGAAAGTATCTTGAGTGCAGTGAAGAATGTAGCCCAGGTACTTTATGCATGTTTATTGTCTGGGTCATTTGTTCATTCACCACATAATCTACTAAGCACCTAGTGAATTCTGAACACTTAGTCCCTGCACTTGGCTTTCAGCCTGCAGGGTCATAAAGATCTTTCTCAAATAATTTATTGAAGAGTCTAAGTACAAATGTAGGAAAATGCTTTGAAGGAAAGGAACATAGTTCTAAGAGAATATTCAGAGGCGCCATATAGAGGTAGCACAGAGAAATGTCAGGGAAGACTTTCCTCGGGTCTGAAAGGCAAATAGAAATTAAAAGAGTTTTGCAGAGTGAGACAGGAATGGAGCAGAGGGAAAAGAGCATTCCAGTTAAGAGTGGCACTACCAATAAAAAATTTTAAAAATTAAGAGTAAGAGGAGCACCATGAGCAAACTGAGAATAGGGGAACCATATTCTGGTCAAACAGCCACCGGAGGTTAGTGTGGCTAAAACTCGTACTGCAGCCCCATGTGTTCTCAACCACGGAATCGGTGGAGGAATCAAAACACAAAAGCCAAAAAAGTCCTATTATAGGGCCTCCCCGGTGGCACAGTGGTTGAGTGCTGGGTTGCGAAGCTGCCCGCAGCCTCTGCAGCGCCGGTTCAATCCCCGGCTGCTCCCCGACCACCGGAGGAGGGTCCCGCATGGTGCGCAGACCTCTCCTGCTGCCCTCTGCTCCCCTCAGCAGTGTGCTTCGGTTCTTCTGCCTGTTCTGTTCCCTGCTCTGGCTCTGGTGAATTCTCTCACCCTCCCGCGCTTCTGACTGTACCCAGTGCTTGTATAAATAAATAAATAAATCTTTTTTTTTAAAAAAAAAAAGATTAAAAAAATCCTATTATAAAACTTAAAGTCCCTATGTCCTTATACTTGCTATAGATTATGAAGTTATATTATGCATGTATTCTGAAATAAATGTTCTGTTTTCTGCTTTTAGGTGTCTTGCTTTGTCAAATTTGTATCTACTTTAAGGCCTTTACTGAAGAAACAATATAATGATACATAAATGTCAACTATAATCCTACCATTTTAATGATAATATTTGTCATTTTTACTTTCTAATTTTTCAACCTCACTAGTGACAAAGCCAGAAATGCCAGCAACATCAGCCACTGACAAGCCTACCTTGTCAGAAGAGGATGTGGTCAGGAAGTCCAGATCTATCATTGATGAATTTCTACACATTAATGATTTTAAGGTAAATGAAACTTTTAAAGAAGAAAGCAACAGGGCCTCTCTGGTGAAGCAGGGGTTAAAGACACAGCGCTACCAGGCTATCGCCAGCCACTGCAACATAAGTTCGATCTGCGGCCAGGGAGCTGGCCTACATGGTGCAGCAGACCTCTCCTGTCTCACCCGCTGCTCCCTCAGCAGTGTATTTCAATAGATCCGCCTGTTCTGCTTCCCACTCTGTCTCTGGTAAATCCTCTCACCCCCTCACCTCTGGCCTACACCCAGTTCTTGTATGCATAAATAAGTATCATGTTGTGATTCATAAATAAGTAAATCCTTAAAAAAAAGAAAAAGAAAAAAAAGGCAACAGCAATACAGAAGCTCCTGTGACAGAGAGATAGTAACTTGATTCTGGTCTAAATCAATTGTCATTGTGAACGGGTAAGACTTAGAGTGAGTAATCCAAGTCCTACACTATTCCATTTATACACCTCTGGTGCATTTCTACCAAGTACTCACTTTTAAATTGATACTGTAGTTTACAAGATCCAGTGGGAGAAAGAGAACAGGTACTAGTATATCCCTAGTATGGGATGGACAAGTGAACTTTGATATTAATGTTAAAAAACAAACAACGTTATTATGAGATATTCCTAGCTCCCTGTATTATTATATGTATTACCTGTGATGATCTTTACGGTTATTTTATTGTCATTCTCATTAATTTTTTAACTATGGCTGACGTTACTTTTTCTTTATTCATTAAGTAGGAAACTGGCGCAAAGGAGTTCACAGTGTGCCAGGGTCACACAACTTAAGTGAAAAATCAGTGAACGCTATAGAAAGAGTCAAAGAACATACTTCTCATGCTGTGATTCATTAGATTGCTAGAAAATACGGAATATTAAAAGTTGTAAAGTAGTTTTTCTGTGAAAAGAGGTTGGAAAATGTGGAAGACTTAGAAGAAATTGAAAGGGCTAAGGAAGGGTGAGAAACAGAGTCAACATGGGAAGAAGCATTGGAGATTGGCTTTAGAAATAATTTGGATATGTACAGTCACTGAGCAGCAAATGCTTTGAAGGGGGGAAAGCATGAACTGTTGGAGGAAGAGGGAGAAAAAGACTTTAGTAACACCTGACTGCAGCAAGAGACTCTGCAGTGTCCTCCATTAGCCCTGGGGGCCAGGTCTGCAGTAGGAAAGGAAATGTCAGTTCTGGCCCAGGAATTGTATGTTACCTTCAGTGTATGAGACAGCTGTGCTGCAGAGTGGCGCTAAGGACTAGGTAATAATGGTGGACATAGATTGAGGACTTACTATAGATGCTATTCTACATGTTTTAGTTCATTTAATCCTCACATCATCCCATTGTTAATACTTTTAAAATAGCTGTTTCACAGGTAAGGAAACTGAGATCAGAGATATAAAGTAACTTGCTCTGGGTCCTACTGCTGATAATTGGCAGACTCAGACTCAGAGCCAGGCTTCTAGCTTCAGAGCATAAACTATACTTTGTCTTGTCACCTCAGGGTACTTATTTGTCATGTTAAAGGCTTAAGGAGTTCATCCTAAAGAGGAGGATTTTGTTTGTTTTTCACATTTTATTAGGTGTTGCTATCATTAACAATATTACAAATTAGTATTTATTGAGTCTTTGTTTTGTGCTTGGCATTGTGCCAAGGGCATGTGTATACATTTTGGGCGCATTTCTCACCTATTCTAGGAAGTCAAAGCTGAGAGACTATTAACATTCCCAAACTCAGTAGTAAGAGGCAGTCAGGATTTGTCTGATTCCACAGCCTGTATTTTTAGACTCTATGCTGTGTATTTAATGAGTACCTAAAATGAACCAACCACATTTTAGGGAACACCGCCTAAGTATAATGTAATATTTGTGATGAGCAACATAGTCTCCTTTAATGGGTCTTTTATGGAGCTTATGTTCTAGTGGGAGATACAGATAAGGCTGACCCTAACGATAGGTAATAAATAAGCATTAATTACCCCAATAGAGTTATCTCAGTTTGCACATTAAAGGACTTTGATTCAGGACATGGAATTTGTATTTCATAATATTCCATTGTCAAGTTTTTTTTTTTTTAAAGATTTATTTATTTATGCAACAAGAGCTGGGGTATAGGCCGGAGATGCAGGGGGTGAGAGGATTCACCAGAGACAGAGTGGGGAACAGTACAGGCAGATTGACCAAAGTACACTGCTGAGGGAAGTAGCGGACGAGACAGGAGAGGTCTGCTGTGCCATGTGGGTTGCTCCCTGGCTGGCCGGGGATCGAACTCATGCAGCAGAGTCTGTGGATTGCTTCATAGTGCAGTGCTTAACCTCTTGCACCACCAGGGTGGCCCCTATCAAGTTTTTTTAATAATCTTAAGATAGGCAAACATTGTGTAGAAAATACTATTTCTTTTTAAAAGATTTTATTTATATAAGAACTGGGGTACAGGTCAGAGGCGTGGGAGGGTGAGAGAATTCAACAAAGAGCGGGGAGCAGAACAGGCAGACGGACCGAAGACATTGCTGAGGGGAGCAGCCCAGTGGGCGAGGCGGGAGAGATCTGCCACGCCATGTGGGTTTCTCCCTGGCCGGCCGGTAATCGAACTCGAGCTTCAGAGGCTGCGGACAGCTTCACAGTGCGATGCTCAACCCACAGTGCCACCAGGGAGGCCCTAGAAAATACTTATAAAGATATACTATTCTTGGGCCTCCCTGGTGGCGCAGCGGTTGAGCGCTGGGTTGCGAAGCTGCCCGCAGCCTCTGCAGCGCCAGTTCAATCCCCGGCTGCTCCCCGGCCACCGGAGGAGGGTCCCACATGGCGCGCAGACCTCTCCTGCCGCCCGCTGCTCCCCTCAGCAGTATACTGCGGTCCTTCTGCCTGCTCTGCTCCCCGCTCTGGCTCTGGTGAATTCTCTCACCCTCCTGCGCTTCTGACTGTACCCAGTGCTTGTATAAATAAATAAAAAAATAAATAAATCTTTAAAAAAAAAAAAAGATATACTATTCTTTTGTTTTAAATATGACTACTACTGTCTCTATCAGCCTGCATTGTACTGAGCTATATTATATTTAAAAAATATATATATGAAAACTGTCTTGTTCATGCTGCTTTCTACTGACTTTTGTCGTAAGTGAAAGATTTTACACTTATTTTAACACATGAGTAATGCTATCCAGGTTGAGTTAAACTTTTACTTGCTTTTTGAACAGGAAGCCATGCAATGTGTGGAAGAGTTGAATGCCCAAGGCCTGTTACATGTGTTTGTGAGAATGGGAGTGGATTCTACCCTGGAAAGGAGCCAAATCACCAGGGACCACATGGGCCAATTACTACATCAACTGGTGCAGTCAGAAAAACTCAGCAAACAGGACATTTTCAAAGGGTCAGTATCCTCCTCAAGAGTGATATTTAGTTACAAGACTTGTAAGTACTATTTAATTTTAAAAATACAAATCTTTTTATTAAAGTATTTAGCTTTTTCCATAGATTAAAATTGTGTCCACTGTAATATGTTGTCGTATAATATGTTGGCTCATTTAATGGCATTATAGATTATGCTGGGGAATAAAGGTTATCTTCTCGTTTTCTATGTCATACTGTTGGACCTATATTATGATTTAAGTTAGACAGTAGGGTCCCCATCACTGCAGGGAAGCTCTGAGACCCTCGCTAGCCTAACTACTTGTAAAACCCTGAATGTTGTTCAAAGAGAAAGTTGGTTTTTTTATTGTTTGGGGTTGTTTTTGGGTTTTTTGTTTGTTTTGGTGATAAAATGCTGGACAATTGATTTAAAGCTAAAAGCTTATTCTTTTCAATAAACCTTTGTGGTTTTGACTAGAAAGTGCTTGTCTGTCCTAATTTGCTTTGTAGAAGGATATGTAACTCTAAGTTATTAATGAGACAGGCTCTTCCAGGTCAGTTTCATTATAACTCCTGTTGATGGCTGGTTTGATGACATCCAGCTGTTACTGGTGTGTCCTCATTTGATCCAGGTCTGATATCTTTTGGTATCAGATGAATTGAATATGGTAAAAAAAAAAAAAAAAAAATTTGTTTTAGCTGCCATGTTGTGAATATTAGTATTTTCTTTCTTTTTTAAAGATTTATTTATTTATTTATACAAGCACTGGGTATAGTCAGAAGCGTGGGAGGGTGAGAGAATTCACCAGAGCAGGAAACAGAACAGGCAGACCGACGAAATACACTGCTGAGGGGAGCAGCGGGCGCGGCAGGAGAGGTCTTCGCGCCATGTGAGACCCTCACCGGTGGCCAGGGATCAAACCAGTGCTGCAGAGGCTGCTGGCAGCTTCACAGCCCAGCGCAAGGCCCTGAATATTAGTATTTTCATCACATGTTACTGAGCTAGAAATGTGCATTTAATGCAAACACATTCAATCATCTGTTGCATAACAAGTAGATGTCAAGTAGTTAACAAGCTTTGAGGTCAGATAATTGGCATTAAGAATTCACAAAACCCAGAGCTTTAAAATGTGGTTGAGGGCCTCCCTGGTGGCACGAGGTGTTAAGCACTGCACTATGAAGCAATCTGCAGCCTCTGCAACATGAGTTCGATCCCCAGCTGGCCAGGGAGGAACCCACATGGTGCAGCAGACCTCTCCTATCTCGCCCACTGCTCCCCTCAGCAGTGTATTTTACTCAGTCTGCCTGTTCTGTCTCTGGTGAACCCTTTCACCAGGCATCTCTGGCCCATACCCCAACTCTTGTATACATAAATAGATAAATCTTTTCTAAAAATAAATAAATACAATGTGGTTGAGATGCAAACTGTTTTGCTATGGCACCTTCAGAAAGATGGCCCTGCCTAGTAGTGGTACCACTTTTGAAGTGAAAAAATTTAATGACATGTAGACCTCTGAAGTTGGTAAAAGAGTAGCATGCTCTGACTAGAAACTGGGACTTCAGTGAAAAAAGCACGCATTTGATAATCTGCAGAGATCTAAAAGGATATGAAGATAAATACCACTTGCCTTTATTTTAACCCCTTCATTCATTCCTTCCTTCCCTTAGATTATGTATATTGTAATTATGTGAATCTTTTCAATAGCTAAATTCACTTTTATTCTTATATGCTGTCTATCAGGATAATTAATTAACAAAGTCTTGAGGGCCTCCATGGTGGCCTAGGGGTTAAGTCTCAGCACTATCACTGCTAAGGCCTAAGTACAGGAGTTAACACGTGTTGGCCAGGGAGTTAACACATGTGGTGCAGCAGACCTCTCCTGTCTTGCCCACTGCTCCCCACAGCAGGGTATTTCAGTAAATCCTCCTGTTCTGCTCCCCACTCTGTCTCTGGCAAATCCTCTCACCCACCCCCCCCCCCCATACTTCTGGCCTACCCAGTTCTTACATGCCAAAAAAAAAAAAAAGTTTAAAAAAATGTAAAAAACCTCACAAAGTCTTGATAGATGTTTTTGTGCTTATAAGTGAATAGCTATGATTTTCAGGCTAAATTAGACTGTGTGCTGATATTTCATATTTGACTTTCCTATTCAAATCCCATTTATTTTAATTCACCTTGAGAAATATTTCATAGCATGAAAAGCCTAAAACCATTAGCTTTTCTTTTAGAGGTGCAAAAATGTATAATATGCCAAGATGAAGATACTAGTAATATTGTCAGAATTTTTAATTTCCATCCAGTTTTTTCTCCCATTGTAAGCTCCTCAAGGACAAAGATTTTTATCTTCTTTTCATATCTGGTCTCTATTAAAGTTTTTAGTGAATACTTCTGACTGATTCAGGATATAATACTCAACTGTGGTAAACTCTTTATAGCATTGGATTAAATTGAATAGATAGCTGTGCCCCTCTTCCCCAAACTTCCTATCATTAAAGTCTTTCAAATGCCACCTTTATGCATTTGTGTTGGAATAGCCTGGTACCATAGATCATGTTCTTTATAATATTAAGCCCTCTCTGGGGCCTCCCCAGTGCGAAGCTGTCCACGGCCTCTGCACTGCCGGTTCGATCCCCCGCCGGCCAGGGAGAAACCCACATGGTGGGACAGACCTCTCCTGCTTTGCCCACTGCTCCCCTTGGCAGTGTCTTCACTCCGTCTGCCTATTCTGCTCCCCACTTTGTCTCTGGTGAATTCTCTCACCCTCCCGTGCTTCTGACCTGTACCCCATTTCTTGTATAAATAAATAAATCTTTAAAAAAAAAAAGCCCTCTCTGCAAGTGTGCTTTTGTTTGAGCTATTATCTCTTTCTTCCTATGCTAAATATTAGCTGAGAGCAGGGATTTGCTTACAGTAACTTTAAGCCTAGAGCAGTATCTAACATAGCAAGTGCTTAATAGGTATTTGTTAACTGACTGGTTGTTGGTTTCTTAATTTAATCTTACTTTTGAATGGCCTTTGCATGTGAATTTTTTCCTGTTCTTTTCAGTTTTTCAGATATATTGGAATTGGCAGATGACATGGCCATTGATATTCCCCATATTTGGTTGTACCTTGCTGAACTTGTGACCCCCATGTTAAAAGAAGGTGGAATCTCCATGAGAGAACTTATCATGTAAGTTGTAATTATCATGTCAAGTTAAACTGAGGCAAAATACACAGACTGACCCTCTGGCATTGTGCTGTTCTGTTAGTGCCTTTGGGTACTCACAGATGTGGCCTGAGACTCTTTAATACTTTCAATTTCAATATTGCAATGTCACATTATACTAGATCTGTGCTGGAGAAGTGTTAGGAATATTATTACCCTCGTGGTTCACTGGGGTTAGTGATGATCATGGCTGTGCTCCAGAATCACTTAGGTGATTGCTCATGGAAACCATGTTAATCTGACTTTTATGACTGTTCTTGCTCAAAAGCTATGGTAATTTTTATTTCCACATAATAGCTTTTCAGACTGCCACCTACAAAGCACATGCTTAGATTGTGATTGAGATATATATATATATATATATATATATATATATAGAGAGAGAGAGAGAGAGAGAGAGAGAGAGAGAGAGAGAGAGAGAGAGAGAGAGACAATTCTAGATTTGGACAGGAGTGGAAAATTGTTGCTACATTGCATAGAACAGTGTTTCAAACATTAATGTTTTCTAAAAGCTGATCATAGGATCAAATTCAGAAAAACTGCTATATCCCTTTTCTTTGAGATTCACAGAGTATATTACAACACATTAAAGATTATGAGAACCCTAAACTAAGCAAAAGCCAATAAAAACTTTTAGCTTTGTTAAATTCAGCATTGCCTCCCTTAATTGACTATAGAATCCTCTTTTGAGAATGATTATTGATAACTTATGGAATAGTTTAGGAAATACTATTAGGATTTTAGGAAATAGCTAGGATTTTCAGACTTTGAGGAAGTTGATCCTGTTCATTTCATCCATGTTTTAAAGAAGAATTTTCCCTGTGTTAAGAACACATCATAACTAAGTCTCACAAGTCCCTGTTACCTAAGGTGCTTCTCTCCTTTCAGCTTGAAGTGGAGTTTATAGAAACATAACAAATTATTAAGTGCGCTTCGCATTGCTTCTAACCCTGAAGCAGTTTAAAGAAAAATAGAAAAACCAGGAGTTATAAAGTACCTTTGCAACCTCTCTACGAAGCATAAAGTGAACCTGAAGTCTCTGAACTACTGCTGCCAAGTGTGCCCTGGAGCCCTGACTTGTCTAGTGTTGTTTATGTTGCACAGTATCTGTTCTTCTGGCACACATTGTTTGCCTGATTTTCTAGAACAGTGCCTAATCATTTCTCCTATCTTTTACAGAGAATTTAGCAAACCTTTACTTCCTGTTGGAAGAGCTGGGGTCTTTCTTTCTGAAATACTGCACCTTCTATGCAAACAAATGGTGAGTGTGAAACTGAGAGTCAGACTCAATAGCATAATAAGGACATTTATTTTGATCTTGGGTTATTTCTGAATAGCTTAAGTATCACTATGTAACTTTTCTTATTTGAAAAAAAGAAGAGCGAGAAAAAGCAAAGAAAAAAAAGTGAGGTTTTTGTTTTCAAACTCATTTCTTCCAGAGATGTTTTGAGATTATTCTTTCCAAGTTTCTGGATCATGGGTTGGTAATCTGATTAGAAATAGGCTGTAAAAACAATTCTTCAGGATTGTGACTTTCTGTCTGAAGGTTTAGTTTATTTTAATTTAATAAATATACTGCTCAATTCTTTGCAAAGCTCTAGGCTAGAATCTCAACCTGCAAAGACACCTAAATCTTCAAAGAATTTATAGACGAGAAAGGAAGACAAATTTAAACCAAGCTTTTTTTTTTTTTATTGTATTTTGTTTTTTTATTTAGGTAGCTTTGGTTTATAGCACTGTATGTGATTCAGAGTTATAAAGTCATATCTCCTCAGATGTATGTTACCACAACACACCCACTACCAGGGCACCCGTAATCTTCCCTCATAGTCCATTGGGCCCTCTCCCCCTTCTGCTCCCTATTCCCTACCCTCCCGCTCTAGTAGCCTCAATTCTGCAGGCAGATTTCTAGGATTTGTTTGCTTTGATCATAGCTAAGTGGTATTCTATTTTGTGTATATACCGCATCTTCTTTAGCTACTCATCTTTGTTGGACACTTAGGTTGTTTCTATAACTTGGCTACTGTAAATAGTGCTGCAGTGAACATAGTATATACATCCCTTTGAATCCGTGTTTTTGGATTCTTTGAGTAGATAACTGGGATTAGAATTGCTGGATAATTTAAAATATTTTGAGAAACCACCATACTGTTTTCCGTAGAGACTGGACCAGTTTACATTCCCACCAACAATGTACAAGGATTTCTTTTTCTTCACACCCCCGCCAATACTTGTTTCTTGTCTTTTTTGATATGGGCCGTTTTTATGGTTGTGAGGTGATATCTCATGGTTTTGATTTGTATTTTCCTGGCAAGTGAGGATGAATGTTTTTTTCGTGTGCCTTTTTCCTGAACGTCTTCTTTAGAGAAGTATTTATTAACTCTTCTGCCCATTTGGATTATTTGTTTTCTTTTTATTTATTGAGTTGTATGAGTTCTTTGTCGATCTTGGCTATAGCCCCATGTCAGATGTATGATGCGCTAATATCTTCTCCCATTTGGTAGGATGTGTCTTCATTTTATTTATTTATTTATTTTTAATTTATTTTTATTTATTGATTTTTTAAAAAGATTTATTTATTTTTATACAAGAGCTGGGGTACAGGCCAGAGGCACGGGAGGGTGAGAAGATTCACCAGAGACAGAGAGGGGAGCAGAATGGGCAGACGGATGGAAATACACTGCTGAGGAGAGCAGCAGGCAAGACAGGAGAGGTCTGCTGCACCATGTGGGAATCTCCCTGGCTGGCCGGGAATCAAATTCGAGCCGCAGAGGCTACAGACAGCTTCACAGTGCTGCACTCAACCCACTGCGCCACTGGGGAGGCCCTGTGTTTTCATTTTAATGATCGTTTCCTTCTCTGTGTAGAACCATTTTAGTTTGATGCAGTCTCATTTGTTATTTTTTGCTTTTAAAGCCAATAGTTTCAAAAGAAGTAACAATACTGTATTTGAGGTGTAAGAGTTTTGGAAAAGTACATCATAAAAGAGATATAACACCTGGGGTGAGGGGTATTAAAGCAAAATAGACTCACAAATGAGTGTTCTGAAAGTGATTTCTGACTTAATCAAACCAGAGCCAAAAATACTGAGATGATGGATTTCATTGTTTTATAGGCATTGATTTTTTTAAAAAAAAAGATCCAGTGTTTCATTTCTTCCTGTGAATCTATAGAAGTCCTTCTGTGTCACACTTGGGTAATAGTTATTCACAAATAGGTATATTAAAAAGTCTGATCACTAGTTCTAGTTATAAGCTATTTCTTATTAATATTCTTTGTTTGATGGTGCTCATTGTTTTTATTGAATTCTTATTTGTAGATAAATTCCCTTTTCCTTTTACCTACTTGACTTTAGTCCTTATTTTAAACTCAAATTTTTGTTTACTTTTATTACCAGAAAGAAAAAATAAATTCTTCACCTAACAAAAACCAAGTTGTCTTAGCGTCTAAACTCTAGATTTAGCCTGAGTTTCAACTCATTTGGCTCAAGTTACTCTATGAAATAATTAGTATGTGTTCCTTAGGTGACAGCTGTAGTCTCAAAGCGTGACATTTTCCTTTATCACTGTGACTTTTTACAGGCAGTGGACTTCTGTTTCTTCATCAGTTTTCTAGCTGACGGCAGCCCTTCTCTTGTTTATTGGACTCAGCCATGTGCTTCTTGCCCTTGAAATGCTTCTCACTCCTGGTTTGGAGCAACAGTTTCCATAGTCCTTGTCATGTTAGGCCGTATAAATGTGATCTTCTATGAAGAGGGATTCCAGCGCAGCTTGTTGAATGATGTTCATAGCAGATGCATGCAGGATCACTGTATGGGATCCTGGGGAAAGAGACAATATTGAATTTATAAACTGCATGCATTGAACCCTTTTTAGGTGACTACGGTGTAAATTCTAAGCACCAAACTTGCTATTCATCAGTCATTTGGTAAAATAAACAATTAAACCTTAAACATCTGTACTTTAATTGTTACATTTTATATGTATGTAGACTTCCCAGTTTGAAAGTTATGAGTACTGAGAAATTAATTTCATATCAACAAGGAAAAGTTTTGATTTTTCGATCTTTACGGTTCTGCACTTTTGACTTCAAAGCAAGCCTTTTTCCCCTCTTGTTTCAATATATAAGTAAATGGTTTGGATTTATCTCTTTTTAGAGCCATAAGAAAGTGGGAGTCTTATGGAGGGAGGCACACCTCAGCTGGAAGGACTTTTTACCAGAAGGAGAAGATGTACATAATTTTCTCTTGGAGCAGGTGAGTAGGAAAAAAGGCATTAGCCCTCCCTTTTAATAGTAGTTGGTCCATTATATAGAAAAAAGGAAGGGAGTTTCATTAATAGTTAGTCATTAAAATTAGACCAAAATAGGAATCCTGGTCAAGTTGTCAGTTTAAGTCCTTGCTTTACAGCCACTCTACTATGCACTCATCAGATGATTAAAAACAAAAGAAAAATTTTAAAGACTTAGCCACACTTAGAAAACAAGCTTCCTATCTCACTGAGCCTGAAGTGATATTGATAAATAAAGCAGGGGCAATAGGGCTAAAGATGCAGTTCTTTGGTGCTCTGGTTCTGAAGGCAGGTGAGGCAGCCAAAAGTTATTTCTGTGGAATAATGGGGACTAGTGTGCTGCTTGCAAAGTATAAGATTGGAGACAGGCTTACTGCATGAGACCAGTGGGAAGTTTATAGACAAATTAGTACAAGGAAATGGACACAACATTACAACCAGAATGTTAGCTAAGCTGCCTACTGACTTGGGAACATTTGCAAATCTTACATAGAAAAATAGTAAAATAATTAGAATATCATTTTAAATTAAATATATTATACGTAGTAAAGATGTATTAGGTTATTATGGATTTCGGCTGCTTTTTTGATTGTAGTCTAGATACACTGAGGAGCACTCTTGCTGCAGTAAGAACCTACATAAAGCATAATATCTCTTACATTGCTGAACTCATAGAAAGTGGAAGAAATTTCTAAGCACCAGAAAGAACAGAGATGAAACCTGAACTCTGAACATAAGCATATATGAAGGCCATAAGTACTGCCAGAGATCTTAGAAGAAGTTGAGTTGGGGCCCCCCCCCTCCCCCCTGCAATACTACCTTATCTCCCAGGAGAAACAATCCAAAATGCTCTTTGGAGAAAACATTTTCACCTTAAGTTCCCTTATTTTCTACAAATTAACATTATGTAAATATGTAAGTTAGCACTTAGAATTTATTTAACATATAATGCAACAAGTAACCAAAGGGGAAAGTAAACACAATATATTGGTAGGTTTAGACCCAGAGACTTAAGATAATGGAATTTCCACTTAAAATATAAAATAACACTGTGAAACAAAGGGAATCATGAAAAGAGTTGAGATAGTGGAATTATCACTTAAGCTATAAAGTGGCACTATGTAAAAAAGAGGAAATTACAAAAAGCAAACAAGAAGAGTCTAGTCATTATGATTAGGCAGATTTGGGAAAAAGAAGAAGAAACAAAATAGAATTTTAAGAGGTGTTAAGAGATTTAGAAGATAGAATGAGAAAGTTAAACTTATGTTAGTTGGTATCCCAGAAGGGAAAATAGAATGAATGAAGAAGAGACAATATCTGAAGAAACTTCTGAGACTTTTCCAGAAGTAATAAAGTACATGTATCTAAATAGAAAAAACATGAATACTTATACAGTAATTACATTTTGGTGAATTGCATAACCTCAAACACAGAAATCTAAGTATCTAAAAGAAGATGCACATTACCTTCAAAGGAGAAATAGACTGCAGTAGCAGCAGGGAAGCCAGAAGTCAGTGAAATGGTCTCAGTTATTCATAAGTCAAAGGAAAAATCGTAAAGGATAGAAAGTTAAAAACAGATTGTAAAAAGTATTTTACACTGCTAAAACATGAAAATACAATGTCTAAAAATTTATGGGGTGCAACTAAATTGTGGGATTTTAGTTCCCACAACTAAAATTTGTGGGAACTTAGAGCAGCGTTTTTAGCACTGAATGCCTATATTTAGTAGAAAATTAAGGTCACAAGATTGTGACTGACCCTCAACCTTACAAAATTAGGAAAAGAGGAACAAATAGAAGTCAGATAGAAAAAAGGAAATAAGTAAATATCAGAAACAGAAACACAATAGAGAAAAGTCAGTTAAGTCAAGAGCTGGTTCTGTGAGAAAATGTAATTGATAAACCGCTAACCAGCTTAATCAGGAAGAAAGTGAAAAAGAAAAGGCACAAATTACCAGTAAAAAGAATGAGGGAGATGGCATTGGGTAGATTCTACACATTAGTGGATAATAGAATTTTATGAATAATCTTTATTGCCAATAAGTAAGTACAACATAGTTGAACATATTTCTTGAAAGATACAAACTACTAGAGATGACTCAATTAGAATAGATAAACTGAATATCTATTGAAGAAATTGAAGTAGTTAAAAACATTTCCACCAAAAAAAAAAAAAGTTCCCACAAAGAAAACTCTAGGCCCCAATAATTTCACTGGTGAATTCTAAGGTAGAAACAATAGCAATTCTGCAAAGAATTCTACACTAAGTGTTCCAGAAAGTTGAAGAGGAGAGATTACTTCCCACTTCATTCTTTGAGGTCAACATCACTATAACAAAATTAAGCAAACACATTTCAAGAACAGAAAACAATAGACCAGTATTCCTAATAAACGTTGAGGGAATTTTCTTAGCAAAACTGTTGCTAATGAAACAATTTATATAAAGGCTAATACATTGTAACCAAGTAAGATTTATGCAGGAATGTGATGTTGGTTTAACATTCAGAAATCTGTATGTAAATGTAGGCAAAATGAGTTAGAAGCTCCAGAATTAATCCCTCCATGAAACATTTGAGCTGGCAAGATCTCTTAGAGTCAACAATTTTAGAATTGTGGAGGCTGGTCAGTAGTCAAACATATGTAGCACCAACACTAGGGAAGTGTTCGATGAATAAAAAGTGTGGTACATTTCAGTGAATTTTTTTTTTTTTTTTTTGGCATTTTGCATAGAAGCTCCCAGCCTCCAGCTGTGGCAGACAGCTTTCCTGTACAGCTTTTTGGTGCCAGGTTGAGCAGTAAAGACCTTGTCCTCCAAAGATCGGTGTTGTGTCTTTTTATTTGCCTAGCAGTTCAATGAGGGTCCAGTGCAGGATCTGGCCATTTCTTCAGCTTCTCAGGCTGAAACATCTTCCTAGATGTCTGTCAAAGAATTTAAAGAAACAGAACACATTTGTGTCTTTCCTACCCATCCTCTCCTCTCATTTCCCTCCCTTGCCTTCCCCTTCTCTTTTTTTCATTGGATCCAGGCATTCACTGGAATCTCTGAAAGGTCACTGGCTGACTGCAGAGATAATGGATCAAAGACTACGATACCACATATGCGAAGGAATGTAGTCCTTGTCTAAAAGTCACTAAATGGACAGATGGCTGCAGCATCAGCAATCCCTGAGGAAGGGCGAGAATCTGATATTCAGAGTTACACATTACAATATTCAAACTGTCTAGTTTACAACAAAAAAAATTACAAAGCCTATAAGGAAACAGGGAAAGTTGACTCAGTCACAGGAAAAATAAGAAACTGACAGAAAGCATTCCTGTGGATGCCCAAACATTGGGAGTATTGATAAAGGTTTTAAATTAATTGCCTTAAATATGTCCAAAATTGTTGAAGGACACTAGAGATAAAAAGCTAAAAGAAATTAGATGAATGATGTCTGAACAAATTGGAAATATTGATAAAGTGGCAGAAATTATCGAAAGAAACCAAGTTAAAAAATCTGAAACTAAAAAGTGGTTTTAGCTGAAATGAGTCTTAGATTTGGCAGTAATGTACTTCCATGAAGGTCTGTCTTTAGTTTTCATAAAAGTTACATTCTTTTGTTTATTGTTTTGCTAATGAAATTTCTGACATTGCTTTTTGAAATTATGACTATCGTTGAATAGTTTAAAAAAAAGTTCCTGGGCCTCCCTGGTGGCCTCCTGTCTTAACAATGCTATCAAGCTGTCGCCAGCCATGGCAGCACTAGTTCCTTCCCCGGCCTCGTTCCTTCCCAGGCCAGCCAGGGAGCTACCCACATGGCACAGCTACCCTCTCCTGCCTTGCCCGCTGCTCCCCTCACCAGTGTACTTCAGTAGATCTGCCTGTTCTGCTCCCCACTCTTTCTGGTAAATCCTCTCACCCCCCGCACCTCTGGCTTACACACCACTTCTTGTATTCATAAGTAAATAAATCTTTTTAAAAATTAAAAAAAAGCTCCTGTAGCTTTTAAATTTTAAGTCTTAACAATACATATTGAAAAATTGATCCATTAAATATATGAAAAGTTTTTTAAAGAAGAAATTACTCAGCTTCATGAATAGAAAGAAAAACAATCAAGAAAAATGAACCAAACCTAAGGATCTATGGACGCGTAGTACAGAGTCCCAGAAGGAAGAGAAGAGAACAGAAAAGATACTTGAAGAAATAATGGCTGAAAATGACCCAAATTTGACCAAAGATATGTGTCTACACATCTGAGATTTCACCAAACTCCAAGGAGGATAAACTCAAGGAGCTCCAACTAAGATATAATGAAACTTGCAAGACAAAACAAAAATCTTGAAAGCAGCAAGAGAGAAGTGAATTTTCACGTGTACAGAATCATCAATAAGATTAACAGACAATTTCCCATTAGAACCATTGCTCTCAGAAGACCCTGGAAGGAAAGACACCCTGAAATTAAAAAGCTGTCAACCGATAAATTTTCTATCTGGAAAAATTTCCTTCAAAAGAGAATTAATTAAAGATTCTCATTCCCAGATTCTCATTCTAAGAGCTAAGTAAGTTTGTCACCTGTAGACCTGCCTTATAAAGAAATGCTAAAATGTTTCCATTGGGATGAAATAGCTATAAGCAGTAACTCAAAACCACACACACAAAAAAAAGTGTCACTGATAACAATTTAGGTAAACATAAAAGCAAGTATCATTGTGTTCTTGGTTTATAGCTTTTGTTTCCTATATGGATTAAAAGGCAAAAACTATATGTTAATGAGCACACGGTGTCTAAGGATATAATTAATGAAAATAATAGCATAAAGATGGTTTCTCATAGAATTCTCAATTTCTCATAGAACTCCCAGCAGTTCCATCTGTAGGTATGTATGTGTGTGTGTGTATATGTATCTCTCTCTCCAAGAGAAATAAAAACAAATGGCAATCTGGGTTAAAGTCAAACCCAGATTTTAGATTTAGATACCAGTTTTCTACCACTTAGAAAATTGTGACTTCATGTAAATTACTTTATTTCTCTAAGGCTCAGATTTCTCACTTATAACAGGCTAATAATAACTATCTTGTAGAATTGTTTTGGGAAGAAAGTGAGATCATGTTCAAGAAGCACTGGGTAGAGAGGTACTCAAATGTTTAAAGGGCAATTCGTAAAATGAGGTTCTGGAAAACTTGGCCTTCCATATCCTCGAGTTCAAATTTCTGCTGAAATAGTTAGGCTTAATGCCATGTTTCTGGTAGCCCTATTTTCTGCAAGAAATAGTAATGAATTGATTCATCTTTAAAGTCCAGACTAGATCAGGTAACCCATGCAGAAATACAGGAGCTTTGTATAACAAATATTTCTCTCCAGTGACCAATATAAACTTTATAGCCCACCGCTTATCCTTTACCCCTTGACAGTGGTAAAGACTTTGATTTTCTAATTTTATATTATTTTTTATTAATGAGCATTCTATTTTATTTGATTTTGTTAATTGCTTGCAAATCTTAAATTAATTCTGTAGGTTAAACAGGTATTCATTGTATATATTCTAACACTTCTGAGTGTTAGAGTAAATTTGGAGAATGTTTAAGGCTATGAAAAATCAGTTACTTGTTTAAAAAGAACTTATGGGGGGCTTCCCCGGTGGCGCAGCGGTTGAGCGCTGGGTTGCGAGCTGCCTGCAGCCTCTTCAGTGCTGGTTCGATCCCCGGCCACTGGTGAGGGTCCCACATGGTGCACAGATCTTTCCTGCCACACCCGCCGCTCCCCTCAGCAGTGTATTTGGTCAGTCTGCCTGTTCTGTTCCCCGCTCTGGCTCTGGTGATTCTCTCATCCTCCCGCGATTCTGACTGTACCCAGTGCTTGTATAAATAAATAAATAAATCTTTTATTAAAAAAAAAAAAAGGAACTTATGGGGCCTCCCTGGTGGCACAAGGGGTTAAGCACTGCACTGTGAAGCAATCCTCAGCCTCTGCAGCACAAGTTTGATCCCCGGCCGGCCAGAGAGGAACCCATATGGTGAAGCAGACCTCTCCTGTCTCACCTGCTGCTCCCCTCAGCAGTGTATTTCAGTCATTCTGCCTGTTCTGTTCCCCACTCTGTGGTGAATCCTCTCACCCCCCTCATCTCTTGGCCTGTACCCCAGCTCTTATATGCATAAAAAAAATCTTAAAAAAAACTGTAAAAAAATAATAAAAAGAACTTATGGCCATGATCCTGTGCTTTTGTGTGTGGACTAAAGTGTGGGGATGGGGGGAACTTACCAACATTGAATCAGAAAAATTGTGATACTGACTCCTGCTTTTGAAACTTTATAGGAAAGTGTTTAAAAATACTGCTGAAGTGGTAAAAACAATTAAAACAATAAGTTGAAATTCCCCCCCCCAGAATTCAAGGTAGCTTCTTCTTTGCAAAACTGGGGAGGGTATAGGAATATATCAGAGTCTTTGGAGGTATAAGAGAAAAATATACTGTTAATCATATTTAATATTTTAATTTTTTTAATATTTTAATTATTTTTGCATAGAAGAACTGAAGTGTAGGCCAGAGGTACTGGGTGGGGGGGGGGGTGAGAGGATTCACCAGAGACAGAGTGGGGAGCAGAACAGGCAGATCTACTGAATATACTGCTAAGGGGAGCAGTGGGCGAGACAGGAGAGGTCTGCTGCGCCATTTGAGTCAGCTTCCTGGCTGGGATCGAACTCAGGCTGTTAAAGTAGTAGCACTGAGATTTGACACCTATACTACCAGGGAGGACCCTTTAATATTTTAATCTTCATGGGTTTTGCATAGTTAAAATTTATGAAGCAAAATGTACCTATATACCTCATTGCCTAAACCCTTGAAAATTACCAATAATTTTGATTGTTGAGTTTTTTAAACTGCCCATCTAAGAGAAACAATTATGGCATCATTTCTTGCTCTGTACTTCAGAATGGTCAAGAGATGATTGAAGGACTTAACAAAACCAACACTACAGAGTTTCACAGCTGCTCTGTGGCCATACTAATAGAAACCGTAGGCTGAGGAATGGCAATTAAATTGTACTCCTGCCCTAGAGTTGTGACACAGCTAAGAGCTAGACTGAAACTCATAATGATTCGCAAGTAAGCACAGACAGGAATATTCCATTTGGGATTTGGCTTGTTAACTTACTTGTTTTTAGAGAATCAGAGATACCAGTATAAAAAGTTGGAGAAACGGAAGCTAATGGGGTGAGAATCTTTCAGAACTGTAAATGTTAAATGGTTTTTGATTCCATGTAAATTAGAACATAATAACCCATGACTCTCTTTTCCTCCCAAAATGATAATATTGACTTATATTAATATTTTAACATTTTATATTTCAGAAGTTAGACTTTATAGAGTCTGACAGTTCCTGTTCCTCTGAAGCACTTTCAACGAAAGAACTCTCTGCTGAAGAACTGTATAAGCGACTCGAGAAACTCATTATTGAGGACAAAGCAAATGATGAACAGATCTTTGACTGGGTAGAGGTATTAAAAACTATGTCACCTTCCTCAGTATTTCTGCAAGAAAAATTCTTAGGAGATCCTCTTCATTCGCATATTTACCCTTCACTTCATGGGAATTTTAAACTTTGATGAAGTTCTTATTCTCACTTGTATGTATATTTGAAACTCGTAAGACTGTTACTCTATTTTCATAAGATTCACAGTCTTTTATAGAGGAATGTAAAAAATTTCAGAATATAAACCATTTTGCTGGTTTTCTCATTGGTTTTAGGATATATCCTACATTTAGCCATATAAAAATTCACATTTCTTTCTAAATGTTCTCACATTTCAAATACTGTCTTGGATAAAGTTAATAAGCAATATGTAATGATTATGAACTGTGTTGACTTACATTTTCATAACGCCCCCTTCTGGGAATTGTTTATCTTATTTTGTGTTGTAGAGTCTATTGCTTAGGTTTGTTTTAATGTTGCCGCATTTCTTTAAATGGTAATTCTTTTTTTTTTTTTTTCATGGGCTCCTATCATCAAGTTGAAAGAAAGCCTAGAAGATTAGTCAAGTCTTCTCCCTCTTGCATAAATCTTTTCTGTAGTTTTTCTAATGGGGTGTTGTTTCTAGGCATTGAAAACTTCTGATAATTTTGGTTTTTACTAGTTTCCTCCCTGCCTCTCTACCTTTTTTCATCCTTTCTTGAAATCTCGGATATCCAGATCCTTGTCTAATTACCCTTATCTAAACATAGCCTGGATTTTCAGCATCCCACTCAAAGTGACATGAGCAGACTGAGCATGATCAGCAAGGTGTAGGGTTAGTAGTGCTATTGCTATTTTTGTTTTAGACTCCGTGTTTCTGGCAGGTTAATCATACTGAACTCAGATTGCTCTTTTGGTCAGGTAGTACCCATTCTTTTTATCCTACAGTCTACCCATCCTAAAATTACGCCTTTGGTTTTTGAGCCATAATGGTATTTTTAGAATGTATGTTTATGTTCATATTCTTAAATTAGACACATATTTTAGTCCTATCAGGACATTTAAAATTCTGATTTGGTCATAAAATTTGCTTGCCATCTTCACTTTAAATCTCCTTGTATTTCATTAACTAGCCAGCTTTGTTCTCATCTAAGTTATGGGTAAACTGGGTGAATGGGGTACAGCCAAGGACAAGGCAGCAGGACCAGACCCTACTCCCACCCCCATGGGCAGTTCTGTTAACCTGTTTACATTTCACACCACTCTACCATCCAGCTGACTTTTCATCTTACCCCTGAGGGCATATCTGTCATGGATAGTTCATCAGATGCACTGCTGAAGTTAATGCCTGTATCCATCTTCGTTGCCATATACCAGTCAAATTAGAAAAAGAGAGTAGGTTAGTTTAACATAACTTGGTTTTTTTTTTAAAGATTTATTTATTTATGCATACAAGAGCTGGGGTACAGGCCAGAGATGCGGGGGGTGAGAGGATTCCCCAGAGACAGAACAGGCAGATTGACCGAAGTACACTGCTGAGGTACACAGCAGGCAAGTGAGGAGAGGTCTGCTGCGCCATGGGGATTGCTCCCTGGCCGGCCAGGGATCAAACTCATGCTGTAGTGGCTGCGGACAGCTTCATAGGTTGTGTCTTAACCCCTTGCACCACCAGGGAGGCCCAAGAATGCCATTTTTATGTCTTCATCCATGTTGACCTTCATTTTCTTCCATCAGTATTTATTATGCTTACTCCAACAATGATTTTGCTTAAAAAGAAGACGGGTAAATTTTAGTGAATATAAATTCTATCTAATAAAAATTACTTACAAAAAAGAAAAAAAACAGAAACATGCTAGTAACTGCGCTCACAATACATACAATATGTATTTGTTGTCCTATCTGAGACCAGTATCACGTAACTCTGATTTTGCTCATGTACTTCAGTTAGTAGGTCCATCTTCTTTCATGGTCTTATCCATTTTGCTAATATCTTTGCTTAATCCATACTTCATTGCTCCTTTTTTTGAAGTATTTTTTGTTTCCTTTTTTTTATTTTTTGTAGAAAAACTGGGGTGTAGGCCAGAGGTGCGGGAAAAGAGGGGATTCACCAGAGACAGAGTAGGGAGCAGAGCAGACAAACTGACCGAAATACACTGCTGAGGGGAGCAGCAGACTAGACAGGAGAGGTCTGCTGCATCATGTGTGGGGATCAAGCTCAAGCCTTAGCTGTGATAGTGCTGAGACTTAACCCCTAGGCCACCACGGGGGGTCCCCATACTTTAGTGTTATTAACACTTTGCTTCATATATGTTGTATTCTTGAATATTAGAATTTGGCTTTATTTGGTAGAAGAAACATGCAATATTTTCCTTTAGCAGAACAACCAAATGGTTTGGAAATAGTATTTATTATCTAATTACACATCTAGCTAATTAATTTAAAGAAATTTTCAGACTCTGCTTGAAATCTGATCCTTTGGGGACTTCAGGTAATACTAGTGTTTGAAATAGCTCTTTCAACCTCTTTGTATTGTTGAACTAAAAAGTAATGGTGTGTTTTTATTTGCTCATTTATTCTTCAAAAGTACTTAATTGTTCAGACTTTGCAGAGGCAATTTCTGGGTCTAGACCAGCCTGATTTCAGAATAACTGAAGTTTTTCTAAAAGAAGTGTAAACTAGCAACTGAATGTAAACACATAAATAAGTCATCAAGAAATTTCCGTTTGGCTCTCGTCCCACCCCTTCACCAACCTTGGCTGGTGCCAGCAGCACCATATGTTTCTATTCTCTGTTGAAAATTTGTTCAGAGCTGCCAGTACCCCAGAATTGGCCATCTGACTTATTAACTACTATTAACTGCTCTCAGGAAACTACCAGTCCTCCAAGGTATGGTTGAGATTAGTTAGGTGTTTGCCAAAGAGCTGCTAGTTAATGTATGTCAGTTCTAAAATTCATAAGCATTAAACTGATCTAAATATCTTCAAGTTCGTTAGCTTTCTAGTATAACTTTATAATAACATCTTTAATTTTTTCCTGGCCAGTCATCAGGGCTGACCCTTTCAGTGTTAAGTACCGTATTTGCAATTTAAAGAACCCGAGACAAGCATTAATTCCATCCACAGGCATAGGGAATATAAACTTTGAAAAGTATTTGAAGTACCTGTCTAGAAATGTGCCCTTTTGTTTGTCTTTTCCTTTTGCTACTCATCTAGTTTAATACAATGTTTATAGCAAGAAGGTATCTTAAGAAAAACTGAAAGATAAATTTGTGGTCCATCTACTTTACTTTTTGTTTTTGACATCTTAGAGAAGAGTTAACAGTGTTGAATAACGCCCACCTGAACGGCTGTATTGAGGCAGCACTTGGGATTAATCTGTAATTCACCTTAAAATTAAGATGAAAAAATGATTGCATACTGTTGAGGAAAGTGGTCTTTAAAATACACTTGCAGGGCCTCCCTAGTAGCGCAGGCAGTCGAGCTCAGCGCTGTGGGGCTGTCCGTGGCCTCTGCAGTGCAGGTTCGATCCCGGCCGGTCGGCGAGGGTCCTACATGGCACGGCAGACCTCTCCTGTCTCGCCCGCTGCTCCCCTCAGCAGTGTATTTCGTCCATCTGCCTGTTCTGCTCCCTGCTCTGTCTCTGGTGAGTCATCTCACCCTCCCGCGCATCTGGTCTGTACCCCAGTTCTTGTATGAATAAATAAATCTTTAAAAAAAATAAAATAAAATACACTTGCAGTAATAGTATAGTTCTTTAAATGTATATATTTGGATAGGTCATCTTTATTGTGGGTTACTTACTGAAGAAAAAATGTTCCAAATGATGGCACTTTCGAATGCACATGCTACGCAGCACTATACAATTGAACGAGCCAAGGATAGCTAGTTGTAAACTCCCTGAAACCTCAATATTGCTACTTAGTACATTTTCGGACAGACCTGGCAGTAGTAGCCTAAGTATTTTTCAGTGAATCAAAAGGTTAACTTTTATGAAAAGGTTGAATGTGGCCCATCTGTACTTAGTACCATATGAGGCCTGGTATAAGGAACACAGTTAATCTGTTGTGCAAGGGAACCTTTAACTGTTTGATTTACTTGTCATTTCAGGCTAATCTAGATGAAAGCCAGATGAGTTCACCTACATTCCTTAGAGCTTTAATGACAGCTGTTTGTAAAGCAGCTATTATAGGTAAGTAACATTTCTGAACTCCTAACGTCTGAAATACCCAGTGTATCAACTACTGATGATGTGGGCCTGAGTGTATATTGTCGTCAAAACCTGTGCTATATCCCTCATATTTTGTACAAATAAATGGGTACCCTTTCTGTCTGCAATGCCAGCCTCGAGCAGGGGGATGAATAGCTGCTCTGCTGCAGAGTCCAGACCTGAGCAGCTACTGCAGGTTCTGTGTTCTTCAGCTCAGCAGAAGGATCTGGGGCATGTGACTTGTCCTTTTCTTTTCACCTTCAACATTCCAAGTCTCTTCCTTAACAGTGTGTGGTTTGAATATTATTAACCTAATATCAATAAAGGTCTAATCTTAACAGGAAAATATTTTATGTAAATACATATACAAAGACAGAAAATACCAGTTGTTTCTCCTGCTTTATATTGACTTTGTATTTATTATAAGATAATTGCATCAAATGTTTGGGAATTACATCAATGGATAGGATTCAAATTGGTCAAAATTGTAAATATTCCAAACTTTGTATACTATTTAACAATATTTAATGAGATCCCGCACTTAACCTCAGGTAGAAATCCACATATCTATCCATGAAATTGGGAAAAAAAAATCTATCAACTCAAAAGTTATTCAGATTTTCAGGTCTTTTTTTTTTTTTTTTTTTTTTTAATCATTTTAGAAGATAGTGTCTGAATTGTAATTTAAGATTTTCTGTGAGATGAATTTTTTCACTGTTCTTTGATGAAGTAAACAAGCTAGTAGAAAGTTAAAAAGTGTTCAATCATTTCCAGTGTCTAAGGAAAGCGTAAGACTGTGGCATTTTAAAATCAGAGTTGGAAAGTATAAAAGCTGCCTTTAAAATGAATGTTGTATTCCAGTGCTAACTTACAGAGAAAATAATACTTTATGCTCCTTACTGTTAGGAATGCTTTCCTCAGAATGTTTTCATCGTGTCTTTCCCCCCACAAAAGGCCTTGGTTAGATGTGTCGTTTGCTGTGGTCACAGTTAAGCCTCCCTCTCCTACTGAAAATAAAATGGTTCTAGCTAGTTCTTTCAACCTTCTAATAATATTTGCATGAACTATCACTTTATTAATTCCTTCTGATGTTCCCTTTGTAGTTTGGAATGTCATAAAACTGCTGTTATTATTATGATTAAAGATAAAGAATTGAGTGTACTCCTCTACAGGAACCCAGCACTCAAAATACACACCCTCCATGAGCTGTTATTTCAGAGACAATGTCCCATTATGAATTTCAGAATATTTTGGATTTCAAAGTGTTTACTTTGGACCCCATGCTTCCTCTTTCCTTATAGAATCATATATGTCCTGTCAAAACCCAGAAAGCTGAGAATGACTCTGTGTTAACTCCTTAAATATAACGCTTAGTTTTTCTATCACTTCCAGCTGATTGTTCTACCTTCCGAGTGGACACTACAGTTATCAAGCAGAGAGTGCCGATCTTACTCAAGTACCTAGACTCAGACACAGAGAAGGAACTACAAGCACTTTATGCACTGCAAGCGTCAATTGTAAAACTTGATCAACCTGCCAGTAAGTTCACCTCTCGTTACAGTTAACTCGGCCAATGGCTAGAACTTCAGAAATGGTTTCCGGTGTGAGCAGTGGATAATGAAAGAAGCACTAGTGGTAAATACTCGGATAATCAACAATTTTTATAAGAAAATGGTAACACCATAATTGCTTAGAGATTCAGCCCTCCTTCTAGGGCAGATTTGCCTAATGAAACTTTCTGCAACAATGGAGATAAGTCTGTGCCCTGCAGGATGGCACCGTGAGGTGACCTCCTCATCGTGGCTGTTGTGACTGAAGATCTGAATCATAAGTTTAATTTAAATTTAAATATCCGCTTGTGGCAACTCCATTACTAGACAGTAATCTTTCACTTTCTTTGACCCAGGTCTTGATGAAAAAGGATGATGCTCATCTTAGTCCTTAGAAACCAAACATTAAAACATCCAGGTGTTTTAGACTAGTTCTCAGTTAAGAGTTATGATTAATTCTTGGCTAATTAGATAAATACGGTAAGCTGAATGAACACCAAGTTTTAGTGATACTGGTAAACTAAATTGTATTAAATCTTGAAAAATCAGTGGAAAAAAAATTTAGAGTTCCTCAATAGTCTGGACATTGAAAACAATTGACAAGAAGTAGCAATAGTTATTGGAAAATAGGAGTAAAAATTCTTCTCATTTTGAAACACCTTTAAGGAGAACAGTACACCATGCCTTTCCCTCCCCAGATTTTTATAAATTATATATTTTTACTGAAAAATTTCAAACAGCGGAGAGAGATGTATAGAAAAGATAGTAAAAAAATTATTCTTGTATTTAATGTTTAAAGTGTTTTGGGTGAGGCCTCCCTGGTGGCACAAGGGGTTAAGACACAGCACTATGAAACTATCTGCAGCCACTGCAGCAGGAGTTTGATCCCTGGCCAGGGAGATGACCCACTTGGTGCAGCAGACCTTTCCTGTCTCGCCAACTTCTCCCCTCAGCAGTGTATTTCAGTCGATCCACCTGTTCTACTCTCCACTCTGTCTCTGGTGAATCCTCTCACCCCCCACACCTTTGGCCTGTATCCCAGCTCTTGTATGCATAAATAAATAAATCTTTTCAAAAAATGAAGTGTTCAGGGTGAGAGCTGCATAATATCAAACATCTCAACAGTATTAGAAAATAGTTAAAATTGAACAAAATAATAGGAATAAAAAGTCAATAAAGTGCTTAAATCTTTTCCTGCTCTTCAGACAGGTGGTTCTGCTTGTTACAGCATCAGAAGGGGGGTGAGGCAGTCGTGGCTGCTCTTTTCTCTCCATATAGCATATATTACTGTATATCATAACATATATTTCTGTATATCATAGTGACTTCATTTACATATGTTGTGATATGATTACCACTATAGGTTGTTCCACTAAGAATCTTCATCTCACATAAATAAGAAGAAAAGGCATGGGCCACCCCGGTGGTGCAGCTGTTGAGCGCTGGGCTGCGAAGCTGCCCGCAGCCTCCACAGCGCCGGTTCGATCCCCAGCCGCCGGCGAGGGGCCCACATGGCGTGCAGACCTCTCCTGCCACGCCTGCTGCTCCCCTCAGCAGTGTACTTCGTCAGTCTGCCTGTTCTGCTCCCCGCTCTGGCTCTGGTGGATTTTCTCACCCTCCCGTGCTTCTGATTGTACCCAGTGCTTGTATAAATAAATCTTTAAAAAAAAAAAAAAATAAGGCAAGGCAAAAAATTTTCTCATTGTGACAAGAGCTCTTAGAATTTGCCCTCTTAACAGTGTCTCATATAGCTCTTATCTCCTTCCTGTAGTTTATTTCATGTAGAAGTGTAAGTTACAGCCATCATGTTCACAGGACTTTCCTGCTCTTCAGACAGGTGGTTCTGCTTGTTACGCCATCGAAGGGGGGTGAGCACTGTCGTGGCTGCTCTTCTTCAGGGCAATTATTGTGTGTTTATTCGTTGCTTGGAAATTCAGTCTTTCCCTCACAGCTACCATACCCCCAAAACTGATGGTTTATTTTCACTGCCTTGCAGATTTGCTACGGATGTTTTTTGATTGCCTGTATGACGAGGAGGTGATCTCTGAGGATGCCTTCTACAAGTGGGAAAGCAGCAAGGACCCTGCAGAGCAGAATGGGAAGGGCGTGGCCCTGAAATCTGTCACGGCATTCTTCACGTGGCTGCGGGAAGCAGAAGAGGAGTCTGAGGATAACTAAAACTTCAAATACACAAAACGAAACAAAAGAAACAATTTAAGTATTTTTTAAAAAAGTTTCACGTCTTCGCCAATCACAGTGCAGCAAGGCCAATTCTCGCAGAAACCCCCACGTGTGCACAAGTGGGAGAGGGGAAGAGAAAAAGGTGATCATGGAGGAAAAAGGTACTGGAAAAAGTAAACTTCAAACCTGAGGGCGGGAGCACTAAACCAAAATACATGTATTATTTATAGAAAATATTTTCTGTTTTAATCTTTTCTTTTTAAACGAGGGAGGACTCATACTTTAAAAAAAAAAAAAATCTGTTTAGCAAAAAAAAAAAAGAAGAAAAAGTTGAGAACTTTTAATTTATTTTAAGGACTGCAAATGCCAGTGTAATTTTTTAATTTGCAGTTTCTGTAAACAACTTGTATAATAGAAAAGCAGAGAAATAAATTTCCCTCCCCTTCAGATGCACCTCACGTTTGTTTTAAAACATAGTAGTTAGGCCAGATTTAAGAAGGTTGGGGTGAACAAGGTAGGAAAGATTTTTTTTTTTGGGGCATCAAATCTTTCTGCCTGCCTCTCAGCTTGCTTCAGAAAATAAAAGAATCACAATAGCAATCAAAACATACATAACCTTGGAACAGAAGGAAATGCTGTGGACCAGAGAACTCCAAGAATTGTTTTAAAAAAAATTTAAAAAGTGCTACCCTGGGAAAAATAGTCAATACTTTTGAAATCTTTAGAGTAACTTTAAGGCTTGTAAATACATAGAACAAATATTTAAAAAAAAAAAAAAGGAATTGACTCAATACTATTTCTTTTCATTTTCAAAATATAAAGAACAAAATAAAGACAAACATTGCAAGTTTAAAAGAAAGTACAGTGACTTCTCCTTTTGACAGCTGCTGCATGTGCGCCCATTTTTTGGGAGGTGCTGTCTGGCTATTCCTTGTCTAATCCTAATCACTCCTGAGTGATGTGTGTGCGCACGTGTGTGTGTGTGTGCACGCATGTGTGTATACAGTTGGAAAGGGAAAGTTACTTTGGGGGCTAGGAGGGCACTGGTGCTTGGGTGAGAGAGCCAGTCCCTCTTAAAGTCCAGGGGTAGCTTCTTTCTAGCACCAAATAGAAATACATTCAAGGTAGGAACAAACCATAGGGCAGTTTTTTAAATGACTTAGCGTTCCGCTGTATATACCAGGACTTAGGACACTTATTTACTTTAAGACTACCACTACCACTGATTTTAAAATCTTCACTTGTCACACATGCTTAAGGAATCCCAGGATGTCTTCCAAAGAACGAAGGGAACCAGAGCTAAATTACACTCTTTAAAAAGTGGACATGGTGGGCCTCCCTGGTGGCACAGGGGTTAAAGTCTCAGCGCTATCAAGATATCACCAGCCACTGTGGCATGAGTTCGATCCCCAGTCAGGGAGCTGACCCCCGTGGTGCAGCAGACCTCTCCTGAAATACACTGCTCCCCCTCAGCAGTGTATTTCAGTGGATCCGCCTGTTCTGCTCCCTGCTCTACACCCTAGTTCTTGTATGCATAAGTAAATAAAAATAAATGTTAAAAAAAAAAAGTAGACATGAGGACTTAAAAACGAACCAAAACCATGTGTGAAAAATCACAGTGGTTCCCAGCTTCAACTTCACTGAGAACATTCTGGTGAGTATAAAACCATCTGTGATCTGGATCTCTGTTTCTCCTACAGATATTGGGGTGCTGTGCTTTTTGTTTTTCTTTAATGAGATTGCAGTCTCTACAGATGGTTTTTCATTTCAGTTGTTAGTAGGCCTTCACCTTACAAATTGTATTTCAGAGGAAAGCCAGGCTGCTCTCAAATAAACTGTATTTAGTGTCTGGTTAACCGAAGAGTGTTTCTGACTTTCATCGCTGAGAAAATATTCACGCTAATAGACTTGTGAAGCATAGGACAAAATTTTCCATAGCAATATAAGGTTTTCTTCAGAGTATCATTGGACACAATAGAGGATCTCACCACCTAGGCCTGAACAGCCCATTCTGCAGGTGGCAGGGAGCTGCTGTTGAAGAGCCCAGTCCTGAAAGCCTTCCGCCAGGCAGGTGACAACATCTGCCACAAAAGATGGGTCCCAAAAGCTGTTTCAGAGTTGCTGCCTGGGATCCCTCATCTGGAGGAAACAACCTGATTTCTATGATACCATGACTTTCATCAGCTTCCAGAATCAAAGTGCAGAGGGTTCTGACCCAGAAATCTCCTGAGTACTGTAGGTTGGTTGCATTACTCACGGGCTGAAGGGTGAGGAATTTGGGGGAAGCATAGTGGTGACTGCCTTTTAGAAATCAGTGGTGATTGTTCACAGGAGACTGAAAAAGCTACAGAGAGTAGAAATGGCTTATCAGTATTTTAGAGGTAGACAAGAATAATGAATGAAGAGAAGAGAATAATATTTAGGAGCAGGGAGAGGAGGGGAATTCTTCAAGGGATGAAAAAGATTTCAGGTATAAGCACCTATAGTACAGTAACAGAAATGACGTGAAGCACAAGCGCATTTGGATATCTTAGTGCTTTATATGCAAAATGTTAGAGGGCTACAAGTGTTACCTATTGGCAAAATGGGATGACTGATCCCTACTGATAGCAACTGAACTATGAAACATTGTCATGGCCCCTACCTTCTTCACAGTCTGTTTAGTAGAAATCAGGTTTGGCGTTTTTGGTTTAAAGTAGTAAGTGAGGGCCTCCCCGGTGGCGCAGCGGTTGAGCGCTGGGTTGCAAAGCTGCCCGCAGCCTCTGCAGCGCCGGTTCGATCCCTGGCCACTGGGCAAAGGTCCCACATGGCGCGCAGACCTCTCCTGCAGCGCCCACTGCTCCCCTCAGCAGTGTACTTCGTCAGTCTGCCTGCTCTGCTCTCCCCTCTGGCTTTGGTGAATTCTCTCGCCCTCCCGGGATTCTGACTGTACCCAGTGCTTGTATAAATAAATAAAATAAATCTTTTAAAAAATAAAAAAGTAGGGCCTCCCCGGTGGCGCAGCGGTTGAGCGCTGGGTTGCGAAGCTGCCCGCAGCCTCTGCAGCGCCAGTTCGATCCCCGGCTGCTCCCCGGCCACCGGAGGAGGGTCCCACATGGCGCGCAGACTTCTCCTGCCGCCCGCTGGTCCCCTCAGCAGTGTACTTCGGTCCTTCTGCCTGCTCTGCTCCCGGCTCTGGCTCTGGTGAATTCTCTCACCCTCCCGCGCTTCTGACTGTACCCAGTGCATGTATAAACAAAAACAAATAAATAAATAAATAAAACATGCCTCTATTAAAAAAAAAAATAATAAAAAAATAAAAAAGTAGTAAGTGACACGTCAGCGTTAATATTCCTGCATTCCTTCAAGCTATCATAAAAGCTCTTCATTTGAACTTTGAGAACAGGTTCATTAAAGTGACTTACACCTATATTCAGACCTGTTAAATTATACCTATTTAGTAAGATAAATGAGTTTTTCCTTTTCCCCCAAAAGAATGTAATGTCAGTTTTCAGGATAAACTCATTTTAGATTTTTGCATAGGCCACCTGTTCACAGCTGCGTCATGAATTTACCTCATTCAACAGATATTTATTGAGCATCTACTGTGTGCTAAGTTCAGGAAGTATAACAGTGAACAGACCAGTCTGTACTCTCATGCAGCCTATTTATGATAAAAAGTAAGCTAGAGGTTGACACACTGCATCATGATTTGATTTGGGTTTTTTTTTTTTTATTTTAAAGAGTAACAACTACATCCAAAATAGTTTTATCTGTTCTGGAATGATTCTCCAAATAGTTACCATTATTGGATTTTTGACATCTTTTTGTTTCAGATGGCTCCATTCAGGTCAAAAGATTCTAAGCAAGAAAATGGTCTATAGCTATCCATCCAATTGTGTGTTTTAGTGTTCATGTTTTGTACTTAAAATATACTTATATGTAGGGCTCCAATTGTTTTTATTTTTGACCATGTTATTGTCACTTAAGCTCCTTCACGGTCCCCAATATGTAGAGAATAACATTTTGCATTGTTTGCTGATAATATAATTCACATTTGATAAAAGTCATCCTTCTGGAATATACAATTCAGTGATTCTTAGTATGTCCACTGCTGTGCAACTACCACCACTATCGAATTTCAGAACATTTTCTGTGGGATTTGCCTGTTCTGGACATTTCATATGGATGAAATTATGGCACATTGCTTTTATTGTTTTACCTCTAACATTTACTAAATGATCAAACCTCACAGGTGTTTGTGACACCAGGGACTTGACAGAAGGAGTTAAACCCTGAATTTTTCCTTGATTTAATGTTTTTAAGTATAATTTCTTTTGACCTAACTTGGCAATAGGTTCACAACCATCAGCTAAAACTGAACAGGTTCCTGAGAATTTCCTTTTGTTGCTCTGTGGACTTGATAGATACAACCTGGGATGCCAGAGGTCTTAGCAAATAGGATCGATCTGGTCATTTTGACCTCTCATTTCTTTCTTTTAAGATTTATTTATTTATGCATACAAGAACTGGGGTAAGGCTAGAGGTGTGGGGGGGGGTGAAAGGATTCACCACAGAGTGGGGAACAGAACAGGCAGACTGAAATACACTGCTGAGGGGAGCAGTGAGCGAGTCAGGAGAGGTCTGCTGCACCATGTGGGTTGCTCCCTTGCCAGGGATTGAACTTGTGCTCTAGTAGCTGCAGACAGCTTCATAGATTGCATCTTAACCCCTTGTGCCACAAGGGAGGCCTGACCTCTCATTTATTTCTTCCAGAGTAGTTTTCCTTAGTATTGAATTCCTGGTTGGATTAGAGGCTGCAGTGTACCTGTGAATTGGAATTTGTCCTTTTTGTTGAAGTACATTTGGACATAATGACTATTTATTGAACAGCTTGAGGCTGCTTGCTTGTCACAGAGTAAAATTGCCCTATAAAGAATAAAGACCGAACCTTCGCCACTGGTTAGTCTCAGGTCATTAGTTTTATAGAAGATCACCTTTCCTGTTCAGTAAGATTAAACCATTGGTCTGAATATCCTCCAGTAGTTTAGGGAGAGAGATACTACATGCTTACAAGCTTCAAATACCGCATGCATCCCTCGTAGGGAAAAATGATAATCTATTAGTGTTAGGACTACAAAAACCCACAAAACCCAACGTAACATTTTATATTATCAAATCATGAAATTATACAGCAAAGAAATAAGCTACAGGAGTCGTGTCAAATGTTTTTCTTAATGTCTTCTTTTCAAATAATTTTAGGCTTAAAGGAAGTTTAAAATTTAGTACAAAGAGGGGGGCCTCCCTGGTGGTACAAGGGGTTGTCAGCACTATGAAGCTGTCCACAGCCACTGCAGCATGAGTTCGATCCCCAGCCAGGGAGGTGATATACATGGCGCAGCAGACCTCTCCTGTCTCATCTGTTACTCCCCTTAGCAGTGTATTTCAGTAGATCTGCTTGTTCTGTTCCCCACTCTGGTGAATCCTCTCACATCCTCACACCTCTGACCTACACTCCAGCTCTTGTATAAATAAATAGATAAATCTTTTTTTAAGGGGTTCCATATGCCCCTTACCCAGTTGCCCCTATATTAATATGTTACCATAGGACATTTGTCAAAATTGAAAAACCAGCATTGGTACATTGCTATTAATTACACTTTATACTTAAATTTGAGTTATATTAATGTCCTTTTTCTTGTCCAGGATGCAATTTAGGGTGCCACATTACATGTAGTCATCATGTGTCCTTAAGTTTTTTAATCTTTGTTGGTCATGACTTTGACAGTTTTGAGAAGTATTAGTTAGGTATTTTGTAGAATATTCCTCAATTTGGATTTGCTGGTGTTTTTCTCATTATTAGACTATGATTATGGGTAAAAATACCATACATGTGAAGTGCTCTTTCTCATATCAAACATGGTACCGACATGACATCACTGCTGATGTTTAGCCTTAACTACTTGGTTATGATGGTGTTTACCAGGTCCCTACTTGAATGTTATTTCCCTCCCCCCTTTCTAACTCTTAGCAACAAGTCACTAAGTTCTACCCACACTGGGGGAGGGATGTGGGAGTAGCAGAAAAACAAAAGCTTAGCAAAGAAAGCTGCACTTTCTTCTTGCTATAGGGAAAGGAAAGTCTGCTTAAATTATGTGGAATTCTCCATGTGGGTGTGTACGTCAGTACATATTTATACTTTTAGTCATAATCTAATACATATTTTGTTACTCAAGTTATTTCAGCTTTAGCCATTGGGAACTCGTTTCAAGTGGGCTCATGTGTCCCTTGGACACTCCCTCACCCTTATGTTTTTAGAGTACTTAGGGACATTATAAGATGCCACAAGCATATCTTGTATTTACCTTCTCATGGCCCTAGCCTAACCAGGAATGCTGGTTTCTTTTAGGAGAATGGTGTTTAGAAACCAAGATCTGGGCATTGGGTGAGCTCATTACTACTGGGTGTCTCTGCTTCTAGTTCTGCCAGTACTTTAAATTCTGCTGTTTACTCCAGATGAGATCTTGTCAGGTGAGTGAGCTGTTTTCACAGAACCCAATGGCTTTTAGAAAATATTGCTTCCTTTTTTATATAATAAATCTGGTTAAAGAGACTTAATTCTTTAGATATAATCATCCTACATAACAAGAAAAAAAGATTCACATGATGATGCTTTGCTTTAATTATCCTTAGCAATATTCAGTCTACTAAAGTACCATTTGGTCCAGTTTTAAAATGTTATCTGTTGACTCAGTTAAATAATAATGGAAAATGTGAAGTAACTGGAAATTAACAGACAATGGATTAGTGCATATCAAAACTTGTGAGATATAGGTAATATTTTGAGGTAAATGTAAATGAATTAGGCTTCCAGAGAAGCCATCTTGGGGTAAAGAAAGGCAGTGTTACCTGGGTGGATTTCAAGAGTTATCCACAGGAAGCTCTGTGCTGTAGTGGAAAGAGGCTTGATTGGAGTTGGGAAATTTGGTGTACTAATGCTGATGCTACTGTTTACTGCTTGCTTGACCACTCACTTACATAGGCTTCCATAACCTCTCTAGAAAGAGTTTACTCATAACAATCATACGTACTCTGGGATCACTTCAAATACTGCTTACCAATCTTAGTAAGTCTTGGGGGTAGTGGAATCTTAAATTTTTCAAGTAAGAATATCAAGATTTTCTGAAATTTCCAAAGCAAACACCATCCAGCAGTTGCACTTATATTACCAGTGATTTCCTTTCTGATTCTTCTGACATACATGCTGCTTGTTGATAAATACATGTCTTCCTACCTGAAGTCCTAAGAAAGTATCTATACCAAAGCTCAAACAACTGTCTTATCTTTGCTTCCGAGAACAAAGACTAATGGTGCTCAGTATTGCTGGGTGTTAGAATTACTAGGATAGATTTTAAAAATACATATGTTGGGACCCTGCCCCAAAATAGTCATTTCA